TGTATCAGGAATGACTTGAGAAACTGTCCAATATGAATAATAATAATAATAATAATAATAATAATAATAATAATGCACCTATTAAATAATAATCAATTTTTTGAGTATCAGGAGTGACTTGAGAAACTGTCCAATATGAATAATAATAATAATAATAATAATAATGCACTTAATAATAATTTTTTTGTATATCAGGAGTGACTTGAGCAACTGAGCTGTAATAATAATAATAATGCACTTATTAAATAATAATTATTTTTGTGTATCAGGCATGACTTGAGAAACTGTCCAATAATAATAATAATAATGATAGCACTTATTAAATAATCATTAATTTTTTGTGTATCAGGAGTGACTTGAGAAACTGAGCTGTAATAATGATAATAATTTACTTTAAATAATAATAATTATTTTTTGTATCAGGAGTGACTTGAGAAACCGTCCTATAATAATAATAATAATAATAATAATAATAATAATAATAATAACAATAAAGCACATATTAAATAATAATTAATTTTTTGTGTATCAGGAGTGACTTCAGAAACCATCTTATAATAATAATAATTCACTTATTAAATAATCATCAATTTTTTGTGTATCAGAAGTGACTTGAGAAACAGTCCTATAATAATAATTATAAATTAAAAGAATAAAGCACTTTATAAATAATATTTTTGTGTATCAGGAGTGACTTGAGAAACTGTCCTATAATAATAATAATAATAATAATAATAATAATAATAATAATGATAATGATGATACACTTATTAATATTTTTTGTGTATCAGGAGTGACTTGTGAAACTGTCCTATAATAGTAATAATAATAATAATGCACTTATTAATAATATTTTTTGTGTATCAGGAGTGACTTGAGAAACCATCCTATAATAATAATAATGCACTTATTAAATAATAATTACTTTTTTGTGTATCAGGAGCTATTTTAGAAACTGTCCTAAAATAATAATAATAATAATAATAATAATGCACTTATTATATAATAATTAATTGTTTGTGTATCAGGAGTGACTTGAGAAACCATCCTATAGTAATAATAGTAATAATAATAATGCACTTATTAATAGTAATTAATTTTTGTGTATCAGGAGTGACTTCAAAAACTGCCTAATAATAATAATAATGCACTTATTAAATAATAATTAATTTTGTGTGTATCAGGAGTGACTTCAGAAACTCCTATTATAATAGTAATAATAATAGCAGTAATAACAACCTGTATAAGAAATTATAATCTGGAATAATATTACCTCATATAAGAATAAGAATACTAATCCTCACTATACAAATAACAATACTGTTTTCTTTTTTGTGTGTCAGGAGCGACTTGAGTAACTGCAAGTTGCTTCTGGTGTGAGCGAATTGCCGTTGAAGAATCCCCAGCACAGAAAACTGCACACAAAGCCCTAGCCGTGTTGTTTGGGAATATCAGTATGCAGAGGGATCTGGTCGCACCGTAGAGACTTATTGAGAGAATGAGGTTGGCAGCAGAAGCCTTTGTAGACTAAATCTGAGGAAGCAGACTTAATCTAGGGAGCTTATGTTACCAGCGCCATTCTTCCACTTGGTCTCTAAGGTGCCACGAGATCCCTTTGCATACTGATAATCCTAGGACAGATACTGTTAGATTGCAGTAAACCTGAGATTACCCAATGGCTCAAGGTATAAGTATACAATGAATGCGTGCTTACGAATGTCGTGGCAGTGTTTGTAGATTTTGCAGGAAGCACAGATCATAGTCTGAACTGTCGTCCATGCAAAACTACCATTTTAATTTTTAATTAGGACACACAACCACAGATTTTTCATCATGCAGGGGGAGGTGCTCATTTCTGTTTCTGGGCCAAAGAGCCGGTGTTGTCCATAGACACCTTCAGCTCACACTGCTCCCCAGATCCGAACCATCGACCTTCCGGTCAGCAAGTTCAGCAATTCAGTGGTTTAACCCGCTGCACCTTTACATCAGTATAAATTAATTTTGGTAGAAATGTAGTTGGCAGAAGCTGGAGCTAACAGTGGGAGCTCACACCACTCCCCAGATCCGAAACACCGACCTTTCGGTCAGCAAGTTCAGCAGCTCAATGGTTTAACCTGCTGCACCTTTACATCACAATAAATTAATTTTGGTAGAAATGAAGTTGACAGAAGCTGGAGCTAACAGCAGGAGCTCACCACGCTCCCCAGATCTGAACCACCAACCTTTAGTTCAGCAGCTCAGTGCTGCACCTTTACATCAGAATAAATGAATTTTGGTAGAAATGTAGTTGCCAGAAGCTGGGGCTAACAATGAGAGCTCACCATGCTCCCCAGATCCGAAACACGGACCTTTTGGTCAGCAGGTTCACCAGCTCAATGGTTTAATCCGCTGCACCTTTACATCAGAATAAATGAATTTTGGTAGAAATGTAGTTGGCAGAAGCTGGGGCTAACAGCGGGAGCTCACCCTGCTCCCCGGATTCGAATCGCCAACCTTTCGAGATATATTACTCTGCCTTTTGTGCCGTAGTATGTAGATGTGATTTTTTCCCAGATGTCCTTCCATCAAATTGCTAAACGAGAGTGTAAGAGGGCGAGGAGGAAATAGGCGCTACAAGTGGACTAAGTGGGGCCTGTTCAATTCTGGTGTTTACTTTGGGACGGCTAAGAATCCGTGCGCTTGGTCGGTTGTGTTTGCTTGGAGCACGTGTTTGGTTAAGTCTCTTACCACTTCATTGAAGGGAAGAACCTCCGATTCCTTTTGTTTTCCGAAATGCTCATTAGTCATTGGAGATAACGGAGTGTAAACAAACAGCTTAATTTTAGGCAGACTGGGGAAATAGCCCTTTCTCTTAAATGTTGTTGTTTATGTTCTTTTTCTTTTTCAAAGGTGCGATTTCACAAATTTCTCATTAGCTCTGAATATATTGAGACTAAAGACCCAGTTCAGTGTCTTTTTCAATACATTTTCTCTATATATCATCAAAATCACTTTGTTTCTATATATCTCTTTTTAACTTCTAATATACATGTCAGCTTATCATTTATTGCCGATTTCCATACTTCCTTGTACCACTCCTCGATTGGTGTATTTATTTTGTTCCATGCCTCTATTTGTATATTTATTTCTCTTTTCCAATTCCTTGCTATCTATATAAATATATATATAATGTTCGCTTGTGGGATTGACATAACTCAAAAACCACTGGACGAATTGCCGCCAAATTTGGCCACAAGACACCTACTAACCCAAGGAGTGACCATCACTCAAAAAAAAAATATTGATTTTCTTATTTGGGAGTTGTAGTTGCTAGGATTTATAGTTCACCTACAATCAAAGACCATTCCGAATGTTACCAGTGATGGAATTGAACCAATCTTGGCACGCAGGACTCCCATGACCAACAGAAAACACTAGAAGGGTTTGGTGGGCATTGACCTTGTGTTTGGGAGTTGTAGTTCACTTACATCCAGAGAGCACTGTGGACTTAAACAATGATGGATCAGGACCAAACTTGGCACAAATACTCCAGATGCCCAAAAGTGAACACTGGTGGAGTGTGGGGGACATAGACCTTGACATTTGGGAATTGTAGTTGCTGGGATTTATAGTTCACCTACAATCAAAGAGCATTCCGAACACTACCAAGACTGAAAGAATTGTGGCAAACTTCCTACACAGAAACCCCATGTCGAACAGAAAATACTTAAGGCCAACCAGTCCAACTCCCTTCAACATAATCAAAGCCCTTCTGACAAAGAGCCATCCAGTCATAGATATAGATTGATATATATATGATTCACAGAGAGATAGTATCATAGATTTGAAAGGGGCCCCTAAAGAAGGACAATGATATGTTGCATGTTCCAGAGTAGGCAAACCAGACAATCTCCACATCAACACTGACAAAGAAACAACAAGAAATACTTTTAACCCGCAAGCACATAGACATTACATATATTAGAAACCAACACTTTCTCATTACTTTATTTTCCAGCTCACAAGACTGGGCCACAGCAATGCGTGGCAGGGGATAGCTAGTTGTTAATAAGTTTGTTATTGCATCTTTATCCTCTTTTTAAAATGGTTTATTATTATATCATGATAATAAAGCTATACTAGGACTTCTTTCTATTTTAATGTTCATTATATCCTCTATTTCTCTAAATACTTTCCCCCCAAAATTATTTACATATTTATATTGCCACCACATGTGTATATATGTACCTGATTCTTGGCATCCTCTCCAGCAAATTTTGAAGTAGTTTTTTATTTATATCTGCAATTCTTACTGGTGTTTGGTACCATTTCCATAGTAACTTATACTAATTTTCTTTAACCTGTATTGAGTAATTTTCTTTAACTGTCCTTTAACTTCTCGTTGGGTTGCTCTCCCTTCATTTCTTTTAAAACCCTCCTTCAGATACTTCCTTCCTCTGTTCATGCCCAACGTTTATTTTTAAAATTTTAAATTATTATATTTGGCCTGGACATAGGTTTTTTAAACCCTTGTGTGTTACTGTTTACATGTGAGTTAGATTAATTGTATTGTTTTTGCTTATTGTTTTTTGTTCCAATAATGTGTTGTCAGGCTTGGCCTCGTGTAAGCCACTCCGAGATGGTGGCGCGGTATAAATAAAGTTTTATTATTATTACTATTATTATTATTATTGATAAATTTTTTAGATGTCTTTTGTCTCCATAATTGTTGGCACTCTGTTTCATTTATTTTGATCCATAAATCCTCTTCCCAGACCTCCTTGAGGATGTTGGTTTTTGTTTTTCCTTCCTTTATTTCTATTATTATTATTATTATTATTATTATTATTATTATTATTATTATTATATATACTTTTAGCGGATTCGCTGTTTTGTGGTTTTCAAAAAATATTGATTTAAAATATATATTGCGGTATTTTCACTGTAGATAGATTGGATGAGACCTTTGCCAACCTGCCTCTTTGGGCGAATGGCTTAATTTCCTTGTGCTTTCCTTCCAGTGAGCACCTGTCCTGCTCCTTCACCTTCTTCTTGCATGGCGACAGCAACGTTTGCACCAGTGTGGAAATAAACCAGCACCAGCCGGTCTACTTTGTCAGCGAGGAACATCTCACCCTGGCCCAGCAGTCGAACAGCCCCTTTCAAGGTAGGTCTCTCTGTGTGGTTTTGATTATTCGGTCCTTTTCAACCATTCTATGACTTCAGGAGAGAGTGCTACACAAGGAGAGTCCTCAGAGTGGTTTTGTGGGTACTCAGCTCCTCCCCTCCCGACATCCCCATTGCCTCGGCACTATAAGAGTGTTCACGAGACCAGTCACTCTTGTTGCCATGTGGTTTCGAGGCAGTTGTGAGGTTGCAGACCATATTTTCATTCTTGCCGACCACTGGTAGTCCATGGACCACAAGTTGGGAACCACTGTTTGACAAGTCCTAGGTATTCATCTATAGAAATAAAAATGAAACGTTCATTCATGGGATAAACATAACACAAAAACCACTGGCGAATTGACACCAAATTTGGACACAAGACACCTCTCGGGCCAACGAGTGACCATCACTCAGAAAAAAAAAGCGGAAAGGACTTAAAAAGCAAAAAACAACAACATTACAGCGCATGCACAAAACCACATACCCAGGTTGAATTGAAAGTAATGCCTCTACGTTTGTAACAGTACTGGTATGTGGCAGGTACTGGCTTGTTCAGTAGACTCTCCTCTACAGTTCCATTTTGATGGGAAGCCTTAGCATTGAATGTTTGTGTTGTTAAAGTAAAAAGTAAAGCCTCCACCTTTGTAACTCCTCAACAGATGGCAGTACTGGTATGCGGCAGGTACTGGCTTGTTCAGTAGACTCTGCTCTACAGTTCCATTTTGGTGGGAAGCCATAGCATTGAATGGTTGTGTTGTTAAAGTGAAAAGTAACACCTCCACCTTCGTAACCCCTCAACAGATGGCTGTACTGGTATGCGGCAGGTACTGGCTTGTTCAGTAGACTCTCCTTTACAGTTCCATTTTGGCGGGAAGCCTTAGCATTGAACGGTTGTGTTGTTAAAGTGCGAAGTATGGCACCCTGTGCAGAAAGTCGGTCAGTGCGACTTAAGCAACATGCAGTCATTGAATTCTTGACAGCAGAAGGTGTCACCCCAAAGGAGGTTCAGCAGAGAATGCAAGCTGTTGATGGCAATTGTGTTGATGTGAGTACTCTGCGTTGTTGGGCGAATAAGTTTAAAGATATTAAGTTGGGAACATCTGACTTGTGTGACAAGCAAATAGTTTGACGTCCTGTGACAGCAACCACTGAGTTTCAAAAGCAAAAGGCTCATAGATTGATTCAGGATGATCTTCGTATCACTCAGAGAGAAATGTTAAGTATAATCCACATTTCACAAGAATTTGTGGGTCACATTATTGCTTTGCTTGGCTGTCGGAAGATCTGTGCACGATGAGTACCCAGGATGAGAGAACTATGAGACGCTGGTTGTGGAAACAGAGTGTCAACTTCTTCCGTGACGGCTCCAGGAAACTTGTTCATTATTGGCAGAAATGTATCCAATTGTCTGGTGATTATGTGGAAAAGTTAATAGTGGTCGTTAAAGAGCACATTCTAAGGATTATTTCTGCGTTTGATTTATTAAAATATTCCCATCCAAACCCAAGTAACGAAGATGGAGGCATTACTTTTCATTCAACCCTCATATATACACATACATTTTGCTAGTATGGATGTGTTGTTGTTGTATTTGGGCATTGAATGTTTGCCTTTTATGTTTGGAATCCACCCTGAGCCCCTTTGGGGAGATAGAGCAGAATATAAAAAAAGTATTATTATTATTATTATTATTATTATTATTATTATTATTATTGACACAAAAGCACAGTATGTCACAGCAAACAAGATCTATATGCTGGATTTCGTATCACAAAATCACAAGTCGAACACTCCCCAAGCATCTAGGACTGTGTGATGTTTTTTTGAATTATTATTATTATTATTATTATTATTATGTACACAAAAGCACAGTATGTCACAACAAACTAAATCTATAAGCTGGATTTCGTATCACAAATCAGAAGTCGAACACTTCCCAAGCATCTAGGACTGTGTGATGTATTTTCGAATTATTATTATTATTATTATTATTATTATTATTATTATTATTATATACACACATAAAACACATAGACACAGACTGGGCCACAGCAACGCGTTATAAATAAATACAGAATGCATTGTATGTGTGACTTTTTGAGGAGATGTGGTGGGCTTCACCTTTTAAGTGTTGATTTAGTAGCCAAGCACAGTGGACTAAACCCTTGTGCCGGCAGGACTGAAGACCGACAAGTTGGAGGTTCGAATCTGGGGAGAGTGTGGATGAGCTCCCTCTGTCAGCTCCAGCTTCTCACGCAGGGACATGAGCGAAACCTCCCACAAGGATGATAAAACATCAACACATCCAGGCATCGTCCTTGCAGACGGCCAATTCTCTCACACCAGAAGCGACTTGCAGTTTCTCAATATGGAAAAAAAATTGCATTGATTGCTCTTTTGCACTTTCAGAATCCATCCTCAATTACGGCACTTTCCATCTTTTGCACTGATTGGTAGATAACCACTTCAAAAGAGGATAGTAATCCTTTAAGCATTCCCTCGTTCTCTCTGTCCTCTGTGTCCAAGAATATTGTTACCTACTGCCACCGCTCTCTTTCATGATACGCTTCTGTGTCAGATGCTCAGATGGATTAATTTCTAGCTGCTGGGCCTTACATAACTTGCACTGTTTTGGCACACATACATTTTAATGAGGGACAATCAGTCCTTGTCCTGAGATTGACAGCAAAGGGAGGTTCCTCGCTGCATCGCAGCTCAGCACAGCACAGTCTATCCTGCTAATTGAAGCAGGGCATTGGCTTCTCTCTTTTGGAGGGCTCCTTCTACCAAGGTTTAAACTTGTCAGCAGTGAGAGCCTATTTCGTACCATGGGACTATGACCTGTCAAACCAGATTTAAGAGACTCTTCATAACATTAAACCTTCATCGCATTCTCAACCCGTGGCCTACAACTCCCAGGAATCCCAGTTTACTAGTTGTTAGGATTTCTGGAAGTTGAAGGCTAAACATTTGGGGACCCACAGGTTGAGAACCGCCACATTAAACTATGCTCCGGGTGGAAAGCTTCTGACCTCTTATTGTGAAAAACGATGTGAATATACCATGGTTTCCCCACAAATTGAGAATGAAGTATGGTCAGAGTGAAATAATAATAATAATAATAATAATAATAATAATAATAATAATAAAAAATAAATAAATCATCCAGCAAATAGATCTTGTTTGCTGTGAAATACTGTGCTTTTGTGCCAATAATAATAATAATAATAATAATAATAATAATAATAATATTTTGTGATACGAAATCCAGCATATATATTTCATTTGCTGTGACATACTATGTTTTTGTGTCAGTAAAATAATAATAATAATAATAATAATAATAATAATAATAATAATAAAAATCACACAGTCTTAGACGCTTTGGAAGTGTTCGACTTATGATTTTGTGATATGAAATCCAGCTATATATCTCGTTTGCTGTGACATACTGTGTTTTTGTGTCAGTAAAATAATAATAATAATAATAATAATAATAATCATCACACAGTCCTAGACGCTTGGAAAGTGTTCAACTTGTGATTTTGTGACACGAAATCCAGCATATAGATATCTCTTTTGCCATGACATACTTTGTGTTTGTGTCAGTAAAATAATAATAATAATAATAATAATAATAATACATCACATAGTCCTAGACGCATGGGAAGTGTTTGACTTGTGATTTTGTGATATGAAATCCAACAGATATATCTTGTTTGCTGTGACATACTGTGTTTTTGTGTCACTAAAATAATGATGATGATGATGATGATAATAATACATCGCACAGTCCTAGACACTTGGGAAGTGTTCGACTTGTGATTTTGTGATACGAAATCCAGCACAGAGATCTCATTTGCTGTGACATACTGTGGTTTTGTGTCAGTAAAATAATAATAATAATATAATTGAAAATGAAGACTGATCTGAGTGTAACATAATAATAATAATAATAATAATAATAATAATAATAATAATAATAATAAAATTGAGAATGAAGACTGGTCTGAGTGTAACATAATAATAATAATAATAATAATAATAATAATAATAATAATAATGAAAAGTTGAACTATAGCTTTGATCAGTGTTTCCCAACCTGGGGTTGGAACTCCTGGGGGGGTTACGAGGGGAGTGTCAGAGGGGTCGCCAAATACCATCAGAATAGACAGTATTTTCTGTTGGTCATGGGGGTTCTGTGTGGGAAGCTGGCCTAATTCTATCGTTTGAGGGGTTCAGAATGCTTTTTGATTGGAGATGAACTATACATCCCAATAATTACAACTCCCAAAGGTCAAGGTCTATTTTCCCCAAACCCCACCAGTATGCACATTTGAACATATCGAGTATTCGTACCAAGTTTGGTCCAGATCCATCATTGTATGAGCCCACGGTGCTCCCTGGATGTGGGTGAACTACAACTCCAAAATTCAAGGTCAATGCCCACCAAACCTTTCCAATACTTTCTGTTGCTCGTGGGAGTTCTGTGTGCCAAGTTTGGTTCAATTCCGTTGTTGGTGGAGTGCAGAATACTTTCTGATTGTAAGTGAACTATAAATCCCAGGAATCAGAACTCTCAAATGACAAAATCAATCCCCACCAGGATTCAAATTTGGGCATATTGGGTATTTGTGCCCAGTGTGGTCAAGTGAATGAAAATACATCCTGAATATCAGATATTTACATTAAAATTCAGAACAGTAGCAAAATAAAGATCACGAGATAGCAATGAAAATGGGGGTCACCACAACATGAGGAAGTGTATTAAGGGGTCACATCATTGGGAAAGTTGAGAAACAGTGACTTAGGTTAAAATACTTTGTGGTGTAAATGTTCTAAACTGGAATGTTTATCATGAAACCTGGGCTGCCTCCTATATATATTTCAGCCCCTGAAAGCCATCTTGAACCAAAGGCTCCGTAGCCGCTGTTTAGTAAGCCTCTAACAAAAGAGACTTTGTAGTTCCAGAAAAGGCCCGATCATGTCCTTGTTGTATAGAATTAGCTCGCCGTACAAGTAGGCCCTCCAATTTCTACCAGACTGCCTGCCCATGCAGCCACGGATTTAGTCATTTGCGACACAGAAACAGACTCTGGTTATATATTACTGCGTGTGTGTGTGTGTGTGTAGTGTTTTTATGAAGTCTTAACGTTTTCCTTTCCCATCTTAACTTCTAGTTATTCTGAGTCCTTTTGGACTGAATGGCACACTCACGGGACAGTCGTTCAAGCTGTCGGATTCCGCGACGAAGAAACTGATTGGCGAATGGAAGCAGTTCTATCCGATCACCTCCAACCTCAAAGAGGGATTGGAGGAGAAGCAAGAAGAGATGGATTGGGAGGACGACTCGCTGGCGGCCGTGGAAGTCCTTGTTGGTAGGAAGGCCTTTTCAGAAACCCAAATATTGGGCTTGCATTACTAAATAATCATTTATGGAGTTTACAAAGTATTGTGCATTATCAAAAGATAGCTTAGCTGATTGTTATATACTCAAAGAGGTGATATATATATATATATATATATATATATATATATATATATATATATTATATGATATTATATAGCACTTAGGAGTAATTGTTTTGATTCTGAATTCAACCTGGGATAGGAGAGATATGGACTGTCACCTGAATAAATAAGTCATATCCTATTATTTTCATAAATATAGAAATAGTCATATCCTATCTATATTAATAAAAATGTAATGTTCGTTTGTGCTGTGCTGATATATTGTATACACATATAATGTTGTTAATGTTATAATGTAATCTATATAAATAAAAATGTAATGTTCGTTTGTGGGATTATCATAACTCAAAAACCACTGGGCGAATTGACACGAAATTTGGACACAGTACACCTAACAGTCCAACGAGTGTCCATCACCCCTAAACACACACACGCACACAAAGCCCCAACGGAACAGACTTAAAAGCCCCAAAAATACACCATATATACATATACACATACATATACATATATACATGCACACATGTTTATACACACACGTATATATATGCACAAACACACACAAATATACACATATACTTACTTACTTAGGTGATCCCTCGTTGTCTGAGTAGGATAATCTTCCAGGGTGGGTCCGTTTAGAGTGGCTTGTATATCTTCTTCTGAATGTGCACAGACAATGTTGTCATCAGCATACTGGAGTTCTATAACATGTTGTTGTGACCTTGGTTTTGGCTTTCAGTCTGTTGAGGTTAAATAGCTTGCTATCTGTCCGATAGATGATACACATGTATACATACGTACATATACATACACACATATACACAATATGCATGTACACATATAAACACACAAATACGCACATATATATAAATCTACACACACAAACACACATATATACACAAATATATACACAAATAAAGACATATACACAGACTGGGCCACAGCAATGTGTGGCAGGGGACGGCTAGTTATTGTCATAAAATGTATTGTTTTATTAAAATATATCATTAAATCTGTATAAAAGCATATCTGCTTCCTCTCACCGAAGGTTCTCACACTAGGTGTTCCTCATACTGAGGCCTTCTTACACACTGAGGCCTCCCCTATACTGAGGCCTACTTACACACTGAGGCCTCCCTCTGAGGATAGAGAGATAGTAGATGATCTACATAGAGAACTAGATAAGGGGAGTGTGTCCCTTCGGGTTCTCTTAGACCTCTCAGCGGCTTTAGGCCTGGCTATGGGACATAGATGGCATTGGTCACCTTGTTGGATGACCTACATAAAGAGGGGTGTGTGTCCATTCTGGTTCTCTTGGACCTCTCAGCAGCGTTCTAAACCATCAACCACAGTATCCTTCTGGACTGCCTTGCAGGAATGGGCTTTGGAGGCACTGTGTTGCAGTGGTTCCAGTCCTTCCTAGAGGTATTGTCGAAGGCTTTCGTGGCTGGAATCACTGGGTTGTGAGTTGTCCGAACTGTATGGCCATGTTCCAGAAGCCTTCTCTCCTGACGTTCCCCCTGCATCTATGGCAGGCATCCTCACAGGTTGTGAGGTCTGTCGGAAACTAGGAAAATGGGGTTTATATATCTGTGGAAGAATGTCCAGAGTGGGAGAAAGAACTCTTGTCTGTTGGAGGTAGCTGTGAATGTTTCAATTAGCCACTTGATTTGCATTTAATAGCCTAGCAGTTTTCAAGGTGTGACTTCTTACTGTCCAGGGGAATCCTTTGTTGGGAGGTGATTAGCTGTCCCTGATTGTTTCTTGTCTGGAGTTCCCCTGTTTTTGAAAGTTGTTCTTTATTTACTGTTATGATTTTAGAGGGTTTTTAAAATACTGGTAGCCAGATTTTGTTCATTTTCATGGTTTTTTCCTTTCTGTTGAAATTGTCCACGTGCTTGTGGATATCAGTGGCTTCTCTGTGTCGTCTGACATGGTGGTTGTTAGAGTGGTCCAGCATTTCTGTCTTCTCAAATAATATGCAGTATTGTCCTGCATGTTGTTTAACATCTACATCAGGCATCCTCAAACTGCGGCCCTCCAGCTGTTTGGGCCTTCAACTCCCAGAATTCCAGACAATTGAAAAAGCTCGTTAGGGCTCCTGGGAATTGGAGGCCCAAATAGCTGGAGGGCCATAGTTTGAGGATATCTGATCTACATGAAGCCATTGGGAGACTCCTGGTCAACCCCATGGCCTTTGTCCGGTGGGGTTCCCGTAGGGTCCAATCCTGTCCCCCATGTTGTTTAACATCTATATGAAAACCTTGAGAGATACCATCCAGAGATCATCCAGACTGCCACAGCTGCCAAGCACTGGTTGAGGACTTGGACAGCCTCCTTAGTAGCAGTGAAAAGGAGCGATAGAGTTGGACTTCATCTGCGTACAGATAACATTGAACTCCAAAACTCTGGATGATCTCTCCCAGTGGCTTCATGTCGATGTTAAACAACATGGGGGACAGTACTGAGTCCTGCGGGACTCCAGAAGACAATGGCTGTGGGTCTGAGCAGGTTTTGTGTGTGTGTGTCAGGAGCGACTTGAGAAACTGCAGGTCACTTCTGGTGTGAGAGAATTGGCCGCCTGCAAGGAGGTTGCGCAAGAGATGTTGCCTGGATGTTTTGATGTTTTACCATTCTTGTGGGAGGCTTCTCTCATGTCTCCGTATGGGGAGCTGGAGCTGACAGAGGGAGCTTATCTGTGCTCTTCCCAGATTCCAACCTGTGACCTGTTGGTCTTCAGTCCTGCCACCACAAGGATTTAGTCCACTGTGCCACCGGGGGCTTGGCTGGTGTCCCCCAGCAACACCTTCATAGAATCATATAATCAAAGAGTTGGAAGAGACCTCATGGGCCATCCAGTCCAACCCCCTGCCAAGAAGCAGGAATATTACATTCAAAACACCCCTGACAGATGGCCATCCAGCCTCTGTTTAAAAATTTCCAAAGAAGGAGCCTCCACCACACTCTGGAGCAGAGAGTTCCACTGCTGAACGGCTCTCACAGTCAGGAAGTTCTTCCTCATGTTCAGATGGAATCTCCTTTCTTGTAGTTTGAAGCCATTGTTCCGCGTCCTAGTCTCCAGGGAAGCAGAAAACAAGCTTGCTCCCTCCTTCCTGTGATTTCCTCTCACATATTTATACATGGCTATCATATCTCCTCTCAGCCTTCTCTTCTTCAGGCTAAACATGCCCAGCTCCTTAAGCTGCTCCTCATAGGGCTTGTTCTCCAGACCTCTGATCATTTTAGTGGCCCTCCTCTGGACACCCCCCAGCCTATCAATATCTCTCTTGAATTGTGGTGCCCAGAATTGGACACAATATTCCAGGTAAAGTGGTCTAACCAAGGCAGAATAGAGCATGGGGAGCATGACTTCCCTGGATTGAGGCACTGGACTCCTCTTGATGCAGGCCAAAATCCCATTGGCTTTTTTTGCCGCCACATCAAATTGTTGGCTCATGTTTAATTTGTTGTCCACAAGGACTCCAACCTGGGGAGAGCGTGGATAAACTCCCTCTATCAACTCTAGCTCCATGCTGGGACGTGAGAGAAGCCTCCCACAAGGATGGTAAAACATCCAAACATCTGGGCAACGTCTCCTGGGCAATCTCCTTGCAGGATGGTAACACATCCGGGCAATGTCCTTGCAGACGGCTAATTCTCTCACACCAGAAGTGACTTGCAGTTTCTCAAGTCTCTCCTGAGACAAAGAAAACCCCTTAATTTGATTAGGGGTCTGTGTTTGGTGATGATGAAGGAGAGCGAAACCTGGGTGAGATATTCCAAGAGAAGAAGTCATGGTTCTTTCTTAGAGCTTGGGAAAATGCTTTGAGGGGGAGTAGAGAGAGAAATATGGCAAGGCTGTCAGAAATCAAGCTTTAGTCTTCCGGATTGTCTTCCATCTTGGTGGTGTGACTCATTGCCTCCCAAGCTCTGGCACTTGGGCCTTGCCTCCTCCTGGGTTTCTCCTTCTGTCCCAGTTGCTGAGGGGGTGGCTGGCTGGGGATTTGTAGCCGTAGCTGAGGCGATACCATCCCTTTTGGCAGGGGTTCTTCCTCATGTGCTGTGTGACTCATGCACCTGGGTTCTCTGCCTGTTTAGAACCCAGACTTGGCATGTTCTAGAGCACAGCAACATTTTGGCAGGAGTCTTGCTCTTCCCACTCAGGCCCCAGTCCCCCAAACTGGTGGAAATATTTCGAGAGTGGGCTATCTGATGTCGGTTAGAGATGGCTTTGAAGAGGTAACCAACCTGCCAGTCTCTCAGAGAAAGAGCCATGCCTAAAAGCCCAGGAAGCCAGCTGACTGTCGAGAAGCCCATGCTGCGCTAGAGTGCAGTCATGTGCATGGCCATATGGCAGAATTGGAAAGGATATTAAAATGCTGGGAGAAAACAAAGTATGTGATAATGTTGACCTCAGAATCCTTGTGCTTGGTAAGTGAAGATGTCCTAGAAATGCCCTTAAATACAAAAAGTGTGGATACAACATCAGTGTTAGTTCGCTGGCTTTGCTCAAGAATGGACGGTTCTACGTCATGCCTGGAAAGGCCCTGAGTTCCAGCACAAGTCATGTATTGGTCAAACTAGTCCGGGATTTATAGCCTAGACGGCAGAAGCATTTTACGGCTTTAGTGGAGGAACAGGAAAAGGCAGATAAATTATATTGCATCACTTACAAGAAGCATGCTTTTAGCTCAGCAGAGGGCAGAAGAATAATGGCGGCTTGGGCAAAAGGAAAGGGGAAGGAGTCTCAAGTTTCATTCATGAGCAGAACCATGAGCTGTGTGCCACAGAGCTGAAACGGAGTTGCTAATTATTTCCCAAATTATTCGGAGCTGCTTGTGGAAGGAAGAAATAGATCTCTGGCTCAATTTCACCACATCGGGTCTGGATGCCAAGTTTGGTCCAGATCCATTGTTGCTTGGATTCATAGTGTGCCCTGGATGTAGGTGAAGTACAACTTCTCTAAATCCCTCCAAAGATTTGGTCATGGGTGTTCTGTGTGCCAAGTTTGTTCCAGGTCCATCATTGGTGAAGTTCTGAATACTCCTAGATTGCAGGTGAACTATACATTCCATTACCTACAACTCCCCAAACCTCTCTAGTATGTTCAGTTGCTGATCAGTTCCTCTGTTTGCTGTGTGCCATAGAAAATAATAGGATTAGGTTAAGGGAGCAGTGGGCAGGGTCATCCAGTTGCCACACCAATGGAGAGAGTAAGAAACACTGGGATGTCTGTGGTGGAGGAAACACATAAACTCTAAGATGAAATTGTCCCCGTATGAGACAGTTGAGTGATGAGCAGTACAGTGTTCCCTCCCTTATTGCTGGGGTTACGTTCCAGGACCTCCTGCAATAAGTGATGCTCTATTTATTTTAATATTTATACATTATTTTAGTTGCTATACACTTTTTTAAGTCTTTATAAACTTAAAGTGGAGGAAAGGAAGGAAAGGGCCTTCAAGGCTGGAGGGAGGGAGGGAGGGAGGACTGAGGAGGGAAAGTACCTTGGAGAGCAGTGGCGGCAAAACCCACAAAACAGTGAAAATACCATGATATATTTTAAATTAATATTTTTTGAAATCCGCAAAACAGTGAGTCTGCAATAAGCGAACCGCAAAGTAGCGAGGGAACACTCTAGGGTGTTTGTGGAGGACATTGTCAGGGCTCTTGAACATGTTTATGGTGCTCCCTATAACCTGCAATGTCATCGGAGGGAGGGCCATTGGTGGCCCCTCATAGGTGGGGGTTATAGCTGTTTGTGGAGGCAGGAGCTTGTCTGTGTAAGTGGACACCCCAGTCACACACACACACACACACACACACACGTATTTTCACTTTTTATTATGTGTACAGTGTTCCCTCACTGAATGAGGGTGTTACATTCTAGGACCTCCCGCAATAAGTTGAAAACCACAATGTGGGGATGCTATATTTACTTTAATATTTACCATATACTTTATTTTAGTAGTTATACCCTATTTTAAGTCTTTATAAATAAAGTGAAGGAAAGGAAGGAAAGAAAGAAAGGCCCTTCAAGGCTGGAGGGAGAGCCATGGTGGCAAAAGCCCACGAAACAGTGAAAATACTGTGATATCTATTTTAAACTAATACTTTTTGAAAACCGCAAAAAAACGAATCTGGTAAGAGTGAACCGTGAAGTAGCGAGGGAACACTGTATAGATTTAGTTCTTGAGTGAAGTTTTAAAAGCAGTAGTTCATCTAAAGGCTGGCCTTGGCTTAATTCTAGAATGAATAAACTGTATTTATATTTCTTTTTTTCCTAGCTGGTGTGCGCATGGTCTACCCGGCCTGCTTTGTTCTAGTTCCTCAGACAGACATTCCTACTCCTAGTGCTCCTGGGTCAAGCAACTGCTTGGGTGTCCATCAAGTGCCTGCTTCGACGAGAGATCCAGCAATGTCCTCCGTTACTCTGACGCCACCAACGTCCCCAGAAGATGTCCAAACAGGTATCATGCAACAGGGTGGGGGTGGGGGGAGAGTTATATGCGAGCAAAGGCATCTGAGGAATTGTCCATGGCTCCTTTAAAAGTGCCACTGCTGCTTCCAGCTGCCCACACCACTGTTGGGACACCTACTATAGATTAGTCATCCTTGGTCTTTATGTTTTGCAAGTTTTGAAGGAACATAGCTCACCTCTCCTGGTTGCATCATCTTCCTTTCATAACTGGGACATATACCCCCCCTTCATAAAGAGCAGCTTCAATTATCACCTTGTGGATGGCGTTTGCTTCCAGGGTTGGTGAGGAAAGGTTACGGGAGGACACACATCACTCAATAAAGCAGTGTTTCTCAACCTGGGGGTCAGGACATATATTTCTGATGGTCTTAACGGTTTGATGTTTTGTCTTATGACTGCTTTTTATTTAATTTTTAGTTTGTTAAGTTATAATTCGTATTTATATGCTGGGTTGTATACATTTTGTTCGTATGGATGTATTGTTGTTGTATTCGGGCATTGAATGTTTGCCGTGTATATGCTGTGCTCCGCCCTGAGTCCCCTTCGGGGTGAGAAGGGCGGAATATAAATGTTTTAAATAAATAAGTAAGTAAATAAATAAATAAATACTTGGAGATGAGTGACAAGAGGGTCCTGAAGGATTCTCCCATTGGCTTTTGAAGATTGCCATATCTGATATCTGTAGATATTTGCTCTTTAGGGGAGTCAATGTAGTGGTTGGTGGATTAGTTCCGTCCCCTACGAACTCCTCCCTTACAAATACGCCTTTTTCATTGTTATCTCATCCAGAGTTTTATCATTTTATGTTGTACATTTGCCCCGCCCACTGTGTTGATTTTTCACTTTTTTTTATTTTGCAGTCTTTTATTTTACCTGTATGTTTTATTTATTTTATTGTGATGTTATTTTTGTTGTTCTGTATTTATTTTGCTGTAATGTATCACTGGGCTTGGTGGCCTCATGTAAGCCACTCCGAGTCCCCTCTGGGGAGATGGTGGCGGGGTATAAATAAAGATTATTATTATTAGGTTGCTATAAGTTTTTTGGGGCTATATGGCCATGTTTTAGAGGCATTCTCTCCTGACGTTTCGCCTGCATCTATGGCAAGCATCCTCAGAGGTAGCTGAGGAATCTTGCCATAGATGTAGAAGAAACGTCAGGAGATAATGCCTCACAGTGATGGGCAACCTTTTGAGCTTGATGTGACAACATTTGCCAAAAACCTGAGCATAACTTGAGTGTGGGTGTCACTTCGAGAAAAAAACCCATAATTTTGCTATATTTATAGTTTAAATGGGAGCCCCCGGTGGCGCAGTGGGTTAAAGCACTGAGCTGCTGAGCTTGTTGATCTAAAGGTCGCAGGTTCGATTCCGGGGAGCGGCGTGAGCTTCCGCTGTCAGCCCTAGCTTCTGCCAACCTAGCAGTTCGAAAACATGCAAATGTGAGTAGATCAATAGGTACCGCTTCGGCAGGAAGGTAACGGCGCTCCATGCAGTCATGCCGGCCACATGACCTTGGAGGTGTCTACGGACAATGCTGGCTCTTAGGCTTAGAAATGGAGATGAGCACCACACCCCAGAGTCAGGCATGACTGGACTTAATGTCAGGGGACTACCTTTACCTTTTACTATAATTTAAATAAGAAAAATGTATAATCCATGCTGAGTTAATGGAGTGAACAATGCTCAAACGTGCAGATGTTAAATTTGTAGAGCCTTTTACAAATTTAAGGATGGAATTAGATTGGTTCTTATAAGGTGTATTTCTTTGTATGCGGCTGCATGTGTCTGCATGTCATCAAAAATAGCCATGCGTGTCAGTGCTGACATGCATGTCATAGGTTCACCATCACGGCTCTAGGACATGGCCATATAGCCCGAAAAAACTTACAGCAACCTAGTGATTCCAGCCATGAAAGCCTTCAACAATACATTATTATTATTATTATTATTATTATTAGTCTTTGGGGTTAGACCAGGGTTCAGATCCCTGCTCAAACATGACCTGGGGCAAGTCACACTTTCACAGCCTCAGAGGAAGTCCGTGGCAGAATAAATCTTGCCAGGGAAATTGAAGTCACAGAAGAACAACAACCAATTGACTTGTTGGATGGACATGTCAAGAAGAAAATCACTGTTGGGAGATGTCTGATAACACATTGGCAGCTTCGCAATTGAATAAATCCCTGATGCTCTGAGTGACAGTTGTCAGGTCCTTTGACATTGTTGTCGAGGTAAACAAGATCACAGAGTTGGCACTTGGGGGATAAAATTTATCTTAATATATGGCTTCATTCGATAGAAAGCGTTATGAACTTTGGTGTTTCCCTCTGTCTCTTCAGTTGATGCTCGCTCGGCCCAGAAGTGGGTGAAGCTCTCGTCAGTTTCGGACGTGTTTAGCTCTGACAGCACCAGTCACCACGGGGGCCGAATTCCACGGAAGCTGGCCAATCAAGTGGTTGATCGAGTTTGGCAAGAATGCAATATGAACAGGGCAGTAACCAAGTACGTTGACTTTTAAAAAAAATATATTGTGGCACATGTTGGGCTTTACACTCGAGGCTTTCAACCTCGGGCTTCTCTCACTGAAGCCTTCTCACACCAGGCCTCTCATACACTGAGGCTGAGGCCTACTCACTCAGAGGCCTACCTCACACTGTGAGGGCTACTAACACTGAGGCCTCTCTCAGTCTGAAGCCTCTTCATACTGAGCGCAACTAACACAGAGACAGAAACACACAGACCCAATGTTATCTTTTCCTTAGGAGGCTTTTCTTCGTAGCAAAATAATATGGTTGCACTATTTACAAGAACAAGGTTTCCATGCTACAAATAAAGTTCTTTATACTTCCTTCTTTGCTTCAACGCTGGGCTTCTTTCTTATGCAGATAAACAGCTTCACTCTCACGGAGCCTCCTCTCACACTAAACTTACACTGGAGCTTTACACATGAGGTCTTCAACCTGGGGCTTCTCTCACTGAAGCCTTTTCACATCAGGCCTCTCACACACTGAGGCCTACTCACTCTGAGGCTTATTTCACACTGAGGCCTACTAACATTGAGGTTTATTTCACACTGAGGCCTCTCTCAGATTGAAGCCTCTTCATACTGAGCGCAACTACACCTCAGTGTAGCTTTTGCTGAGTCATTACATCACTTCAACCCTTTCAGTGCTTGACTCACATTTTTGTAATTAAAAATACCTAGTTAATTTTGAATATTTCTGACGGCACAGTTGTTTCAAATCATCCAAAAAGGGATGAAAATAGAGGAAATGGCTCGTCTTTTGGTTTTTCCCGTAGTCGGTCTTTTGATTCTTCCTTGCCATGGGTTTGTCATGCTCTCCCTCTGAATTTCTCATCCCGCCCATGCATTTTGTACTTCCGGTTTGCTGCATAAGTTGGGTTCATCCGTTGAGCCCTCACGTGAATGTATATGTTTTGGAAATTCACTCTGGTGAATGTAAAATAGTGGCGAAGACTATAAGAAAAGGCCTCATGCACAAATTTTTCCAGGCAGGGGCTTTTCAGATACAACATTTTCTGGGACAAGAGAATATTATTGCTTCTGCTTTACAGCAGAAAAGTAATGCCTCCACCTTCGTAACTCCTCAACAGATGGCAGTGCTGGTATGCGGCAGGTACTGGCTTCTTCAGTAGACTCTCCTCTAGAGTTCCATTCTGGTGGGAATCCTTAGCATTGAACGGTTGTGTTGTTAAAGTGAAAAGCAATGCTTCCACCTTTGTAACTGCTCAACAGATGGCAGTACTAGTATGCGGCAGGTACTGGCTTGTTCTGTAGACTTTCCTCTACAGTTCCATTCTGGCGGGAAGCCTTAGCATTGAACAGTTGTGTGGTTAAAGTGAAAAGTAATGCCTCCACCTTCGTATCTGCTCAACAGATGGCAGTACTGGTATGCGGCAGGTACTGGCTTGTTCTGTAGACTCTCCTCTACAGTTCCATTCTGGTGGGAAGCCTTAGCATTTAACAGTTGTGTGGTTAAAGTGAAAAGTAATGCCTCCACCTTCGTATCTGCTCAACAGATGGCAGTACGGGTATGCAGCAGGTACTGGCTTGTTCAGTAGACTCTCCTCTACAGTTCCATTTTGGCGGGAAGCCTTGGCATTGAACGGTTGTGTTGTTAAAGTGCGAAGTAGAGAACCCTGCGCAGATGGTCGGCAGAAGGTGTCACCTCAACATCTTTAAACTTACTTGCCCAACAACGCACAGTACTCATATCAACACAATCACTATAAACAACTTGCATTCTCTGATGAATCCCCTTTGGGGTGACACCTGCTGTCAAGAATTCAGTGACTGCACATTGCTTAAGTCGCATTGACCGACCGTCTGGCTACGAATTATTTTTTCTGGCTACGAATTTGCAATGCAAGACTCTGCAACTGTGCTCCATCACACGCGCGTGGTTTGCTTTACCTCATTTTGCAACGTAATGCATTTCAGAAACATAAATCATACTCTTCTTTCTTCTTTTGCAATCTAGGAGGAAGTATTCCGCTACGTCGAATGGCTTGTGCGAAGAGGAGACGGTGGACAAAATCGCATTTTGGGACTTTGTTGAAGCCACGCAGAGAACAAATTGCATTTGCTCAAGGTACACTTCTTTTTGTTATTGTCATAATAACAATCAGGTAAATGGCTGATGCAGTGGATCCTTTATTTTCTGTACCTTTTTGTTTGTTTATCTGTCTGTCTCCATCTGTTTGTTTGTCTTTATCAAGAGAATGAGTGATGAAGACCTAATGAAATATTGGACACTGCGTATACTTGTGACTTTTATTTATTTAGTGGATTTGCATAATTCCTTTGGATTCAAAACAAAACAAAACAAAAGCAGTCCCGCCAAAACAAGTACAGGCACTTGGCATTTTCTTGGTGTGCCTTTTCTACTGACTAGTCAGTGGCAGATGGACTTCACAGTTGGGATAGAGAACAATCCAACTTGTGGTGATGGACGTCTCATGGTGTTGTGTTTTCTTGTTAACCTTTTTAGAAAACTTCTCTATAAGTGTCTGATGCCCAGGAACTGTTTATAGTTGGGTTGTAGAAGACCATTCTCTCTGCACTGGCATGAATCCTATAACCCAGCATTATTAGGGACTATTAAGGTGCTATGGTGGCGCAATGGGTTAAAACCTTGTGCTGCTGAACTGCTGACCTTAAGGTTGGCAGTTCGAATCCGCAGGACAGGGTGAGTTCCCACTGTTAGCCCTGGCTCCTGCCAACCTAGCAGTTTGAAAACATGCAAATGTGAGTAGATCGATAGGTACCACTTTGGCGGGAAAGGCATAAGAGGCCCCAAGAACCTTGTGCTGCTGAACTGCTGACCAGAAGGTTGGCAGTTCGAATTCGCAGGACAGGGTGAGTTCCCACTGTTAGCCCTGGCTCTTGCCAACCTAGCAGTTTAAAAACATGCAAATGTGAGTAGATTGATAGGTACCGCTTCGGTGGGAAAGGCATAAAACGCTCCAAGAACCTTGTGCTGCTGAACTGCTGACCAGAAGGTCGGCAGTTTGAATCCGCAGGACAGGGTGAGTTCCCACTGTTAGCCCTGGCTCTTGCCAACCTAGCAGTTTGAAAACATGCAAATATGAGTAGATCAATAGGTACCGCTTCCACAGGAAAAGTATAAGACACTCCAAGCCAGTCACATGACCAGGAGGTGATAACACAGGCTCCTTGGCTTGGAAATAGAAAACAAACTCCTCCCCTAGGGCCAGAGATGAGTGCTGCCTCCAAAGCAGGAAATGAAAGGAGAAGCCTTTGCCTTTGTGTTTGTGTGTCTCATTGTATTGTAACAAGGCATTGAATGTTTGCCGGTATCTGTTTACACTAAGATTCCCTCGGGTAGAAGTGCAGAGTGTAAAATAATAATAACAATAATTTGAAACACAACAAGATGAGTACACAGCAAACAAGATCACACTCCTGCCTGTTGTATTGGATCACACATCAGACACTTCCCAAGTGTCTAGGACTGTGTGAAGTATTGGCGAATCATGCGTGCAGACCTGAGTAGGGTGGCCTTTTGCAGATGAGAGGTGGTAATTTTGTCAGCGCTGATTGTTTTTAAGTCCAGGCCAAGATCTTTAGCACTGCACCCAGTTTGCCGAACACGTTTGGGGCCACCTATCCTGGCTTGTGCCAGTTATTATTATACTGATACAAAAACACAGTATGTCAGCAAATGAGATATATATGCTGGATTTTATATCACAAAATCACAAGTTGAACACTTCCCAAGCATCTAGGACTGTGTGATGTGCCAGCTATTATTATTATTATTATTATTATTAATAATAATTTATTTGAAACACCACAAGATGAGTTCACAGCAGACACTCTGCTGGCTGTTGTGTTGAATTACACTTCGGACACTTCCCAAGTGTCTAGGACTGTGTGATGTATTGGCAAATAATGTGTGCAGATCCCAGTAAGGTGGCCTTCTGCAGCTGGCAGATGGTAGATGGTAATTTTGTCAGCTCTGATTGTGTTTAAGTGCAGGCCAAGGTCTTTAGGCACTGCACCCAGTGCAGTACTGTCTCTTTGGCCACAGAACGAGTACAGTTTAAGCTCAATAATAATAAAGTGAAATATTAAACGTAATAATAATAGGTAGTTGTAGGTTTTTTCGGGCTACATGGCCATGTTCTAGAGCAGTGGTTCTCAACCTGGGGTCCCCAGATGTTTTTGGCCTTCAACTCCCAGAAATCTTAATAGCTGGTAAACTGGCTGGGATTTCTGGGAAGTGTAGGCCAAAACACCTGTGGGGACCCACAGGTTGAGAACCACTGTTCTAGAGGCATTCCCTCCTGACGTTTCGCCTGCATCTATGGCAAGCATCCCCACAGGTAGTGAGGTCTGTTGGAACTAGGGAAAAGGGTTTATATATCTGTGGAATGACCAGGGTGGGACAAAGGACTCTTGTCTGTTGGAGCTAGGTGTGAATGTCTCAACTGACCACCTTGATTAGCATTTGATGGCCTGGCAGTGCTTGGGACAATCTTTTGTTGAGAGGTGATTAGATGTCTCAGATTGTTTCCTCTCTGTTGTTTTGCTGTTGTAATAATAAATAATTATTATTTGAAACACATCAAGATGAGTTCACAGCAGACACTCAGCTCGCTGTTGTATTGGATCACACAGTTATTATTATTATTATTGTGCTTTAAAACAGGTCTGAAAATAATGACTTCTGTTAACAATAATCAGGCACCATTATCATCACCACCATCATATTTTTTTTTAATTTCTTACCTGCCTCTTCTCACATCTTGATGTGGGCACAACATAGTTGGAGCTCCTTGCTGTGCTGTTGAACACACACATGATATATTTCTCTTTCTACCCAACTCCAGGCACAAAAATCTCAAGCCAAGGCTCGCCATTCAGCCGGGGACGGTGCCGCCAGTGGGACAACAACAGCAAGCGGCTCCAAAGCACAAGGCGAACGAGAAGCAAGAGAAAGGGGACAAGCCCCAAAAGCGCCCGTTGACTCCCTTTCACCACCGCGTGTCCATCAGCGATGACGTCGCCATGGAGGCCGACTCCGCCAACCAGAGGCTCGTGATCACGGCGTCGGACAGCCAAGTGAGGTTTTCGAATCTCAGAACGGGCGACGTCACCAAGACGCCTCAGATGCATGGCACGGAGATGGCCAACTCACCCCAGCCGCCGCCCCTCAGTCCTCATCCGTGCGACGTTGCTGACGAAGGGGCCACCAAGACCCCTTCCACGCCCCAGAACCAGCATTTCTACCACATGCCTACTCCAGATCCTTTGGTTCCTCCCAAGGCGATGGAGGATCGGATAGAGGGCTTGTCCCAGACCTTCCCGGCTCCGTTTCCAGAAGTGATAGAGCCCACCATGTACGTCGGTACGGCAGTGAACTTGGAGGAAGAAGATCCCGATTCCACCTGGAAGTTTTACAAAGTTCCAAAGAGAAAGGACGTGGATTTCTTGCCGCCACAGCTTCCGAGCGAAAAGTTTCGGGACGACCCCATGGGATCGGCAGGGCTGGATGCTATCTCTTCGGCCACAGAGTGAGTACAGCTTAAGCTCAATAATAATAAAGTGAAATAATATATGTAATAGTAATATTAATAATAATATTAAATCATACATGTAATAATATCAATAATTACAAATTGAAATAATAGATGCAATAATAATAGAGTATTTATTTATTTATTTACTATATTTGTATACCTCGGGGCGACTCAGAGCGGTTAACAAAGCAAATACAATACTTAAACGTGATAAAAACAGTTAAAAACTAGTTAAAAGAATAACATTATAACAATCAATAAACATCATCGCATCTCATCTCGTCTCATAGTTAAAATCAAGATCAAGTCTCATCATCCAAATGTTCCACATTTCTATATTAGTTACACTGCCTATTCAAATGTCTGCTCAAACAACCAGGTCTTGACTTTCCTCCGAAATGTGAACAGGGAGGGGGCTAATCTAATTTCTGTGGGAAGGGCATTCCACAGCCAAGGGACCACCACTGAGAAGGCCCTGTCTCTCGTCCCCACCAACTGTACTTGTGATGCAGGCGGGACCCAAGAGCAGGGTCTCCCCAGACGATCTTAATGTCCTAAAATAATAGGACGTTAAGTAAAATAATAAATGTAACAACAATAATAGAGTAAAATAATAAGTGTAATAATAATAATAATAATAATAATAAATCATACATGCAATAATATCAATAATTACAAATTGAAATAATAAATGTAATAATAATAATAATGATAGAGTAAAATAATAAACGTAACAACAATAATAGAATAAAATAATAAATGTAATAATAATAATAATGATAATAATAATAATACTTTATTTATACCCCACCACCATCTCCCCAAGGGGACTTGGGGCAGCTTACATGAGGCCAAGCCCAACAACACATCAGTAAAACAACAAAGCAATAAGCAAATAAAACAATACAATTAATATAGCTCACATATAAACAATGACATGCAATTTTTTTAAAAAAAAATTAAAAACCTATAGCCGGGCCAGATGTAATAGTTTAAAATTTTAAAAATATAATAATAATAATAATAATACAGTGAAATAATAAATGTAATGAGAATAGTAATAGTAGAGTAAAATAATAATTGTAATTATGATAATAATAGAGTCAAATAATGGAAATGTAATAGTAACAGTAACAGTGGAGTAAAATAATTGTGTAATAATAATAACAATAATAAAGTGAAATAATAAATGTAATAATAGTAATAAACAGAGTAAAATGATGTAAATGTAATAATAACAGTAGTAATAGAGTAAAATAATAAATGTAATAATAAAGTGAAATAATAAATGTGATTATGATAATAATAGAGTACAATAATGGAAATGTAATTATAACAGTAACGGTGAAGTAAAATAATTATGTAATAATAACAATAATAAATAGAGTGAAATAAATGTAATAATAATAATAATAGAGTAAAATAATGTAGAAGTAATAATAACAGTAATAATAAAGTAAAATAATAAGTGTAATAATAATAGAGTAAAATAATAAATGTAATAATAACAACAATAATAAAGTGAAATAATAAATGTAGTAGTAATAATAATAATAATAATAATAATAATAATAATAATAGCAGCAGAGTAAAATAAATAACCTTGACTTGAGTAGAAGGCTAGGGGGACTTTTTTAGTCTAAAACAGCTGAAAAACTCGACTTATCCTCGAGTATATATGGTACTATAGTTGTAGTATGAGTGAATGGCTTTGTAAATATTCTTCTTCTGAAATCATGATACTCATCTTAGTTGGAGGAGACGATTGTTTTGTGATACTTTCAATCGAGTGGACCTGCTGAGGCTGCCATTTTAGTTGTCAACAAGCAAATCCCATCGGCAAATACATGTTGATTCATTGGGATCACTTTTGTTGGGACTGACAATAGAAATCCGACCATGGTTTTGCATGCAGAAAGTTGTTTCCACGTAGTAAGGCCTTGGGAATATTTCTGAGACATTGAAAAGCTGCTGCTGGTCAGAAGATAATACTGAATGTGATGGCTTAATTAGGAGCTTGAGCAACTAGTTTTGCAATGGTTTTCCTTTCCTGGAGTGTTATCTTTGCTATAGGTGCTGTTTTGATGCATTTGAATGCTGGTCTTGAAGGCGGTTTATATATTTCCTTCAGAGGAAACTCACTGACTGGGTGTTTGTCACAGATTCCTGAAAGAAAACTTGGCATTTAGTTTGAAGACTTCTTTGCATTCCCTGCCAGAAAAGCAATTATTGCTATGATGTTATAGTTTCCACTCAAGACTATTTTTTTGTAGACTCCAGTCCAAAGCAATATCCTTTTCTGGGTGTCCCCAAACATCCAAGCTTGTATTAAACTGCGCAATCCATTGGAATCTCTGGAATGAAGAGGCCGAAATCTGGACTCCCAAATTTTAAAGACAACTCCATCAATGCTAAGCCTGTTGAGCTTCCTTGCTTATCTTGTTGCCAATGAATCTTGAATCTCTCCTGAGTGGCAGCCACCAAAATGTGGCTCTTAGGATCTTATTCTGCTCCCCGAAACAGACCATTTTCCTGGCAAAGGAACTGCAGCAACATAATACTTACAATATTATAATGTAATGCAATATAATACTACTACTACTACTACTACTACTACTAATAATAATAATAATAATAATAATAATATATTATAATTATATATTTATATTACATGTAATATTGCTAATAATATTACAATATAATGTATAGTACAATATAGTAATAATAATACTGATATTGTACTATGTTAGCCCCAGCTTCTGCCAACCTAGCAGTTCGAAAGCATGCAAATGTGAGTAGATATTGTACTGATATTGTACTATGCTAAGATAATAATATAATTTATTGTATGTATATATATCTTGTAAGCCGCTCTGAGTCCCCTTCAGGGTGAGAAGTGCGGCATATAAATGTCCTAAATAAATAATAAATAATACATATTGTTATTATATTTATTATTTTACGCTATTTATTACTATTATATTTATTATTTTTCACTATTATTACATTTATTATTTTACTCTGTTTATTGTTATTACATTTAATATTTTACTCTACTATTATTATTACATTCAAACTACAAGAAAGGAGATTCCATCTGAACATGGGGAAGAACTTCCTGACTGTGAGAGCCGTTCAGCAGTGGAACTCTCTGCCCCGGAGTGTGGTGGAGGCTCCTTCTTTGGAAGCTTTTAAGCAGAGGCTGGATGGCCATCTGTCAGGGGTGATTTGAATGCAATATTCCTGCTTCTTGGCAGAATGGGGTTGGACTGGATGGCCCATGAGATCTCTTCCAACTCTTTGATTCTATGATTTATTATTTTAGGTTATTTATTATTATGTTTATTATTTTACTCTCTTTATTATTATTGGAATGATACGTAAGCACATTCACATTGAAGAAGGTTCAGATAATGATTTAATCAGAGTTGGACAGTTTTGTCTTAAATTATATATATTATAATATTTATATTACATGTAATATTACATATAATATTACAATATAATGGTAAAATACAATATAGTAAAATATAATACAGATATTGTACTATGCTAATAATATAATATATTGTATGTAAGCTGCTCTGAGTCCACTTCGGGGTAAGAAGGGCGGAATATAAATGTTTTAAATAAAAAAATAAAAAATATAAATGTTGTAAATAAATAAACATTACAAAGTTATATTCCCTCATCTTAGTGTTCAATTAGTAATGTTAAATTACAGTTTTCCCTCCACATGTACAATTTTGACTTTTGCACCTTTGATTATTTGTGGATTTGATTTGTAAACGTCCTCTCTGGGAATCTGTAGGTCCTCCAGTGTGATTCTGTGGTCACTGTGACCACAGTGCTGTGATTCCACTTGTATTTTATCGTATCAGAAGGAAACCAGTTGGAAGACACACAACAACCCACTGATTCCAGCCTGAGAATAGAAGCAGCGTTTCTCACACCCTTTCTCTTTTCCCTGGATCAGTCCAGTGAAATTTAGTAAACACTCTTGAATGGGTGGGATTAGTAGTAAGGAAACAAAACTAATGGGAACCATATATTTGGCTCTTTTCCACTGTTTGTTTCCTTAAAGCTCTGTGGACAAACTATCCCTCGTCCACATATCTCAGCTGACCATTGCTTGGTAACACATTCACGTGTCTGAATAATATTGGATCTTCATTTTGCTCAAGAGTAAGAAAATGTGTGTTTTCCTCTTCAGTTTCTTTTCTAGTTTATTTTTCAATTTCCTTCTCATTGGGTTTGCTTGCTTATTTGAGAGGCAAGTGTTAGATCACTTGTGGTCCAAGGACCACCAGTAGTTCACAAGAATTAAAACATGGTCTGTGGCCTCATCATTATTAGATCGTCGTAATGAGCGTGGTCTCGCAAAACCCTCTTATAGTACCGAGGCTTATTAGATATGGTTTTTGTGGGCGAGCAGATGGCGACTACAGTGTTCCCTCACAACTTTGTGGTTCGCTTGTAGCGGACTCGCTGTTTCGCAGGTTTTTGAAAATATAAAAATATAAAATATTTATGTCCAGTGGAGGCCAGGGAACCCGGAAGTGCGCCGGCCTGAGGCGCGGTGGGGGAGGCCTGCCTCCCTTGCCTCCACAGACCCCGGAAATGCAGCGGCCTGAGGCGAGGCGGGGAAGGCATGCCTCCCTGGCCTCCACAGATTCCGGAAGTGTGGCAGCCTGAGCCGTGGAAGGGAAGGCCTGCGTCCTTGGCCTGCTGTCGCCTATGTGGCTCTGGAGGCTCTGCTCAGATCTGCGAAGGCCAGGGAGGAAGGCAGGTGCCCTCGGGATGGGTCGGAAGGTGGGTAAGGAAGCGCGGGTAAGAAAATAATATATAAACTATATAAAATAATCTATAAATATTAAAATATGGCGCCCCTACTTTGCACGTTTTCACTTATCACGGGTGGTCCTGGAACGGAACCCCCACGATAAGTGAGGGAACACTGTACCGAATAGTATATGTTCTGGATCAGAAAATGGAGCTGATGTGGTCTGTCCAATGCAGTTTTCCGAATCGGCACCCCATATCACCAAACCAAATCCTAACTTGACCAAAAACAGATTCGTAACCCTTTTGGTACTAATGTTGGAGAGTGGTCCCTGGTCAAAGTGGTCCCTGGTTAAAAGAAAAAAAAAAGGTTGGGAACCACTGGGTTAGAGGGGGATGCTGGGCCCAAACCATTTAGGGTAATTTAGGGTAATGAATTTAATTTGAATTGAGACTGGAAACTTACCTGCAGCCAATGGAGCTGCTGTTACTACCCGATTTGGGAGCGGAGCAGATCAAAGAGAAGGTTGAAGTTGGGTTGTTGTAAGTATTAATGTTTTATATTAAAACTTACAACAACCCAACTTCAACCTACTCTTTGACCTGCTCCCCTCCCAAATCGGGTTTTATATTGTTTTTATTATAATATGTATATTTATGCTTGTTTTTTCTTTGTTCTGGGCACTGTACTGTGTCAGTTGTTAGCCACCCTGAGTCCCTCTGAAATAGGAAGGAAAATAAATTTTCGGGCTGTATAGCCATGTTCCAGCAGCATTCTCCCTTGACGTTTTGCCTCTATCTTTGGCAGGCATCCTCAGAGGTTGTGAAGTGTGTTGGAAACTAGGAAAATGGGGTTTATATATCTGTGGAATAATGTCTAGGGTGGAAGAAAGAACTCTTGTCTGTTGAAGCTCGGTGCAGATATGTCTTTCAGTTTGCCACCTTGATTAGCACTGAATGGCCTAGCAGTTTTATGGTCTGGTTTCTTACTGCCTGGGGTAATCCTTTGTTGAGAGGGGATTAGTCGGTGTGAATGTTTCAATTGGCCAGCTTGATTAGCATTTAATGGTCTAGGAGTTTCAAGATGTGGCTTCTTACTGCCTGGGGGAATCCTTTGTTGAGAGGTGATTAGCTGTCCCTGGTTGTTTCTTGTCTGGAGTTCCCCTGTTTTTGAGTATTGTTCTTTATTTATTGTTATGATTTTAGAGGCTTTAAATACTGGTAGCCGGATTTTGTTCATTTCCATGTTTTACTCCTGTTGAAATTGTGCTTGTGGATTTCAGTGGGGTCTGACCTGGTGGTTGTGAGAGTGGTCCATCATTTCTGTGTTCTCAAGGTTTCAGGATCAGGAATGTTCCTAAAGAAGAGCACAGTCTTTCTGTTTGTTACGGCTCTGTTGCATGTATTACATCCAAAACGTGCTTGATGGTGATGGGATGTGATGTGCCGATATTCCTAGGCTACAGAACATCCTCGTTTTGCTCCCTCTGTGATTTCCCCAATGCTGGAGACTTGGTTGTTCTGGCAAGCTTCTCACCTACTGGTTACTTGATTTATATTTCTGCTTTGCTTCATTTTCTGCTGTTAGGTTGTGTTATGTTCCCTGTTGTCTGTCGGTGGTTTCAGTGCCAATAAGTATTGTTTTTGTCTTAGGGATTTTTTCTATATTATATAAAGCCACGTGGGCTTCCTCTGTTTAGTGCAGAAAGTCAGGATCTCAGTGTTTTGGTACTTTTTAAAAAACCCACGCAAATATGTAGCATAACAATGTGGAAACCTGCCCTGACAGGCCCCACAAATGTGCCTCTTCGTGGGCAGCGTTCTGGAGTGGCAAACATGCAGGGGTTCCTCAACCAATCGAGTTGACGTGGGAAGGTGAAAAGTTTGAAAATCATTGGAGTGGGATGATGTCAGGATCGTGCAAGCATTCCGGCTGCTCCCAGCCCTTCTCCGGATAGAAATTCCAGCTGTCTCTAGCATTCAATTGCCTCCAGTTTGTTGCTTCCCCGAAGGACAGTCCAGGGAAAATTCTAACGAGACACGAGAAAGCCCCTTTGCAAAAAAGGCTAACACGCAAAGCTATTTTCAGGCGACTTCCATTTCTTTGTGCTTGGAATAGAGAGGTTACCGTATATACCCAAGTATAAGCCGACCCAAATATCAGCCGAGGCACCTAATTCTGCCACAAAAAACTGGGAAAACGTATTGACTCGAGTATAAGCCGAGGGTGGGAAATGCAGTAGCTACTGGTCAATTTCAAAACAAAGATAGCAATAAAATTACATTAATTGAGGCATCCGTAGGTTCAAAGTTTTTGATTATTTACATAAAACTGTGATTTAAGATAAGGTTATCCAACTCTGATTAAACCATTATCCTAACCTTCTTCAATGAAAATGTACTTGCGTATCCTTCCAATAATAATGAGAGGGAAATAATACATTTAATAATAATAATAATAGAGTAAAATAATGGAAATGTAATAATAATAATAATAATAATAATAATAATAGAGTGTGATCAAGTCTTGTTAAGCCTTGTTGTTTTGTTTGATATTGTGATATGGCCTAAGGTCTAATCAATAAATTACTACTACTACATATGCTTCCAATAATAATAAAGAAAAATAATAAATGCAATAATAATAATAATAATAATAATAATAATAATAGTAAAATAATGGAAATGTATTGTCGAAGGCTTTCATGGCTGGAATCACTGGGTTGCTGTAGGTTTTTATATGGCCATGTTCTAGAAGCATTCTCTCCTGATGAGAAGGAAGGAAGAGAGAAGGAAGGAAGGATAAAGGAAAGAGGGAAGGATAAAGGAAAGAGGGAAGGATAAAGGGAGAGAGGGAAGAAAGAGGGAGAGAGGACGAAAGGGTGGAAGGGATGGAAGGAGAAAGAGGGAGGTAAGAAGGAAGGAAAGAGAAAAGGAAGAAAAGACAAAAAGGGAGGGAAGGGTGGCATGAAGGAAGAGAAGGAGGAAGGAAAAAGAGAAGGAAGGAGGGAGGAAAGAGGGAATGAAGGAACTCCAAAGGGGAAAGAAGGAAGGCAGGATGAAAGGGAGGGAAGGGTAGATGGAAGGAAGAGAAGGAGGAAGGAAAGAGAAGGAAGGAAAGGATAAAGGAAACACAAAAGAGAAGAAAGGAAGGAGAAAGGAGAGAGGGAAAGAAGGAAGGGAAGGAAGGACGGAGGAAGAGGGAGGTGAGGCAGGGAAGGAGGAAGGAAAGAGAGGAAGGACAAAAGGGTAGAAGGGAAGGAGAATGAGGGATGGAAGGAGGAAGGAAGGATATGATCACCATAAAGAGAGGAAAACAATCAATGTAATAACAATAATAGTAATAGAGAAAGATAATGGAAATGTAATAATAACAGCAATAATAGAGCAAAATAATAAATGTAATAATAATAGAGTAATATAAAAATGTAATAATAATGGAATAAAAGAATAAATGTAACAATAACAATAATAAATAGAGTAAAATAATAAATGTAGTACTAATAAGAGTAAAATAATAAATGTAAGAATAACAATAATAAATAGAGTAAAATAATAAATGTAATAATAATTGTCATAATAATAGAATAAAATAATAAATGTAAGAATAACACTAATAAGAGAGGAAAGGGCCCAAGAAAACAGGCCAAAGGGCCACATCTGGCCCCAGTCCTGGGTCGGCTCATACCTGTTCTAAGCTCATTGAAGAGCGGGCGAGAAACTAGTGTGAGAAGCAATGCAATGTTGAACCCACTGAAGGATTCCTGCATTTCCAGTTCTTACCCACTGAAACCACGTCTCTTTCTTCTTTCCAGATTAATGGTGCAATGCAGGAAACCTCTAAAGGTCTCTGATGAATTGGTACAGCAATACCAGAGCAAGAATCAGTACCTCGCAGCAATAGTCGCCGACCAGGAGCCAGAGATGGATCCGTATGCATTCGTCGACGGAGACGAAGAATTCCCCTTTCCGGATAAAAAGGACAGGCAGAATAGCGAAAGAGACGTTGGGAAGAAACACAAGGTGAGTGGAGAAGCAAAGGTGCTAGCAGAGTGGCGTCACAGTGAAGGTTGGATAAGCGAGACTCTCCTGTACTACCAGTATCCTATGTGCTCCATAAACCAATGGCTTGACTCTGTTTCATATGCTCATAATCATTCATGTGAAGTTGTCCCATATTTACACATACTGGTGGGTTTTTTTCTCCGCAGACTGACGATGGGGCACCCAATGTTGGGGAAGACGCCATGTCTCTTTTTAGTCCTTCGGTCAAACAAGGTACGTTTCCTGTCTTCTCCAAATGTGTTGTGCTTCGTTTGTTTTCAAAAGCCCAACTAGAATAGTGTTATTAAAGTTAGAGGTTGCTTTCAAGTCTCAAAGGAGCCCCTGAAGGGATTGACCGAAAAGTATAAATGAAAGGAAAGCAGCGTAGAACGTTCAGCAGATATATCCATCCAAAAAACCCCACCAAAAACACTACCTTCTCATCAATGAGTGAAAATATTACTAATGTTATATTTGTAGTATAAATATTAAATAATATTAAATATAAACGTACATTTATATTATGTAATATTATGTAAATAAATAATACGTAGGTAAAGGTAAAGGTTTTCTCCTGACATTAAGTCCAGTCGTGTTTGACTCTGAGGGTTGGTGTTCATCTCCATTTCTAAGCCAAAGAGCCGGCGTTGTCCGCAGGCACCTCCAAAGTCATGTGACCAGCATGACTGCATGGAGCACCATTACCGTCCCGCTAGAGCGGTACCTATTGATCTACTTAACATTTGCGTGTTTTTGGACTGCTAGGCTGGCAGAAGCTGGGGCTAACAACAGGAGCTCACAGTGCTCCCCGGATTCAAACCTGCGACCTTTTGGTTAGCAAGTTTAGCAGCTCAGCGGTTCAACCCACTGTGCCACCATGAATAAATAATACATAAATATAGTATAATATACATGCTAATATTATTATGATATTATGATATATTGTATACACATATAATATTGATAATAATATTATAATAATGTAATACAATATAACACTAATAATTATATATATTATATTACAGTATAGTGGTATAGTACAATATAGTAATATATAATATTAAGATTGTGCTGTCCTAATAATATAATATATTGTATACACATATACAATTGATGATGTTATAATATAATACAATATAATAATATAATAATTTTATATTTCATATTACATGTAATATTACTAATAATATTACAGTATAGTGGTATAGTACAATATTGTAATATATAATACTAATATTGTGCTGTGCTAACATAATATATTGTATACACATATAATATTGATAATGTTATGATGTAATACAATATAATTACTAATAATATAATAATTTTATATTTCATATTACATGTAATATTAGTAATAATATTACAGTATTGTGGTATAGTACAATCTAATAATCTATAATACTAATATTGTGCTGTGTTAATAATATAATATGTTGTATACACATATAATATTGATAATGTAATATAATATAATAATAAAATATATTTTACATGTAATATTGTTAGTAATATTACAGTATAGTAGTATAGTACAATATAGTAATATATAATACTAAGATTGTGCCATGCTAATAATATAATATATTGTATGTAACTATAACTTGTAAGCCGCTTTGAGTCCCTTTTGGGGTGAGATGGGCGGCATATAAATGTCGTAAATAAATATTATACTGCTCTGTTTCTTTCTCTTCTGCCATTGCTCTAATGCTGGGTCTAGATGGCAAAAATAGCCACAAAAATCAACCCATATTCTATCCATGGACTTCTCGTGAATGAATGTATTTGTATGCTGGATTGTTGGGCTCACACCTGAATTCCAAGTGTGGCTCAACTGCTGTTATTGAGCAGCTGCCTGATGTTGAGCCTTGTCTCCTTTCAGCACTAGACGCCCAGCGCATTCCTCCCCACAATCGCACGGCGTCCACGAGTTTGTTCCACGAAAACGACCTGGTTGTCTCATACACTGACCTTGACAATCTCTTCAATTCCGACGAAGATGAGCTCACAGTAAGTAGCTTGACGAAGATTTGCCTTGCAGCGTTCTATTAGAATGGCGGCCAAGAAGCACAGCTTGCAGAGGTGGGCACGGCACACTGAAAAAGAAGGAAAATCACACCAGTTCTCGTCATTTCCTCTTCTGGGCTGTATCAGATAATTCTGCAGATTAGCTGAGTGTGTTTGACCTTAATCCATACCCTAGTACCGTTGCTCTTTACTTACTCCCCTTTGGGGAGATGGTGGGGGGGGGGGGTATAAATAAAGATTATTATTATTGTATTGTTGAAGGCTTTCATGGCTAGAATCACTGGGTTGTTGTAGGTTTTTTCGGGCAATATGGCCATGTATGTCAAGAGAAAATGCCTCTAGAACATGGCCATATAGCCCAAAATTATTATTATTATTATTATTATTATTATTATTATTATCATCATYATCATCATCATCAGTAGAGTAAGGTTCCCTCTATACTATCATGCAGAGATAGCCCAGTAGATGGGAAAGAAAGATAAGTTAGAGTGATGGAGGCATTACTTTTTGACCCCCACTCATATACAACGGCTTAAAATGGCCTTAACCAATGCCATTTCTACCTGGTTGTATGTTTCTTTGGGAAATCTATTTCTTGTCTATGGCAGCTGCCTTCTACATGGCACGAGGGCTTTTTAGAAAACAATAACAACAATAATAATAATAACTGAACTGCCAAGACTCTGGCACAAGCCAGTCAAGGTGGTCCCAGTGGTGATCAGCACACTGGGTGCAGTGCCTAAAGACCTTGGCCTGCACTTAAAAACAATCTGCACTGACAAGATTACCATCTGCCAGCTGCAGAAGGTCGCCTTACTGGGATCTGCACTCATTATTTGCCGATATAGCACACAGTCCTAGACACCTGGGAAGTGTCCGACGTGTGATCCAATAGAACAACCAGCAGAGTGGCTGCTGTGGACAGTCACTACCTCTGAGGATGCTTGCCATAGATGCAGGCGAAACGTCAGGAGAAAATGCCTCTAGAACATGGCCAAATAGCCCGAAAAAACCTACAACAACCTGTTGTTATTATTGTTACTGTGGACTCATCTTGTTGTGTTTCAAATAATAATAATAATAATAATAATAATAATAATAATAATTATATCCCACCTCCATCTCCCCAAAGGGACTGGGGGCATCTTACATGGGGACGAGCCCGAACAGCATAATATAGCACATTAAAATATATAATGGCACTATAAAACAGAATAAAACAACAACATTATAACAAAATATAAAAAAGCAACCAACAACCAATGAGCTCTATGATAACAATCAGTTTCTGGATACGGGTGGGCGGACGGGTTCAAAGACAAAGATAGGGCTGATGGATAAAGTGCATAGACCACATGACAACAGTGAATATAGAGGGCGGTATGAGAGTGTATTATTATTTATTATTTACAGTATTTATATTCCGCCCTTCTCACCCCGCAGGGGACTCAGCGCGGATCACAATGCACATATACATGGCAAACATTCAATGCCATAGACACACAACATATATAGACAGACACATAGAGGCAATTTAACTTTCCAGCTTTATGAGTGTATGCTTTTTGAATTCTGGCCACCGGGGGAGCTGTTGCTTCACCATCCACTTGTGACACCGATGGAGTACTTCCTCATTCTTTTGCACCTTGCTGGAGAGTTTTATGGCATCATAAATTAGTTAAATTAGCCTCCCCGCATAAGCAGTACCTCAATTTCCTACTTGACAGATGCAACTGTCTTTTGGGCTGCAAAGGTCAACAGCAAGCTAGACAAATGGTCGGGAGCTTACTCCGACCTGGGCTGGCTTCGAACTCATGACCTTTCGGTCAGTAATGATTTTAATGCAACTGACTCCCAACCAGCTGTGCCACAAATTGAATTGAATTGCAGAACAATAGTAAAGTGCATGGAGAAGATTTTGGATCCTAGTTGTAGCCAAGGTATCTGGGGGATTGTCTAGTCAAAGAGCATTATGTCATTGTCACTGTTGAAAGTGAAATAAATAAATCCTCTTTCCCTTCTTTAGCCTGGGTCTAAAAGGATGCTGAATGGAACCGATGACAAATCCAATTGCAAAGAGTCGAAAGCAGGAAACCTGGACCCCTTGTCATGCATAAGTAAGTGCCCTTCCTCTCCGCTTCAGGCCATTGTTCATACAACGGGATGCATTTGTTGTCTTACGTGGATGTTGCTGGTATGGTTGCAACTCCCATGACATCTGGCTTGGTTCAATAACATTGGGATGTTTACTTTCCATGATTATGTATCGGAAAGCAATATCTTGATAAACCTGTCTTGGGTGTTTCTGGGGTAAACTTCAAGAGGGCCACATTCCTTGAGATTTGTACATTTGTGGAATTCAGAGTTATTTGAGATTGGCGTTCTCATTGCAAAAAGCAATTTCTAAGGGTCAGTTGATGTAAGTGGCACTATTCTCTCTTGAATTGGTTGCCTGCAATGCCAGCGTCCCTCGTATCAATTCTGCATGGAGCCTCCAGTGGTGCAATGGGTTAAACTCTTGTGCCAGCTGGACTGCTGACCTGAAGGTTGGGTTGCTTTTTTTTTGTGTCAGGAGCAACTTGAGGAACTGCAAGTCACTTCGGGTGTGAGATAATTGATCGTCTGCAAGGACGTTGCCCAGGGATGCCCAGATGTTTTTGATGTTTGACCATCCTTGTGGGAGGCTTCTCATGTCCCCTGCATGGGGAGCTGGAGCTGACAGAGGGAGCTCATCCATGCTCTCCCCGGATTCGAACCTTCGATCTGTCATGTCCCCGTATGGGGAGCGGGAGCTGACAGAGGGAGCTCATCCACGCTCTCGGATTCAAACGTTCCGATCTGTCATGCCCCCGCATGGGGAGCTGGAGCTGACTGAGCGAGCTCATCCACGCTCTCTCCGGATTCAAACCTCCGATCTGTCATGTACCCACATAGGGAGCTGGAGCTGACAGAGCGAGCTCATCCACGCTCTCCCCAGATTCGAATGCTCCGATCAGTCATGTCCCTGCATGGGAAGCTGGAGGTGACAGAGGGAACTTATCCATGCTCTCCCCGGATTCGAACGCTCCGAACTGTCATGTCCCCGCATGGGGAGCTGGAGCTGGCAGAAGGAGCTCATCCGCACTCTTCAGTCAAGGTGTCTAAACCATTGTGCCACCGGGGGCTCCTGGTTGGGTTGCTGATCTGAAGGTTGCCAGTTTGAATCTGTGGAGAATGCTCCCTCTGTCAGTTCCAGCTTCCCGTGTGGAGACATGAGAGAAGCCTCCCACAAGGATGGTAAAACATGTGCTATTATGTATATGTAAATAAGAATATTAATGCGGTGCTGTTACGTATATGTTAATAATAATAATAACAATAATAATAATTAATAATACCTCTAATGTCCTAGGCCCTTGGATAAAGCCCAGTATTCAGAGCTGAAGCCCAGACACTTGGACCTGATGTGCATGTGTTCTGTGTTATGTCCATGTAAATAATAATAATAGTAATAATAATAAACTCTTTTAAAATTATATTTTTCCTAAGATATTTTATACTATTTTATATTTTTAAATATTTTATTTTTCACATTTTATTATTTATTTTACATTAAAAACATTTTATTTACTTTTATATTATGTTACTATTTTAAATATTTTAATTTATTTTAAAACTGTTTCATTTATTTTTCTATTTTATTATGTACTAATTTATATTTTAGAGATTTTATTTTTTGTTTTGTGGGCAACGTCCTTGCAGACAGCTGATTGTCTCACACCAGAAGCGACTTGCAGTTTCTCAAAAAACACAAAAAAACTCATTTCTGCATCAATAGTGCCGTTTCGTTGACTTGGAAGATCCTTTTGTGCATTTTCCAAGCGCGATAAACCTTTTTGCCTTTGAAGAAACGGCAATCTGTCTGTCGGCAACTTGCGAGCTTCCTTCTCATGTGAACAGTTGCCCATATGGCACTGTTGATGCCTGTTGACAGGATTACTTCGAAATTGATCAATTAGTAATAACCTTATAGTTGACGAGAGTAATTTTGCTATGCGTCAGTGTCAAGCGGGAAAACAAACTCTTTTCTCAAATCCAAAACAGGTACGGCAGATCTCCATAAAATGTACCCCACACCGCCATCTTTGGAGCAACACATCATGGGCTTTTCTCCCATGAACATGAACAGCAAGGATTACGGCAGCCTGGACGCGACGCCTGGGGGGACCGTCCTGGACGGAAATGGCACCACTGCCGGCATTCAGTTCCGGATTGAGGTGGACGAGGGATTCTGCAGTCCCAAACCCTCTGAAATAAAGGTACGTGGATGGAGAAATCTTACTTTTTATTCTTTGTGTATTGTGTTGGTTATGTGTATTGGTTATGTGTGATAAGAAAGGGATTCGGTTTTGTTTCAAACGTAGTGTTTTCTTAATTCCGATACGTACATTTGCATTGAAATGTCAATGATATGAAGCAGAATAGGCCTCTGGATAAGTTGGACATCCTAAACTAGGAAAATCAAGCATAGCAGAAGATGTGGTGAGATATCAAAAAGATTGTCTGCTTATTCTCTCCTGCTTTATCAATTCCCAAAAGTCAACTTGTTTCTAAATCTTAAATATACGGTATATACTCGAGTTTAAGCAGTTTTTCAGCCCTTTTTTAAGGCTGAAAAATCCTTCCTCGGCTTGTACTCAAGTCAAAGTTATGTATTATTTTACTCTGTTGTTATTATTATTGTTGTTATTATTACATTTATTATTTTCCTCTATTTCTTATTATTATTATTACATTTATTATTTTACTCTATTATTATTACATTTACATTATTATACTTACATTATTTTAATTTAATATTTTTACTACATTTATTATTTTTCTCTACTATTATTGTTATTACACTTACATTATTTTACTCTATTATTTTATTACATTTATTATTTTTCTCTACTATTATTGTTATTACACTTACATTACTTTACTCTATTATTTTTTACTACATTTATTATTTTTCTCTACTATTATTGTTATTACACTTACATTACTTTACTCTATTATTTTTATTACATTTATTATTTTACTCTATTACTATTAAATTTAATATTTTACTCTACTTTTATTACTTTTATTATTTTAGGTTAATATTATTACATTTATTATTTTACTCTGTTATTATTGGAAGGATACGCAAGCACATTCACATTGAAGAAGGTTAGGATCATGGTTTAATCAGAGTTGGACCGTCTTGTCTTAAATTACAGTGTTATGTACGTAAATATTCAAAAACATTTCCCCTACGGATGTTTGGCTCTGCTTTTTTCCTGACCATCTTCTTCCTCCTTTCCTTGCCCAGGATTACTCCTATGTTTATAAGCCTGAGAACGTCCAGCCTTTTGTTGGCTGCTCCATGTTTGCGCCGTTGAAGACGCTTCCCAGCCAATGCCTCCCTGCCATCAAACTGCCAGAGGAGTGCGTTTACCGTCAGAGCTGGACTGTCGGCAAGCTGGAGCTGCTTCCTCCGGGGCCCACAATGCCATTCATCAAAGAGGGGTACGTACCTGTGTGCCGCCTGTGCGATGGGAAAGGTCTCCCAGATACGTCGACATGCTTTGGGAAGAACCAAGCACTGTTTGTGTACAATTGAGATCCATTTCTTGCAGAGGACGTGTTGGGAAAAGGCTTTCTACACCTGCCTAGCCTTTCCCAACCTGGTGTTGTTCAAATATCATGGAGAACAACTCCATACTCCCATCTCTGGGATTTTGGGAGTTGAATCCCATCATATTTATTTATTTACTTCAAATATTTATACCCCACCCTTTTCAACCCCTGGGGGGCTCAGGGTGGCTTCCCGTGGGCACAATTCGATGCCTTCATGTGTACATAATACATAATAAAACCAATAATTGCATACAATTCAAAACATTAAATCAATTCAGTTAAAATATGCTTAAATATAACAGCCTTATGGCCTTATCAACATTTTAATAATATTTATAATATTATAATGTAATGCAATATAATACTAATCTATATAAATAAAAATGTAATGTTCGTTTGTGGGATTACTATAACTCAACAACCACTGGACAAAATGACATGAAATTTGGACACTAGGCCCCTAACAGACCAACGAGTGACCATCACTCAAACCCCCCCCCAAAAAAAAACAGTGAAAACTTAAAACCCCTAAAAAGCTAAATGACAAAAAGATAAATGACATAATACAGAAAAAAGGGAAAGGGAAGGAAGGTGAGAAAGAAAGAAAGGAAAGAAAGAGGAGAGAGAGGGAAGGAAGCATGGAAGGGAAAGAGGTAGAGAAGGAAGAAAGGAGAGAAAGAGGAAAAGAGAAGGGATAGAAACAAAGGGGTAGAGAAAGAAGGAGAAAAGGAAAGGAAGGAAAGAGAGAGCGAAGGGAGAAAGAGGGAGGGAAGGAAAGACAGAAGGATGGAAGCAAAAAGCAAAGGAAGGAAGGAAAGGTAGAGAAGGAAAGAGAAAGAGGAAAAGAAAAAGGGGGAAGGAAAGAAAGAGGTAGAGAAGGAAGGGAGAGAAGGAAAGAAAAAAAGGAAAGGAAGGAAAGAGGGAGCGAAGGAAGGAAGGAAAGGAAGAGAGAAAGAGGGAGGGAAGGTTGGCCACAGCAATGCGTGGCGGGTACAACTAATAATAATATGATATTATAATTATATATTTTATATTATATATAATATTACTAATAATATTACAATATAATGGTATAGTACAATATAGTCATGTTTAATACTGATATTGTATTATGCTAATTTTATATATATATATATATATATATATATATATATATATATATATATATATATATAAATTTTTTTCTCTAAGCCGCTCTGATTGCCCTTCGGGATGAGAAGGGTGGCATATAAATGTTGTAAATAAATATAACTGGTCGGTTTCCAATCTCCCCCTTATTATTTGAAACACAACAAAATGAGTCCAGAGCACACACATATACACAAATATATATACTTACGCATATACACACATACACACACACACAAAGCACATATACACAGACTGAGCCAGAGCAACGCATGGCAGGGGACGGCTAGTAATTAATAAATAAACAACGATCTCTCAGTGCAGTAATGAGTAATGCAAGTGACATTATGTGAGTCGGAATGGCTCCTGGAATATGCTTTTGGATTGTGTGATTTTAAGTTGATATATTTTAATTAATATTATTTTTAAATTATATGCCATGCTGTTTTTATGTGTGCTCATGGCATCGAATTGTGCCTTTTGTTGTGAGCCGCCCTGAGTCCCCTTCAGGGTGAAAAGAGCGGGATAGAAGTGCAATAAATACATAAATAATCTTGAGGTTCAGGAGAGTTGGCGCTGCCTCCCTTTGCATCTCGCCTCCTCTCAAGTGTTGGCAGAATGCTTCAAATGTGTACCCTCTGAATAATTCACGCCGGTCTTGAGGTGCAGCCGAAACTTGTTTTAATGCCGCTATTAGGTGTTAAACTTATTTATTAACTCTCCCGTAATGGTTTCTTGGAGGTGCTTTGGAGTATTAATTTAGTTTTAATAAGCCATGAATAGTGCCATAAAGACAAACCAGGGACTCTGCTGCACTTCTGGCAGCGTTTTGTAGGCACCGATTATTATTCTCGGCATGGGGAAAGGGGAGCGGAACCAGAGAGAGGGATTCTTTGTTTTCTTTCGAGGAGGGAAATCATGCCTTGCAAATGTCATGTCTGGAATGGAATCCTTGATGGCTGTGTTAAACGTCTGGGAGCAGACGTTTAGCTTTAGTGGGGAAAGGAGTACGTTGGAGGGTAGGTGGTCTTCCCAGAAACACCGCCAGGGTCTCCGAGCCGATGGTCTCTGATTTGCTTCTACAATGACATCATTGAGGGCCAAATGAAGCTAATTCTAGCTATATAATATAACTAGCGGTCCCCTGCCACGCGTTGCTGTGGCCCAGTCTGGTGATCTGGAAAATAAAGTAATTAGAAAGTGCTGGTTTCTAATATATGTCATGTCTTTATGCTTGTGGGTAAACAGTATTTCTTGATGTTTCTTTGACAGTGTTGATGTAGAGATTGTCTGGTTTGTCTACTCTGGAACATGCAACATGTAATTGTCCATCTTTAGGAGTCCCTTTCAAATCTATAATACTTTATCTGTGTGTGTGTGAATCATATATATCTATCTATATCTATGGCTTGATGGCTCTCTGTCAGGAGGGCTTTGATTACGTTTTCTTGCCCTGGTGAAGGGAGTTGGACTGGATGGCCTTAAGTATTTTCTGTTGGTCATGGGGGTTCTGTGTGGGAAGTTTGCCCCAGTTCTGTCATTTGTGGGGTTCATTCAGAATGGTCTTTGATTGTAGGTGATCTATAAATCCTAGTAACTACAACTCTCAAATGCCAAGGTCTATTTTCCCCAAACTCCATCTGTGTTCATATTTGGGCATATGGAATATTTATGCAAAGTTTGGTCCAGATCCATCATTGTTTGAGTCCACAGTGCTCTCTGGATGGAGGTGAACTACAACTCCCAAACTCAAGGTCAATGCCCACCAAATCCTTCTAGTGTTTTCTGTTGGTCATGGGAGAACTGTGTACCAAGTTTGGTTCAATTCCATAATTGGTGGGGTTCAGAATGCTCTTTGATTGTAGGTGAACTACAAATCCCAGCAACTACAACTCCCAAATGACAAAATCAATTTTTTTTAGTGAAGGACATTCATTGGGTTGTTAGGTGTCTTGTGTCCAAATTTGGTGTCAATTCGCCCAGTGGTTTTGGAGTTCTGTTAATACCACAAACGAACGTTACATTTTTATTTAGATGTATATATGATAATATTATTAATATTATAATGTAATACAATGTAATACTACTAATAATATAATATTATAGTTATATATTTTATGTTACATGTAATATTACTAATAATATTACAATATAACGGTATAGTACAATATAGTCACATTTAATACTGATGTTGTACTAAGCTAATAACATAATATAATGCAATATAATATATTGTACATGCATATACGATATAACGATATAGTAATATATAATACTGATATTGTACCATACTAATAATATAATATGTTGTATTTACATATCTGTTTTGACAGGCCTTTGATCTTTGATATTGCTGTTTTTAAATTGTTTTTAAATTGTGTTAGATTTTAGCCTGTTCTTGTAAGTTTCTCCGAGCCCCAGGGGAGTGGCTGCATATAAGTTTGAATAATAAATAAATGAATAAATAAAATAGCTTGTAAGTTGCTCTGAGTCCCCTTCGGTGTGAGAAGGGCGTTAGAAATGGAGTTTAGATCCATTTTTAAAATGGATTTCACATGGCTAGTAGATAGAGGGACTTTAAAATGTATCTCTTCCGACTAACAAATTTAACTTAACAAATCTTTGGGACTGCCTGAACATGTCATTCTTGGCCATTTTGTCCGGGCATTTGTGTTGTTTCCAGCTCTTTGCCTTGTACACACCATTGTCATGTTGTTTATTTATTTATAGTCTGTTACTTGAAAATAACATAAAATGGACTAATAATAAAACAAAATGGACTAATAACCATCTCCCTCTTTTCTGTTGAAGTGACGGGAGCACCATTGATCAAGAGTACGGCCCGGCCTACACCCCACAGACGCATACTCCCTTTGGGATGCCCCCCAGCAGCGCCCCACCCAGTAATAGCGGGCCAGGCATCCTCCCTTCGCCTTCCACCCCTCGTTTCCCAACGCCTCGGACGCCAAGGACTCCTCGAACCCCCCGTGGGGCGGGTGGGCCGGCGAGCGCTCAAGGCTCCGTCAAGTACGAGAACTCGGACTTGTATTCGCCAGCCTCGACGCCCTCGACCTGCCGGCCGCTCAATTCCGTGGAGCCGGCCACCGTTCCTTCCATCCCCGAGGCCCACAGCCTCTACGTCAACCTCATTCTCTCGGAATCCGTGATGAATCTCTTCAAAGACTGTAATTTTGACAGCTGTTGCATCTGCGTCTGCAATATGAACATCAAAGGGGCCGACGTCGGCGTTTACATTCCCGATCCGACGCAGGAAGCCCAGTACCGGTGCACCTGTGGCTTCAGCGCCGTGATGAACAGGAAATTTGGCAACGGCTCTGGATTGTTCCTGGAGGATGAGTTGGACATCCTGGGGCGCAACTCGGAGTGCGGGAAGGAGGCCGAGAAACGCTTCGAGGTCCTCCGCGCCACGGCCGTTGAGCACAGCGGAGGGTCCAAAGAGGCCGACCGGCTCCCGGACGAGCTGATCCTCTTGCTGCAAGACCAGTGCACCAACTTGTTCTCGCCCTTTGGGGCAGCGGATCACGACCCCCAACCGAAAGTGGCCGCCGTCGGGAACATGGTACGGGCCGAGGAACGGGACTGTTGCAACGACTGCTACCTTGCGTTGGAACACGGGCGGCAGTTCATGGACAACATGTCAGGAGGCAAAGTTGACGAAGCACTTGTGAAAAATACTTGCTTGCATCACTGGTCAAAACGAAACGGTAAGAGTTTCCATCTTGGCTGGGGAGCATGACATTTAAATATGAAGGACGGGTTTGCAGTGAGCGGCTTGTTTGGGTTTCCTAAACATTTCTAGTTTTCTGACATTCCAAATTCATTATTACGAGGGTTGAAAATTGCATACAAAGCACCTTCAACAGATAGCCACCCAGCCTCTGTTTCAAAGCCTCCAAAGAAGGAGCTTCCACCACATTCCTGGGCAGAGAGTTCCACTGCTGAACAGCTCTCACAGTCAGGAAGTTTATTTCATTTTATTTTATTTACAGTATTTATATTCCACCCTTCTCACCATGCAGGGGACTCAGGGTGGATTATAATGTACATATACATGGCAAACATTCAATGCCATAGGCACACAGCATATATAGACAGACACTCAGAGGCTATTTAACATTTTCTTGAGGGTATTCTGGCCACCAGTGGAGCTGTCGCTTCACCGTCCATTTGTGACACTGATTAAGCACTTCCTCATTCTTTGCATGATTGCTGGAGATTTTTATGGCCTTGTAAATTAGTTAAATTAGCCTCCCCACATAAGTGGTACCTAATTTTCCTACTTGACAGATGCAACTGTCTTTTGGGCTGCAAAGGTTGACAACAAGCTACACAAATTGGTCGGAAGCTCACTCTGACCTGGGCTGACTTCGAACTCATGACCTTTCGGTCAGTGGTGATCTTAATGCAGCCGACTCCCAATCAGCTGCGCCACACTCATTAGCAACTTTTAATTACAGTCCAGCAAGCAGGTGGTTAGTCATTGCAGGCCTTAAATCTTTAGATTGGTGTCAAATTATTAGATCTCATTCATTCATTATTCCATACAATTCCATTCAACCCCACACATCATATTAAATCCACATTTATCAAATCTGCATATTATACATTTCTCATGTTCAGGTGCAATCTCCTTTCTTGTAGTTTGAAGCCATTATTCCATTGCGTCCCAGTCTCCAGGGCAGCAGAAAACAAGCTTGCTCCCTCCTCCCTGTGGCTTCCTCTCACATACTTATACATGGCTATCATGTCTCCTCTCAGCCTTCTCTTCTTCAGGCTAAACATGCCCAGCTCTTTAAGCCACTCCTCATAGGGCTTGTTCTGCAGACCCTAGATCAGACCAGTTACCGGAATGCTGATATATATCTCCATCCAATTAACTTTGTTTCAGTTGTGGACGTGAGCATGCAGTGTTCTCAGGACATCCTCCGCATGCTGCTCTCACTCCAGCCTGTCCTTCAGGATGCCATTCAGAAGAAGAGGACCGTCCGCTCTTGGGGTGTCCAGGGACCCCTCACGTGGCAGCAGTTTCACAAAATGGCCGGCCGAGGCTCTTACGGTAAACATCATTGGACATGCTTTCCTTTTAAGTGGGGTGGGGCTGGCAGGTGGAGAGATGGTTCCATCTTGTCTCCTGCATATGTCATCATTTGGGGACCCGTACCCCCAGCACCAACTGCCACTCAGGGCAGAGTAAAGAGAGGGAGGGCCAGGGGACAATTCTATCTTGTCTCCTATGCTATGCTAATAATATAACGTAATATAATATATTGTATATACATATAATATTTATAATATTATAATGTAATACAATATAATACTAATAATAACAATATGATATTATTTTATGTTACATGTAATATTATTAATAATATTACAATATAATGGTATAGTGCAATATAGTAATAGACAATACTGATATTGTACTATGCTAATAATATAATAATGTGATATATTGTATATACATATAATATTTATAATATTATAATGTAATACAATATGCTAATAATAAAATGATATCATATGGTATAGTACAATATAGTACGATATAGTATAGTACAATATAGTAACATAATACTGATATTGTATATGCATATAATATTTATAATATTATAATGTAATACAATATAATAATATGATATTATAATTATATATTTTATATTATATGTAATATTACTAATAATATTACAATATAATTAGTAATATTTATATTGTATAGTACAATATAGTAATATACAATACTGATATTGTACTATGCTAATAATATAATATAATATAATGCAATATAATATATTGTATATGCATATAATATTTATAATATCATGTAATACAATATAATACTAATAATAAAATGATATTATAATTATATATTTTATATTACATGCAATATTACTAATTATATGTATAATATAATAATATTATATAATAATAATATAATATATAAATAATATAATAAATTATATTACATGTAATATTACTAATTATATTACATGTAATATTACTAATAATATTACAATATAATGGTATAGTACGATATAGTAATATATAATACTGATATTGTATTATGCTAATAATATAATATATTGTGTGTATATATATCTTGTAAGCCGCTCTGAGTTCCCTTTGGGGTGAGAAGGGCGGCATATAAATGTCGTAAATAAATAAATAAAAACATCCTTGTAGACGGCCAATTTTCTCACCTCAGAAGCAACTTGCAGTTTCGCAAGCCGTTCCTGACACAAAAAAAAAAATGGAGAGGTAGAAACCCAGGCAAAAGAGACTATACCTATTACTCCCATAGGCACCCATCTTGATCATGTATTGATATGGTCTGATCACAAAATACTTATTTACAAAAATTACTTATTTACGAAAATTAGTGACATAAGTATTTTGCCTAGAGAAATATCTGACCATTGTGCTCTGGAATTGACCCTTAACCATAAAAAATACTATCAAAATGGAGATTAAATGAAAATTTGATTTAAAAAGGATATCAATATATATATAAAATATTGATTAGTGTATACCTACAGATAAACAGTTCTAAAGAAATGAATTTGAACGTTGTCTGGGATGCCTCTAAGTGCACTTAATTCAACAGAGTGCCAGGAAAACTAAAATAAGAACAGAAAAACTAAAAGAGGATTTACATGTACATTATTTGCAAGGAATATAGTAGTAAACAGATAAATAAAGTAGAACAGAAATGTTGGGGGAGAGCTCTCGGGTCTGAGGGTTAACTTCCTCTAGATGGGCTTTGGCAGACGTTCTCCAGAATACAGAAGATGCTGGTGTTGTCCCAATCTGACGCTGTTCACATGTGCGCTTGTCCCTCAGGAACCGACGAATCCCCAGAACCACTGCCCATCCCGACTTTTTTGTTGGGATACGATTACGACTTCTTGGTGCTGTCCCCCTTTGCCTTACCGTACTGGGAGAGACTGATGTTGGAACCCTACGGCTCTCAGAGAGACATTGCCTACGTCGTGGTGTGTCCGGAGAACGAAGCTCTGCTGAACGGAGCCAAGACCTTCTTTCGGGACCTCACCGCAATATACGAGGTGAGAAAGCTGGATAGGAGAAGCTCTGTGAGGAGCGCTCCAGAGTGCGTCTGAACTGGGTTGCTGTGAGTTTTCCGGGCTGTACGACCATGTTCCAGAAGCATTAGGGCCTCAGGGCAGATTCCAACACACACACACACACACACACATTTATTTATTTACTAGCTTGGGGAGAAAGTGGTAATCAAGGTTCTGTATGCCAAGTTTGGTCTTGATTAGTCATTGGACGAGGGTCGCAGTGGTTTCAGTAAGTGAGTAAAGGTACTGCAAGTCCCATCGTCCATGGTCCACCCTCCTCCAAACTGCAGCAGGATGTAGAGTGGGTCATGGGGGCTCTGTGTGCCAGTTTGGTCTTGATCCGTCATAGATGAGGTTCCCAGTGGTTTCAGTAAGTGAGTAAAGGTACTGCAAGTCCCATCATCCATGGTCCATCCCCCTTAGAACTGCATCAGGATGTAGAGTGGGTTGTGAGTACTCTGTGTGCCAAGTTTGGACCTGGTCTGTGATTTGTAGGGGCTACAATGTTCTATGGGGAGTGAATCGGGTGAAAGTACTGCAAATCCCATCATTCGTAGCCCATCCTGCCCTAAACCCACCAGGTTTAAAGTGGGCCATTGGGCCTCTGTGCCACATTTGGTCCTGATCCGTCCTTAGTGTGCTCTAAGGAAGTGAGTTAAACTACTGCAAGTCCCATCATCCATGGTCCATCCTCCCTCAAACTGCACCAGGATGTAGAGTGGCTCTGGGGGGGGGGGGGGTCTGTGTGCCAGGTTTGGTCTTGTTCTGTCATTGTTGGGGGCCACAAGGGGTTTTGGACTTCAACCATTCCTGACAGCCTCAGGCCCCTTTCCTTTTCCCTCTGCTACCTCAGAATCTTGAAGCTGTCCAATCAGAGACCATATGCAAATTGTACCACAGTGGCAGCCAATCAGAACGCTCCACATACACCTCCCTCCACATACAAACACTGCCTTTTATTATATACATAGATAGATAGATAGATAGATATAGATTTATTTGCAGTATTTTATATTCCACCCTTCTCACCCCGCAGGGGACTCAGGGCGAATTACAATGTACATATACATGGCAAATATTCAGTGCCATAGATACACAACATATATAGACAGACACACAGAGCCCATTTAACATTCCAGCTTTTTCATGAGGATATTCTGGCCACTAGGGGAGCTGTCGCTTCACTGTCCATTTGTGACACTGATGGAGTGCTTCCTCATTCTTTGCATGCTTGCTGGAGATTTTTATGGCGTTGTATATTAGCTAAATTAGCCTCCCCGCATAAGCGGTACCTAAATTTCCTACTTGACATATGCAACTGTCTTTCGGGCTGCAAAGGTCAACAGCGAGCTACACAATGGTCAGAAGCTCACTCCGACCCAAGTTAGCTTCGAACTCATGACCTTTCGGTCAGTAGTGATCCAAATACAGCTGCCTCCCAGCCAGCTGCTCCACAGTCCCAGTGCAAAGGTAAACATTCAATGCCAAGAAACAAGAAAACACAAATCAATGTTTTAAATTTTTGTGTGTTATTGTTTATATGTGAGTTATATTAATTGTATTGTTTTTTTTGCTTACTGCTTTGTTTGTTTTACTGATGTGTTGTTGGGCTTGGTCTCATATAAGTCCCTTTGGGGAGATGGTGGCGGGGTATAAATAAAGTATTATTATTATTATTATTATTATTATTATTATTATTATTATAAAGGTAAAGGCTTCCCCTAATAATAATAATAATAATAATAATAATAATTATTATTATTATTATTATTATTTGTTTATTTATATTCTGCTCTTCTCTCCATGGGGACTCAGAGCAGATTGCAGTGGAAACAGATACCGGCAAACATTCAATGCCTTGTTACAATACAATGAGACACACAAACGCAAACAAAGGCAAAGGCTTCTTCTTTCATTTCCGGCTTTGGAGGCAGAGCTCATCTCTGACTCTGAGGAAGTGCTTTTCTCGATTTTCAAGCCAAGGAGCCTGCTTTTGCCTTTTCCCGCCAAAGCGGTACCTATTGATCTACTCACATTTGCATGTTTTCGAACTGCTAGGTTGGCAGGAGCTGGGGTAAACAGCGGGCATTCACCGGGACTTTTATTTTCACTGTGTTTAATCCCCATGTGGTTGTTTTGCAGTCCTGTCGGCTTGGCCAGCATCGGCCCATCTGTAAGCTGTTGCCCGATGGCATTATGAGGGTTGGATCTGCGGCTTCCACCAAATTGTCCGAGAAGTCTGTTGCCGAATGGTTCTCACAGGCCGCTCACGCCAACAACGAGTCCTTCTCTCGGCTCAAGCTCTACGCGCAAGTCTGCAGATATGATCTGGGTATGGCTCCACTCCTTTATTTCCTGAAAGACTGAAGACTGATGGACAAGGGCTTGAAAGTTCCCTGATTCCCAAGGAGACATATTGACTTTGTTCCCAAATGGACATAAACAAACGAGAAATATAAATAGACGTTTGGGGATTATGGCCTGTCAGGTTTGATAATTTTTTGGAGCTTTTAACTTGGTTTCCAGTTCTACCCTCCAAACTATCAATCCTGACAAGGGTCCTTTCTATGTTTTTTTCACACTAAAAACCCACAATTTTACAGAACCTGATAGTGTAGAGTTCAGTTAGAGAGTGCGCATTGAGGAGCTTCTCCCAACTTGAGAACACAAGCAAGAAGACATAAGACATTGAGTTACAATTGCACATTTAGGATTAAACTACCATTGCTTGGGTTTAAATTGTATTTCTAGTTCTTTCTTTTGTGTTGTCAAAGACTTTCATGGCCAGAATTACTGGGTTGCTGTGAGTTTTTCAGTCTGTATGGTCACGTTCCAGAAGCATTCTCTCCTGATGTTTCACCCACATCTGTGGCAGGCAACCTCAAATATGGATGAAACTTCAGGAGAGAATGCTTCTGGAACATGACCATACAGCCCGAAAAACTCACAGCAACCCAAATCTTTCTTTTCTTCCTCTCTTTTCCTCATATAATTCTCCCTCTGCCCCTTCCTTCCTTCCTTCCTTCCTTCCTTCCTTCCTTCCTTCCTTCCTTCCTTTTCCTTCTTACCTTCCCTTTTGGCTTTCCTTCCTTCCTCCTTCCTCCTTCCTTCCTTCCCATCTTCTTTTTTTCCTTCCTTCCTTCCTTCCTTCCTTCCTTCCTTCCTTCCTTCCTTCCTTCTTCCCTTGCTTTCCCTTAAACACCTTCCAGTTTTCTTTTCTTCTTTCTTTCTTTTCTTCTTTCTTTCTTTTCCTCCTTCCTTCCTTCCTTCCTTCCTTCCTTCCTTCCTTCTTCCCTTGCTTTCCCTTAAACACCTTCCAGTTTTCTTTTCTTCTTTCTTTCTTTTCTTCTTTCTTTCTTTCCCTCATCTACCTTTTCCTCCTTCCTTCCTTTTTTTTTCCCTTCCTTCCTTCCTTCTTCCTTTGCTTTCCCCTCTTCTTTCTTCTTTCTTTCTTTCTTTCTTTCCTTTCTTTTTCCTTCCTTCCCCTTCCTTCCTTCCTTCTTCCCTTGCTTTCCCTCATCCTACCTTTTCCTTCCTTCCTTCCTTCCTTCCTTCCTTCCTTCCTTCTTCCTTTGCTTTTCCCCTCTTCTTTCTTCTTCCTTCCTTTATTTTTTCCTTCCTTCTTCCCTTGCTTTCCCTCATACACCTTTTCCCTCTCTTTCCTTCCTTCCTTTATTTTTTCCTTCCTTCCTTTATTTTTTCCTTCCTTCCTTCCTTCCTTCTTCCTTTGCTTTTCCCCTCGCCTCCCTCCCTCCCTCCCTTCCTTCCTTCTCTTGCTTTCCCCCCTCCCTCCTTCCCTCCCTTCTTCCTTCTTTTCTCCTCTCCTCTCCTCCTCCCTCCCTCCCTTCCTTCTTTCCTCTTAGTTCTTTGTCTTCTCTTGTTTTCTTTCTTTTCCACTTTTTCAATCCCTCTCTCCCAGTATCAATCCTTTCCATCTCTATACTGCCCTCTCGTGGATGCATCTCAGCATTGCATATCCCTACAGGCCTGGAGCTAATACTTTCTATTTACTATCATGGTTTGCAAAATTGCTTTTCATTGAGATATTTCCACCAGTGGATGTGGTACCTCTTCTCTTTCTTTCTCCGTTCAAGTAATTCCTCCTACTCGCAAGGATTTTCTATTTGTCCCACCGAGCCTGACATTGCACCAACCAAGCATTGATGTTGTCCTGCCCTTTTCTCCCTTTGTGCCTTTCAAGGTCCGTACCTCGCCACGCAGCCCTTGGACAACTCCTTGCTTTCCCAGTCCAACCTCGTCCCTCCTGTAAGCCACCCTGCTTCCTCCCAACCGCCGGTGGCAGGCAATTCCACTCCGTCCTCGACCCCTTCGTCCACGACGGGCAGCACCGCCGTCGCCATGAACTCCAGCAGCGCCCTCCCTCCTGCCGCCGCCACCACCACTGCCAACTCCACCTTGACCACCACTGCCACTTCGTCCTCCTCTTCCGGCGTCAGCAGCGGCATGCCGGCGAACAAACCCTCCTCCTTCCCGCCGTTCGGCAGCATGAACAACGCGGCTCCCTCCTCCCTCTCCGCACAGTCGTCTGTGGTTCAGAACGGACAGGCCGGGACGCAGCAGCAGCAGCAACAGCAGCAGCAGCAGCAAACGGCGGGGATTTCCGGGGAGGCCCCTTCCCTCCCCACGCAGCCACACCCAGAGGTTTCCGAGAGGTAATGTGGCTGAGATGTACTCTACAATGCATTGAAGACTGATAGATCCTGAATTTTACTTTATGTATTGTTATTATTACATTTATTATTTTATTTATTTAATATTATCATTATATTTATTTTACTCTATTTATTATTATTATTACATTTACATTATTACATTATTTTACTATTATTGTTGTTGTTACATTTATTATTATACTCTAACAATTATTAATATAATGTTATATTTATTATTTTACTCTATTACTATTATTACATTTACATTATTTTATTTTATTATTATTATTACATTTATTATTTTCCTCTATTATCATTATTACATTTACATTATTGCATTATTTTACTCTATTATTTTTATTACATTTATTATTGTACTTCATTATTATTACATTATTCTATTATTTTATTACAGTTATTATTTTACTCTATTATTATTGTTATTACATTTATTATGTTCCTCGATTTATTATCATTATTACATTTACATTATTTTATTCTATTTTATTACAGTTATTATTTTTCTCTATTATTGTTGTTACATTTATTATTTTCCTCTATTATCATTATTACATTTACATTATTTTATTCTATTGTTTTATTACAGTTATTATTTTACTCTATTATTGTTATTACATTTATTATTTTCCTGTATTTATTATCATTATTACAGTTACATTATTGGATTATTTTACTATATTATTATTTTATTACATTTATTACTTTACTTTATTGTTGTGATATATATTATTTTACTCTTATTATTAATATAATATTAGTATATTTATTATTTTACTCTTATTACTGTTATTACATTTACATTATTTTACTCTATTATTATTATTATTATTATTATTTACTCTATTATTGTGGTTATTACATTTATTATTTTCCTCTATTTATTATCATTATTACATTTACATTATTTTATTCTATTATTTTATTACAGTTATTATTTTACTATATTATTATTTTATTACATTTATTACTTTATTGTTATGATATATATATATTTACTCTTATTATTAATATAATATTAGTATATTTATTATTTTACTCTTATTACTGTTATTATTACATTTCCATTATTTTACTGTATTATTATTATTAGTAGTAGTAGTAGTAGTAGAAGAAGTAGTGTTAGTATTACATGTATTATTTCCCTCTCGTTATTATTATTGGTAGGATACGCAAGCACATTTACATTGAAGATGGTTAGAATAATGGTTTAATCAGAGTTTATATAAATATTCCAAAACTTTTCACCTACAGAGGCCTGAATTAATGTAATTTTATTTATCTCTATTTTTACTTTGAAATTGACCCATTGCTGCTGCATTTCCACCCTTGGCTTATACTCGAGTCAATAAGTTTTCCCAGGTCTTTGTAGTAAAATTAGGTGTTTCGGCTTATATTCAGGTCGGCTTATACTCGAGTATATACGGCACCTTTCTGTGTCTGACAGTCTATTTATTGTTTCCTGCTTCCAGCACTATGGAGCGTGATAAAGTGGGGGTCCCCACGGACGGCGATTCGCACGCAGTCACGTACCCACCGGCCATCGTGGTCTACATCGTCGACCCGTTCACCTATGAGAAGAAAGAGGAGAGCAGCTCCTCCAACGTTTGGACCCTCGGCCTCCTCCGTTGCTTTCTCGAAATGATCCAGAATCTTCCTCCCCACATCAGGAACATTGTTTCTGTCCAGGTGAGCGAGCACACCCCAAAACGGGCCAGAACACAAAATAATAATAATAATAATAATAATAATAAAGTCCAGTCATGCCCAACTCTGAGAAATGGTGCTCCTATTATTGTTATTATTATTATTATTATTATTATTATTATTATTATTATTATTAAATATTGAATATAATAACAGCTATTTAATATTTAATGAAAATAATAGGAATTGCAAAAAAGGGAAAGGTAAAGGTTTTCCCCTGACATTAAATCCAGTCGTTTCTGACTCTGGGAGTTCGTGCTCATCTCCATTTTTAAGCCAAAGAGCCGGTGTTGTCCGTAGACACCTCCAAGGTCATGCGGCCGGCATAATAATACACAATAATATAGTAATAAGGTAAAGGTTTCCCCTTGACATTAAGTGTAGTCGTGTCCCACTCTGGGAAATGGTGCTCATCTCCATTTCTAAGCCGAAGAGCCGGTGTTCTCCGTAGACACCTCTAAGGTCATACGGCCGGCATAATAATACATAATAATATATTAATAAGGTAAAGGTTTCCCCTTGACATTAAGTGTAGTCATGTTCAACTCTGGGGAATGGTACTCATCTCCATTTCTAAGCCGAAGAGCCGGTGTTGTCCGTAGACACCTCTAAGGTCATACGGCCGGCATAATAATACATAATAATATAGTAATAAGGTAAAGGTTTCCCCTTGACATTAAGTGTAGTCGTGTCCAACTCTGGGGAATGGTACTCATCTCTATTTCTAAGCTGAAGAGCCGGCGTTGTCTATAGACACCTCCAAGGTCATGTGGCCGGCACTGAACTGAAGCGGTTCCTGTTGCTCTACTCACATTTATATGTTTTCGAAATGCTATGGTGGCACAAGCTGGGGCTAACAACAGGAGCTCACCCTGCTCCCTGGCTTCAAACCGCCGACCTTTTGGTCAGCAAGTTCAGCAGCTCAGCGGTTTAACCCGCTGCGCCACCGGGTCTCTTTCATTCATAGGTGTCATGCTAAAACTACAAGTAGTGATGCGAGTCTGAAGTCATAGCGATATCCTTGTTGTGAGTAAGTTCTGGTTAACGTTGGTCATTTCTGCTCTTCTCTTCCTGGTCCTCTCAGCTTGTTCCTTGCCAGTACCTGTTACAACCTGTCAAGAACGAAGACAGGCACATCTACACGCAGCACCTGAAATCGCTGGCCTTCTCAGCCTTCACGCAGTGCCGGAGACCGCTCCCAACGTCCACCAACGTGAAAACGTTAACCGGGTTTGGCCCAGGCCTAGCCATGGAAATGGCGCTCAAAAGTCCTGATGTGAGGAAATAAACTTTAAAAATGCCATTTTAATGCAATATTATTAGTAATATTTCATGTAATTTATAATTTCATGTAATATATAATTATGATATTATATTGTATTATTAATAGTATTATTGTATTACATTATAATATTATGATCAATATTATATGTACATAAAATATATTATTAGCATAGCGCAATATCAGTATTATATATTACTATATTTTAGTATACCTCTATATTGTAATATTATTAGCAATATTACATGTAATATGAAATACAAAATTATTATATTGTATTATTATTAGTATTATATTGTTTTGCATTATAATATTATGATCAATATTATATGTACATCTAATATATTATTAGCATACTTACTATTATTAAGTAGTTACTTACTTACTATTACTTACTATTATTACTTACTATTATTAAGTAGTTACTTATTTACTATTATTATTAGCATGGCGCAATATCAGTATTATATATTACTATATTGTTGCTAGGGTGAGATCTGTTTTCTGATCCTTTTGTCTGTCTGTACTAAACCACCATACTGTAATATTATTAGTAATATTACATGTAATATGTAATATGAAATATGCAATTATTGTTTTTTTTATTATGTTTCACATTATAATATTATCAATATTACATGTGTACACAATATATTATATTATTAGCACAGCACAATATTAGTATTATAGATTAATATATTGTACTATACCTCTATACTGTAATATTATTAGTAATATTACATGTCATATGAAATACAAAATAATTATATTTACAATATATTATATTATTAGTGTTATATATTACTATATTGTACTACACCAGTATACTGTAATATTATTAGTAATATTACATGCAATATGAAATATATAATGATTATATTGTATTATTATTATGTTGTATTACATTTTAATATTATGATCAATATTATATGTTTATACAATATATTATATTATTAGCATAGCATATTATCAGTGTTATATAGGACTATATTGTACTATACCTGTACAGTAATATTATTAGTAATATTACATGAAACATGAAATATGTAAGTATATTGTATTATTATTGTTATAATACATTTTAATATTATGATTAATATTATATGTACATACATTATTAGAATACCACAATATCAGTATTATATATTACTATATTGTGCTATACCATTATAATGCATTGTTATTAGTAATATTACATGTAATGTGTAATATACAATAATTATATTGTATTGTTATTAGTATTATATTGTATTGCATTATAATATTATGACCAATATTATATGTACATGCAATATATTATATTATTAGCATTGCACAATATCAATATTATATATTACTATATTGTTGCTGGGGGGAGAACTATATCTTCTTTTCCATCTGTCTCTCTGTGAGAGAGTGAGACAAAGTCAGAATATGATCCGATACCATGCGGGCAAAATAATGCAACGTTTTTCTTCCCTCTTTGCCTTTGACAGAGACCGGAGTGCATCAAGCTCTACGCACCTCCATTCATATTGGCTCCTGTCAAGGATAAACAGACAGAGCTGGGAGAAACCTTTGGGGAGGCCGGACAGAAATACAACGTGCTTTTTGTGGGATACTGCCTCTCCCATGATCAAAGGTGGCTTCTTGCATCGTGCACGGATATGTACGGAGAACTCTTGGAAACGTGCATCATTAACATTGATGTCCCAAATAGGTAAGCCTTTGCTATGAACCCCACTTACCTAGTTTCCAACAGACCTCACAACTTCTCAGGATGCCTGCCATAGATGTGGGTGAAATGCCAGGAGAGAATGCTTCTGGAACATGGCCAGACAGCCCAGAAAACTCACAGCAACCTAGTGTAATAAATTCACTGTTTGGGTCTTGTGTCTTTGAATGCATTCATAATTTGTGACCTGTTTGAAAACTTCAGATATGTGAAAGAAGAGCCTCCAAGAGCTGGCTGATGGGTGGTTCACCTGTGGTTCTCTTTTCCCCTCCAGGGCTCGCAGGAAAAAGGGCTCTGCCCGGAGGCTTGGTCTCCAGAAACTCTGGGAATGGTGCTTAGGGCTGGTCCAGATGAGTTCGGTGCCCTGGAGGGTTGTCATAGGACGCCTGGGAAGGATAGGCCACGGGGAACTGAAAGGTATGTTTGGACACTTGTCCGGTGTGTTGTTTTTCCGTGGACCATAGAGATCACTGTGACTGGCACCTCTCGCTTGCTGAAATGTTGGATGCCTTAACGCCATCATCTTTCCCCTTCAAGTCCTCCTCTCAGAGAAGTCATTTATTTATTTATTTATTTATTTATTTATTTACGTTTTGGACTGTCACTCCTCAGGACGTTTGGTTCTAATTCACTCACCATACTGTCAAAGCTATCCTCGATATTATTGTTTTCTCACAGCTGAGCTGATCAGAGTAGATGGAGCACTAGTTTATTATGTATTTGTTTGTTTATTTATTTACAACATTTATATGCCACCCTTCTCACCCCAAAGGGGACTCAGATTAGCTCATGCCACCCTTCTCACCCCAAAGGGGACTCAGAGCGGCTTACAAGATATATATACATACACACACATACAATATATTATATTATTAGCATAGTACAATATCAGTATTAAATATTACTATATTGTACTATACCATTATATTGTAATATTCTTAGTAATATTACATGTAATATAAAATATATAATTATATCATATTATTATTAGTATTATATTGTATTACATTATATTATAAATACTATTTTCGTTGCTTCTTCATTACTCTCATTTTGCTCCTGTTATGAATCGTCATGTAAATATCTGATTTGCAGGTTGTATTTTCAGTCACATTCACTGGACACAAATACCCAATACACCCAAATTTGTGGAGTTGGGGGAGGAATTGATTTTGTCATTTGGGAGCTGTAATTGCTGGGATTTATAGTTCACCTACAATCAAAGAGCATTCTGAACTCCATCAATGATGGAATTGAACCAAATTTGGCACACAGAACTCCCATGACCAACAGAAAATATTGGAAGGGTTTGGTGGGCATTGACCTTGAGTTTGGGTGTTGTAGTTCACCTACATCCAGAGAGCACTGTGGACTCAAACAATGATGGATCTGGACCAAACTTGGCACAAATACTCAAAATGCCCAAATGTAAACACTGGTGGAGTTTGGAGGAAATAGACCTTGACATTTGGGAGTTGTAGTTGCTGGGATTTATAGTTCACCTACAATCAAAGAGCATTCTGAACCACCAATGATAGAATTGGGCCAAACTTCCCACACAGAACCCCCATGACCAAGAGAAAATACTGGAAGGGTTTGGTGGGCATTGACCTTGGGTTTGGGAGTTGTAGTTCACCTACATCCAGAGAGCACTGTGGACTCAAACAATGATGGATCTGGACCAAACTTGGCATGAATACTCAATATGCCCAAATGTGAACACTGGTGAAGTTTGGGGAAAATAGACCTTGATATTTGGGAGTTGTAGTTGGGATTTATAGTTTCTTTAGAGGACATCTAAATGCTTTGCTGGGCCATCAATCCCCTTTGGTCTCTCCTCCAGATTGGAGCTGTTTGCTGAGTCGTCGCAACCTCCAGTCGCTCAGCAAGAGGCTGAAGGACATGTGCCGGATGTGTGGGATCTCCGCGGCAGATTCGCCCAGCATCCTCAGCGCTTGCTTAGTGGCAATGGAACCACAGGGCTCGTTTGTCATCATGCCAGGTAGTCCCCTCACTCTTCTCCCCCATCCAAGCAAAGGGGAATGTCAACAATACCTTTCCTTGGGGAGGAATCTCCTCTTACTCTCTTCCTCTCTCTCCTCTCCCCCCCCCCCAAAGACTCGGTGTCCACTGGCTCCGTCTTTGGGCGCAGCACCACCCTCAACATGCAGACCTCGCAGCTGAACACGCCGCAGGACACGTCGTGCACCCACATCCTCGTGTTTCCCACGTCTGCCTCCGTGCAAGTAGCCTCCTCCACCTACACGACGGAAACCGGTTTGGACCTGGCCTTTAATACGAACAATGGTTTGTGTGTGTGTGTTACGTGTGTGTTCGTTTGTGTGCTTGTGTCCGTCTCCCAGTAGTTTAGTATCAACCTATATACAAATGGATGTAAAATGAGACAGGTTGCTCAAGTCAAGTACCGTATGGACTCAACTTTTTCAGCCCTTTTTTAGGCTGAGATAGCCCACCTTGGCTTATACTCAAGGCAAGATTATTTATTATTTTACTCTATTTATTATTACTATTACATTTATTATTTTACTCTATTTATTATTATTATTACATTTATTATTTTACTCTGTTATTGTTACTATTACATTTACATTATTTTACTCTATTGTTATTACATTTATTATTTTATGCTATTATTATTATTACATTTATTATTTTACACTATTATTATCACATGTATTATTTTATTCTCTTATTACTGTTAGTATTGAATTTATTTTACTCTTCATTATTATTATTACATTTATTATTTTACTCTATTATTATTACAGTCATTATTTTACTCTTTTTTTACATTTATTATTTTACGCTATTATATATATTATTTTATTCTCTTATTACTGTTAGTATTGCATTTATTATTTTACTCTTCATTATTATTATTATTACCTTTATTATTTTACGCTATTATTATTACAGTCATTATTTTACTCTCCTGATACAGTTATTATTACATTTCCATTATTTTACTCTGTAATAATAATAATAATAATAATAATAATTTACTTATATACCACTCTATCTCTCAGGGGGACTCAGGGTGGTTTGCAAGCAACAACATCAAAACGTACAGAGTCACAACATGAACAAAAAAATAACAGTAACAACAACATAAGCATATAATTACCCAACAACACATAAGTATTAAAAGAAAATATTTGCAGAGGAGGTCAAAAAAATAACAGTAACAGCAAGATAAGCATGGAATTACCCATGGTGATGGGTAAGCAGCTTGGCCAGCTTCAAAGCCTGGAGGCTTCTTGCCTGGAGGAATCCTTTGTTGGGAGGTGTTAGCTGGTGGTTAAAGATAGACTTAATTCTAGATTGCAGTGGACAGGGAACTTCTATTTGTTGTGAAGCTTTCATAGCTGTACACGTTTCTTGTGGTTGGAGACCAACCATCCATATGTTTACCATTACTGGTCCAGTTGAATACTTCCGGTGGGGAATGATGGGTATTGGAAGTCCAAAATAATATGTAGGGTGGAAGATTGTGGGGAAAACAGCAACACTGAACCACGTGAAGGGAGATGATGATGATGATGATAATAATAATAATAATAACAACACTTTATTTATATTCTGCCCTTCTCACCCCGAAGGGGACGCAGGGCGCATCACAGTACATATAAATGGCAAACATTCAATGCTGCTTTAATAATAATAATAATAATAATAATAATAATAATAATAATAGTAATAATAATGCTTTATTTATACCCTGCTCCATCTCCCCCAGGGGGACTCGGGGCGGCTTACATGAGGCCACGCCCATCAATACAGTAAACACAATATTACACAAAAGCATAACACAATATACCACAAGGCATAGACAATACACAGACAGACAGAACAGAAGGAGGTGGTTTGTTGCAGCTGTGTTTGGTGCCATGGAAGGTTGGGCTCGAGTCCAGGGGTGCTGTTGCTCTTTCCTCTGTGACAAAGGGCTATCAGGACTTCCTTCTTCCTTTTGGTCACCCAGCATTTTCTGATCTTCTTTCTTTATGGCGTCGTGAAACACCTCCCCCGCTTTTAGCGGTACCTAATTTCTCTAATCGCAGCTAAAGCTGTTTTTGAATTGCTTAGGTAAACAATGAGCTAGGCTGACAGTTGGCAGCTCATGCCAACCTGGGGCTTCGAACTTGCAACCTTTTGGTTGATGGATCTTAATTGCTTGATGATTTACCAGTTGTGCTAAACTTCCGGCCCTGCACATCATTCTTCATACTCAGTGTGTCATGTTTTTCCGTGGAAGTGGTGACACTCTGCTAACCAAATCCCTTTTTATTTTTCTCCCAAGATGGAGCAGACGGAATGGGGATCTTTGAGTTGCTGGGTACAGCCGATGACTTGGATCCTGACATCATCAACATCCTGCCGGCCTCCCCCACGGGGTCCCCGGTGCACTCGCCGAGCTCCCACTTCACTCACGGAGGAGACATGGGCAAGGTATTGCTCCCGGGCAAAATACGTCATTGCCACTATGGTGATTTTTTAATGGTTCGGCCTTGGGTTGGATCTCGTTGGCCTGATCTTAAATGTTCTTCCCCCCATTTCTCTCCTCAGGGTCAAGGGACAGACCGATTGCTCTCCACAGAGTCTCACGATGAAGTCACAAACATCCTGCAGCAACCGCTGGCCCTTGGTTACTTCGTCTCAACTGCCAAAGCAGGTCCGTTGCCTGACTGGTTTTGGTCGGCGTGTCCTCAAGCACAAAATCAGTGCCCGCTGTTTCTTAAGGTAACCGAACAGGGCGTCCAACGCAAAGGGAGGGGGGTTGTTGAAGGGAGAAAATGGAAATGGGGAAGAGATGAGCAGTGGCTCAGAAAAAACTGTGTCCTTCAATAATCATCATCATCATCATCATCTTTATTTATACCCCGCCACCATCTCCCCGATGGGGACTCAGAGCAGCTTACATGAGGCCAAGCCCAAACAACAATTACAATAAAGAAAGAAAGCCAGAACACAAACCGAAAACGCAATTATTATTATTATTTATTTATTTATTTATTTATTTCGGGTACTTCTACCCTGCCCTTCTCAACCCCCTAAGGGGGACTCAGGGTGGCTTCCAACCAGCATACGTTTGAAGCCTACAATTCACCACAATAAAATACATAGTAACAATAATTATAAACAGTTAAAACATTACATTAATACAATAAAATGCCAGCCTGGTGGCCATGCTGTTTTGCAGACAAAGCTTTCTGGCCATGCATGAGAAAGTAGCGACCATATGGAAGCAAGGAAAAAACCTTACAGGTTGCTAAAAAGTGCATGCATTCAAATAATAATAATAATAATAATAATAACTAGCTGTGCCCTGCCACGCGTTGCTGTGGCCTATAGTAAAACTTATCAAAGTTGAGGTAGATATCTGGACTATTATGAAAGAGAGGTCCCTACCTATTCCTTCCCCCTTTTCCTCCCCCTTTCTCTCCTTTCTTCCTTCTCTACCTCTTTCTTTCACTACTTGGTTTCTCTCCTTCTTTCCCTCCTTCCTTCCTTCCCTCCCCTCTTTCCTTCTCCTCTTCCTTCTCTATCTCTTTCCTTCCTTCCCCCTTTTTCTTTCTCTTCTGGTCTCTTTTCTTCCTTCTCTCTTTCCTTCTTTCCTTCCCTCCCTCTTTCTCTACATCTTCGACCTTCCTTCACTCCCTCTTTCCTTCCTTCATTCCCTTTTTTCTTTCCTTCTCTCCTTCCTTCCTTCCCCCTTTTTCTTTCCCTCCCTCTGTCTCTCATTTCTTCCTTCTCTACCTCTTTCCTTCCTTCCCCCTTTTTCTTTCTCTTCTGCGGCTGGGCGCCAATGCGCATGCTCAGTTGTTTTGCCGTTTTGTGAGTGTGTTGTTGTGTTGTTTTTCATTTTGAGTAGATATGTTTGTACCTTGTGGGTTGTGTTATGGGCATGGGAATTTTGGTTAAGTTTCGTTGGGGGCTTTAAGAGTTTTGTTGTTTTGCCGTTTTGTGAGTGTGTTGTTGTGTTGTTTTTCATTTTGAGTAGATATGTTTGTACCTTGTGGGTTGTGTTATGGGCATGGGAATTTTGGTTAAGTTTCGTTGGGGGGTTTAAGAGTTTTGCTGTCCCGTTGAACCAACCTAACAGATTTATATATATAGATAATAATAATAATAATAATAATAATAATACATGATACAAAAGTGATACGAAATCCAGCATTTGCTGTGACACACTGTGGTTTTGTGTCAGTAAAATAATAATAATAATAATAATAATAATAATAATAATTGCAAAGACTGGCACAAGCCAGTCAAGCTGGTCCCAGTGGTGATCGGTAAACTGGATGCAGTGCCTAAAGACCTTGGCCTGCACTTAAAAACAATCGGTGCTGACAAAATTACCATCTGCCAGCTGCAAAAGGCCACCCTACTGGGATCTCCACGCATTATTCACCAATACATCACACAGTCCTAGATACTTGGGAAGTGTCCGATGTGTGATCCAATGCAACAACCAGCAGAGTGATCTTTGCTGTGGACTCATCTTGTTGTGTCTATGAAGATTGCTGGCTCTTTGGCTTAGAAATGGAGATGAGTCCCAACCTGCAGAGACGGACACAACTGGACTTAATGTCAGGGGAAAAGCTTTAGCTTTACCTATGGATATGGAGCCCCTGGTGGCGCAGTGGGTTAAACCCCTGTGCCAGCAGGACTGAAGTCCGACAGGTCGCAGATTCAAATCCGAGGAGACCACGGATGAGCTCCCTCTATCAGCTCCAGCTCCTCATGCAGGGACATGAGAGAAGCCTCCCACAAGGATGGTAAAACATCAGAACATCCGGGCGTCCCCTGGGCAATGTCCTTGCAGACGGCCAATTCTCTCACATCAGAAGCGACTTGCAGTTTCTCAAGTCGCTCCTGACACGAGAAAAAAATCTTGTGGTGTTTCTAATAATAATAATAATAATAATAATAATAATAATAATAAAACAACTTGAAAATACTTTCAAAATACGTCACACAGTCCTAAACACTTGGGAAGTGTTCAACTTGTGATTTTGTTACACGAAATCCAGCATATATATCTCATTTGCTGTGTTATACTGTGTTTTTGTGTCAGTAAAATAGTAATAAATAATAATAAATAATAAATAATAATCCTTATTCATGGGCTGCCCCTGGTGGCGCAGTGGGTTAAACTGCTGAGCTGTTGAACTTGCTGACCAAAAGGTTGATGGTTCGAATCCAGGGAGCGGGTGAGCTCCTGCTGTTAGGCCCAGCTCCTTCCAACCTAGCAGTTCGAAAACATGCAAGTGTGAGTAGATCAAACGGTACTGCTTCTGTGGGAAGGTAAGGGCACTCCATGCAGTCATGCTGGCCACATGACCTAGGAGGCGTCTACAGACAACACTGGTTTAGAAATGGAGATGAGCACCAATCCCCAGAGTTGGACACGACAGGACTTAATGTCAAGGGAAAATCTTCACCCTATCTTCCCAAGAGCACTCGGGGCGGCTTACTGCACTATAAAACACAATGGCAAACATTCAATCTCAGGGAAACATATTGGAAAAATAGCTTAAATAAACATGACACAATACATTTAACATATTAAGGAGCCTCTGGTGGTGCAGCGGATTAAACTGCTGACTTGCTGACCGAAAGGTCGGCGGTTCAAATCTGGGGAGCAAGGTGAGCTCTTGCTGTTAGCCCCAGCTTCTGCCCACCTAACAGTTCGAAAGCATGCAAATGTGAGTAGATATTGTACTGATATTGTACTATGCTAATAATATAATATATTGTATGTATATATACCTGAGTTCCGTTCGTGGTGAATGTCGTAAATAAATAAAATAATAAATAAATAGATCAGTAGATACCACTTCTGCAGGAAGGTAAGGGCTCTCCATGCAGTCATGCTGGCCACATGACCTTGGTGGTGCCTACGGACAACGCCAGCATGAGGGAGTTCTTCTATCTAGCATTCTAGTAGTGAGATGTATGGGGCAAACCTCTTCCGTTGCCCTTGGGTTCAAGCCAACATGTTCCTGGGCCAAAATTCAAGCCTCCATCTCCAGGGAGGTCCTCCTTGCCTCATGGTTTGAAGAGAAAGACGGGGATTCCTTGAGCCTCTGTAGCAAAGCCCTGACAATATATGTATTTTGTTTTTCTTTCCCAGGCTTCTTTGCACCTCCATGTGCCTTCAGTGCAATCGGACGAGCTACTACACAGTAAACACTCCCACCCTCTTGACTCGAATCAAACTTCCGACGTCCTCAGGTATTCAGTGTGTGAAAGAGGGAAAGGGAAAATGGGAGAAGGAAGTGCCGGGTGGTTGTGCAACCCTTCCCTTGGAGCTGTATTGTTTCTTGTCGTTCCACATCCTAGTCTCCAGGGCAGCAGAAAACAAGCTTGCTCCCTCCTCCCTATGACTTCCTCTCACATATTTATACATGGCTATCATGTCTCCTCTCAGCCTTCTCTTCTGAAGGCGAAACATGCCCAGCTCTTTAAGCCGCTCCTCATAGGGCTTGTTCTCCAGACCCTTGATCCTTTGAGTCGCCCTCCTCTGGACACATTCCAGCTTGTCAACATCTCCCAATTGTGGTGCCCAGAATTGGACACAGTATTCCAGGTGTGGTCTGACCAAGCCAGAATAGGGCATGGGGAGCATCTACCTACTTGGTCATCGATATTTTGTGCATCTATCCAATTAGACCATGTACCCCAAGGAAACTTAGGGGTGTGTGGTCATAAAAGAACTGGGACAAAAGATTGCATGGGAAGCTGCAGCTCACAGACAGTAGCTCTTTCCTGTAAGACTGTAGGATCTATATAGCAATATTAAATAACCACTCACAAGTCGTTTTTGCTTTGAAATGGATATATTGCTTGTATCTCTGCAGCAAAGAAAGACAGTACTGACTTTTCCCCACCACCACTTCCTTTTATACACCTTTCCTGCCCATCTCCCCCTCTGCTCAGTTTCCTTATTAGAACTTGTTGCTTCACAAGTTCCATAACATGGTTTCTAGCGCCCTTTGCTGGCTTCAGAATGTCACAGAGAGAGAATTGATTCAGTCAGGATGATTCAGTCAGGATGTCATGGAGGGAATTTGTGATGTCTTCATGCCGTCAGAAATTGACTACTGACATTTCCTCTTGATGCACATCCCTGGTAGTGATTCCACAGGAACTTAAACATGTACCTTAATAAGTTTTCCATATGACTTTCTTTGAAAATGGGGAAAATATTTATTTATTTGTTTATTTACAACATTTATATGCCGCCCTTCTCACCCTGAAGGGGACTCAGAGCGGCTCACAATATATATATATATATATACACCTATAATATACTATACTATCAGCATAGTACAATATCAGCATTAAACATTACTATATTGTACTATACCATTATATTGTAATATTATTAGTAATATTACATGTAATATAAATATATAATTATAATATCTAATTATTAGTAGTATTATATTGCATTACATTATAATATTATATGTATATACAATATATTATATTATATTATATTATATTATATTATATTATATTATATTATATTATATTATATTATTAGCATCGCACAGGAGACAAGGTGAAACTGTCCCCTGGCCCCTCTTCTCTTCACTCTGGCCCAGAGTGGGAGTTGGTGCTGGCAGGAGGGGTCTTCCATTGTAAATCTGTAGGATCTAAAAGACTCTTCCATTGTAAGTCTGTTGGAACTGAAAAGCAATAGTAAATAACCACTCACAAGCGGGCTTGCATCGAAATAAATATATTGCTTGTATCTCTGCAGCAAAGAAAGACACTACTGACTTTTCCCCACCACCACTTCCTTTTATACACCTTTCAGGCCCATCTCCCCCTCTTCTCAGTTTCCTTAATAGAACTTATTGCTTCACAAGTTCCATAACATGGTTTCTAGCGCCCTTTGCTGGCTTCAGGATGTCACAAAAAGAATTGATTCAGTCAGGTTGATTCAGTCAGGATGTCACGGAGGGAATTTGTGATGTTTCAATGCTGTCAGAAATTGACTCCTGACATCGATGAGCTAACACCTGTGTCTCTTCTCCTTTGTCCCCAGGTTTGTGTTGGAACAATACAACGCACTCTCCTGGCTGACCTGTGACCCCGCGACCCAGGACCGGCGCTCGTGTCTCCCCGTTCACTTTGTGGTGCTGAACCAGTTGTATAACTTTATCATGAACATGCTGTGATCTTTCTCTGAACCGAGCGAGGAGGAGGAGAACGAAGACGACCACAACGACGACGACAAAAAAAGGGAAAGTTTTCTGCCGCCGGACCGAGTCTATTCTTCGCCGTGTTTGTGATGGGGAGGGAGGCGCTCATCCTCGCATCATTTCCGACACCATTTGGGTTCTGAACTTGTGGCGGGGCCTGCTCCTCCTCCTCCCCCCCCCCCCTTGCCACCCCTTTCTTTTGGTTGGTGCACCGCCTGTCCCGGACTGATGAGGGCGGTCCGTCGCTCAGTCCGACTGTATTATACTACATCTCTTTTTTGTAGCAAAGGTAACCCTCCTTCCCCGGCCCCGTCCCTTCCGTGTCACAGTATTTGTGAAGAGTCTATGAGCCATAAGCCCCCAGCCATGTCCGACGAATATTTTGGGAAAGAATGAGCATGGAGACGACACGACTTATGACGACAAAAACGACGGAGGAAGAGGAAGAAAAGAAAAAAAACAATTTGTTGAATGCTTTCAGAACACTGCAATGTTCTTGTATTGGATTATAGTACCTAGTATTCAAAAAAAATATGCCTGCATCTCTTATTTATTGTAAGTTTTTAAATGTATAAATTGTCTTATATTTCTTAACCTCTTTTATAAAAAAAACAAACAATTTTCCTAGAAGGTTTATACTGCCTTCTTGCTTTAAAGCAATTGGTCTAAAAATATATATGTAATCGTCTTAATTGAAAGTTGCAGTAGGTTGCTTTTAGAGTATTATTTTTTTGTAAGGGGTTCCGGGGCGGGGTCGGGGAGCGGTCGGAAATTTGTATTTGGTCTTGATGTACAGTTTAATGGGGGCGGGCGGGGGGGAAATCTAGGAGGCGTGGGGCGGGCGGGGTTCTAGATGTCCATACCTTTGTGTGTGGGAGATTTACAGCTAAGCTGTAGTTGCAGATTATATGTGTACAGTCATGAAGTTCACTGTGTTTATATAAAATCGAAGAAAAAAAAAACAAAACAAAAAAGGTACCGGGTCTTACCGCAATTTTATATCACACCTTTGCAGAGTTAACATAATGGCAATATATTAAAAGAAAAGAAAAGAAAAGAAGTGGTATTGTTAGGTGGTTTAACTTGTAGTGAGGATTTTAAAAAAAAAACAGAATAATATTAATAATAATATTAATAATAATAATTTGTTTTAATTTTGGGCTGTTGTAAGTTTTCCAGAATGTGTGGTCATGTTTTAGAAGCATTCTCTCCTGACGTTTCACCCACATCTATGGTAGGCATCCTCAGAGGTTGTGAGGTGTGTTGGAAACTAGGCAAGTGTGGTTTATATACCTGTGGAATAATGTCCAGGGTGAATGTTTGATTAGCATTGAATGGACTTGCAGCTTCAAAGCCTGGCTGCCTCCTGCCTGGGGAATCCTTTGTTGGGAGGTGTTAGCTCACCCCTGATAGTTTCCTGTCTTGCAGCTTCAAAGCCTGGCTGCTCTCCGCCTGGGGAATCCTTTGTTGGGAGGTGTTAGCTGTCCCCTGATTGTTTCCTGGCTTGCAGCTTCAAAGCCTGGCTGCTCTCTGCCTGGGGAATCCCTTGTTGGGAGGTGTTAGCTGGCCCCTGATTGTTTCCAGTCTTGCAGCTTCAAAGCCTGGCTGCTTCCTGCCTGGGGAATCCTTTGTTGGGAGGTGTTAGCTCGCCCCTGATTGTTTCCTGTCTTGCAGCTTCAAAGCCTGGCTGCTTCCTGCCTGGGAATCCTTTGTTGGGAGGTGTTAGCTGTCCCCTGACTGTTTCCTGTCTTGCAGCTTCAAAGCCTGGCTGCGCTCTGCCTGGGGAATCCTTTGTTGGGAGGTGTTAGCTGTCCCCTGATTGTTTCCTGTCTTGTAGCTTCAAAGCCTGGCTGCTCTCTGCCTGGGGAATCCTTTGTTGGGAGGTGTTAGCTCGCCCCTGATTGTTTCCTGTCTAGTAGCTTCAAAGCCTGGCTGATTCCTGCCTGGGGAATCCTTTGTTGGGAGGTGTTAGCTGTCCCCTGATTGTTTCCTGTCTTGCAGCTTCGAGATCTGGCTGCCTCCTGCCTGGGGAATCCTTTGTTGGGAGGTGTTAGCTGTCCCCTGATTGTTTCCTGTCTTGCAGCTTCGAGATCTGGCTGCCTCCTGCCTGGGGAATCCTTTGTTGGGAGGTGTTAGCTGTCCCCTGATTGTTTCCTGTCTTGCAGCTTCGAGATCTGGCTGCCTCCTGCCTGGGGAATCCTTTGTTGGGAGGTGTTAGCTGTCCCCTGATTGTCGAAGGCTTTCATGGCTGGAATCACTAGGTTCTTGTGGGTTTTTTCGGGCTATAGAGCCATGTCCCCTGATTGTTTCCTGCCTTGCAGCTTCAAAGCCTGGCTGCGCTCTGCCTGGGGAATCTTTTGTTGGGAGGTGTTAGCTCACCCCTGATTGTTTCCTGTCTTGCAACTTCAAAGCCTGGCTGCTTCCGGCCTGGGAATCCTTTGTTGGGAGGTGATAGCTGTCCCCTAATTGTTTCCTGTCTGGAGTTCCCATGTTTTCTGAGTGTTGCTCTTTATTTACTGTCCTGATTTTAGAGTTTATTTTAATACTGAGGATTATATACCTGTAGAATAATGTCCAGGGTGGAAGAAAGAACTTTTGCCTACTTGAGGAAAGTGAATGTTGAAATTGGCCAGCTTGATTAGCATTTAATGGCCTTGCAGCTTCAAAGCCTGGCTGCTTCCTGCCTGGGGGATCCAGGGTGGGAGAAAGAACTCTTGCCTGCTGGAGTTTTTTTTAGTAGCCATAGCAGTGCACCTGATGAACCAACCTGGACACAGCATATTATTTAAGAAAACAAAAATGCTGGACCACTCTCACAACAAGGGTGACAACACAGAGAAGCCATTGAAATCCACAAGCATTTGTGCAATTTCAACAGAAAGGAGGAAACCATGAACATGAACATGAACAAAATCTGGCTACCAGTATTAAAAAAAATCTCTAACATCATAACAGTAAATAAAGAACAACTTTAAAAAAACAGGGGACTCCAGACAAGAAACAATCAGGGACAGCTAATCACCTCTCAACAAAGGATTCCCCCAGGCGGCAAGAGGAGCCCCTGGTGGTGCAGTGAGCTGCTAAACTTGCTAACAGAAAGGTCACAGGTATGAATCCAGGGAGCAGCATGAGCTCCTGCTGTTAGCCCCAGCTTCTGCTAACCTAGCAGTTCGAAAACATACAAATGTGAGTAGATGAATAGGTACTGCTTCAGCAGGAAGGTAACGGTGCTGCATGCAGTCATGTCAGTGGCCACATGACCTTGGAGGTGTCTCTAGACAAAGCTGGCTCGTGGACTTAGAAATGGAGATGAGCACCAACCCCCAGAGTTGGACACGACTGGACTTAATGTCAAGGAGAAACCATCTTATTACTACATTACAATATTATTATATATTATTATATATTATTATGCCAGCCACATGACCTTGGAGGTGTTATGGACGACGGCGGCTCGTTGGCTTAGAAATGGACATAAGCATCAACCTCCAGGGTTGGACACGAGTGGAGAGGAAAACCTTTACCTTTAACAGGCCTCAGTGTAAGTTTGCCCTCAGTGTGTGAGTCTGTGAGAGGCTCAGTGGGGAAAAGGCCTGAGCCTGAGAGAGCCCTCAGTGTGAGAAGGCCTCAGTGGGAGAAAGGCCACAGTGTGAGAAGGCCTCAGTGTGTGAGATAGGCCTCAGTGTGAGAAGGCCTCAGTTGGAGAAAGGCCTCAGTGTGAGAAGGCCTCATGTGTGAAGGTTGAACTTTCATAGAATCATAGAATCAAAGAGTTGGAAGAGACCTCATGGGCCATCCAGTCCAACCCCCTGCCAAGAAGCAGGAATATTGCATTCAAATCACCCCTGACAGATGGCCATCCAGCCTCTGCTTAAAAGCTTCCAAAGAAGGAGCCTCCACCACACTCCGGGGCAGAGAGTTCCACTGCTGAACGGCTCTCACAGTCAGGAAGTTCTTCCTAATGTTCAGATGGAATCTCCTCTCTTGTAGTTTGAAGCCATTGTTCCGCATCCTAGTCTCCAAGGAAGCAGAAAACAAGCTTGCTCCCACTTAATGTCAGGGAAAAACCTTTACCTTTACCTAGGCGGTAAGAAGCCACACTTTGAAACTGCTAGGCCATTAAATGCTAATCAAGGTGACCAGCTGAAACATCCACACCTACCTTAAGCAGACAAGAGTTCTTTCTCCTACCCTGGGTATTATTCCAAAGATCATGGCAGTAAGCAGCCAGACCTTGAAGCTGCAAAGCTATTAAATGCTAATCAAGGTAGTCAACTGAAACATTCACACCAACCTCCAACAGGTAAACGTTCTTTCTCCCACCCTGGACATTATTCCAAAGATCATGGCAGTAGGCAAGATAATGGCAGTAAGCAGCCAGACCTTGAAGCTGCAAAGGTATTAAATGCTAATCAAAGTGGCCAATTGAAACATTCACAGCTACCTCCAACAGATAAGAGTTCTTTCTCCCACCCTGGACATTATTCCAAAGATAATGGCAGTAAGCAGCCAGACCTTGAAGCTGCAAAGCTATTAAATGCTAATTGAGGTGGCTAATTGCAACATTCACACCTATCTGATTCCTTTCTCCCACCCTGGACATTATTCCACAGGTATATCAACCCCATTTTCCTAGTTTGCAATAGATCTCACAACCTCTGAGGATACCTGCCATAGATGTGGGCGAAACGTCAGGAGAGAATGCTTCCGGAACTTAGTCACACAGTCCTGAAAACACGCAACCACCCAGTGATTCTGGCCATGAAAGCCTTCGACAATACATGTTTTAATTTTTTTTTCGTATTTTTGTCGAAGGCTGAAAAGACCTTTTTTTTCCGGGCCTCTTCCTGTTTCTTTTTCTCCTCACCCGAAGGAGGGAGGACGGGTTTCCCGCCAGGACGTCTCCTCCTCCTCCTCCTCCTCCTTCTCTTCCGCGCGTGCGTTTTAGCCAAGAGAGAATCTGTGTCACTTGATGAAATCGCGACACTTTTTTTTTTAAAGGAACGATCCTTCCCCTCAATAAAGCTGCGTCACTTTCACCTTTCGGAGTATATTTTGTGTGCGTTCCCCCCTCCGACAACGTCCCTCTCCTTCTCCCTCTTTTGTGGCACGATTTTTAGCCTTTTTACAACAGTGACAACACAAGGGAAACAAACCACTGATTTTTGACATGGAACGATTGGGGAGCATATCAATGGTAATGTGGTTTTGGCGCATCTTGTGGTGACCCCCCACCATAACATTATGTTCGTTGCTACTCGGTAACTCTCATTTTGCTACTGTTCTGAATCGTCATGTCAATATTTACTTATTTGATGGAGTACTTCCTCATTCTTCTGCACGCTGCTGGAAGGTTTTATGGCATTATATATTAGTTAAATTCCTACTCTCAGAGAGCTTAGTGTTTGTCAACCTTCCTAATGCCGCAACCCCTTAATACAATTTCTCCATGTTGTGGTGACCCGCAACCATAACATTATTTTCGTTGCGACTCCGTAACTGTCATTTTGCACCTGTTCTGAATCGTCATGTTAATATTTATTTATTTGATGGAGTACTTCCTCATTCTTCCACACACTGCTGGAAGGTTTTATGGCGTTGTAAGATAGCTAAATCCCTGCCGCGACCCCTTAATACGGTTCCTCATGTTGTGGTGACCCCCAACCATAACATTATTTTCATGCCTACTCCATAACTGTCATTTTGCTACTATTCTGAATCGTCATGTCAATATTTATTTACTTGATGGAGTACTTCCTCTTTCTTCTGCAGCCCGCTGGAAGGTTTTATGGCGTTGCAAATTAGCTAAATCCCTGCTGAGACCCCTTAATACAGTTCCTCATGTTGTGGGGACCCCCAACCATAACATTATTTTCGTTGCTACTCCCTAACTGTCATTTTGCTACTATTCTGAATTGTCATGTCAATATTTATTTATTTGATGGAGTACTTCCTCATTCTTCTGCAGACTGCTGGAAGGTTTTATGGCGTTGCAAATTAGTTAAATCCCTGCCGCAACCCCTTAATACAGTTCCTCATGTTGTGGGGACCCCCAACCATAACATTATTTTCGTTGCTACTCTGTAACTGCCATTTTGCTACTGTTCTGAATCATCATGTCAATATTTATTTGATGGAGTACTTCCTCATTCTAATGCACGCTGCTGGAAGGTTTGATGGCATTGTAAATTAGTTAAATCCCTTCTCTTAGAGAGCTTAGTGTTTCTCAACCTTCCTAATGCCGCGACCCCTTAATACAGTTCCACTTGTTGTGGTGACCCCCAACCATAGCATTATTTTCGTTGCTACTCCTTAACTTATATTTTGCTACTGTTCTGAATCGTCATATCAGTATTTATTTACTTGATGGAATACTTCCTCATTCTTCTGCACGCTGCTGGAAGGTTTTATGGCATTATAAATTGATTAAATCCCTGCTGTTAGAGAGGTTTCTCAACCTTCCTAATGCCACGACCCCTTAATACAATTTCTCCATGTTGTGACCCCCAACCATAACATTATTTTCGTTGCCACTTCCTGTCATTTTGCTACTGTTATGGATCGTAATGTAAATATCTGATATGCAGGATGTATTCTCATTCACTAGACCAGCGTTTCTCAACCATCCTAATGCCGTGACCTCTTATTACAATTCCTCGTGTTGTGGTGACCCCAAAAACAGAAAATTATTTTTCGTTGCTACTTCATAACTATACTTTTACTACTGTTACGAATCGTCATGTAAATATCCGATACACAGGATATATTTGCATTCATTTGGCACAAATACCCGATACACCCCAAATTTGAATACTGGCAGGTTTGGAAGGGATTTGTTTTGTCATTTGGGAGTTGTAGTTGCTGGGATTTATAGTTTGCCTACAATCAAAGAGCATTTGGAACTCCACGAACGATGGAATTGAACCAAACTTGGCACACAGAACTCCCACGACCAGAAAATACTGTGTTTGTGATGGTATTTGGCGACCCCTCTGACACCCCCTTGTGACCCCCCCAAGGGTCCCGAGAAACACTATTCTAGAGCTTTAGCATTCAAACATTTTGGTGGACGCCCTGCCAAATTGTCATCAGGAGTCCGAATCAAAAAACCAGGCTTGTCTGTTCTTAAGGTGAAAAGCATGTATTTGCATTTTAGCTGGATTAGGAATCATCTGGTTTCCCTTACAATAGGCAGTAAGAGCACCTAAAGCTTCAGAGAGTTTCTATTCAACCGTTTCAAAGCTTCCTATGTGAGCATTGATGGCATGATTGTCAGCATAGATGAAAGACGTCAGTGTTTTAGATCGATTAGGAACCAACTGGTTTCCCCTGTAATGGGCAGTAAGAGCACCTCAAGCTTCAGAGAGTTTCTGTTCAATTGTTTCAAAACTCACTGCTTGAGCAGTGATGGCGGGATCGTCGGCATAGATGAAAGACATCAGTGTTTTAGATAGATTAGGAACCAACTGGTTTCCCCTGTAATAGGCAGTAAGAACACCTAAAGCTTCAGAGAGCTTCTGTTCAACCATTTCAAAGCACCCTACTTGGGTGGTGATGGCATGATCGTCAGCATAGATGAAAGACGTTAGTGTTTTAGATGGATTAGGAACCAGCTGCTTTCCCCTGTAATAGGCAGTAAGAGCGTCTAAAGCTTCAGAGAGCTTCTGTTCAACCGTTTCAAAGCTTGAGCGGTGATGGCATGATCGTCAACATAGATTAAACTCTGTCCTTTCTGGCAACGCGTTTGATCATTTGTGCAAATGTTAAACATTGCTGGAAGAAGCACACTCCCCTGAAACTAGGCAAGTGAGGTTTATATATCTGTGGAGTAATGTCTTTGTGTTTGAGGCAAGTGTGAATGTTGCCATTGGCCAGCTTGGTTAGCATTGAATAGCCTTGCATCAGGAGCCCCGCTGGCGCAGTGGCGGTTTGAATCCGGGGAGTGGGGTGAGCTCCTGCTGTTAGCCCCAGCTTCTGCCAACATAGCAGTTCAAAAACATGCAAATGTGAGTAGATGAATAGGCAGGAAGGTAATGGCACTCCATGCAGTCATGACCTTGGAGGTGTCTATGGACAATGCCGGCTCTTCGGCTTAGAAATGGAGATGAGCACCAACACCTAGAGTTGGACAATGCTGGACTTAATGTCAAGGGAAAACCTTTACCTATGGGCCACGCTGTCTGCTCAAGGGGATACGGGCGGCTTACAGCACTAGAATGTCAGGAAACCTTGCAGCTTCAAAGCCTGGGTGCTTCCTTCTCCCACCTTGGACATGGCACAGGGATAGATGATAGATAGATAGATAGACAGATAGATAGATAGAGTGTGAGAGCCGTTCAGCAGTGGAACTCTCTGCCCCAGAGTGTGGTGGGGGCTCCTTCTTTGGAAGTTTTTAAACAGAGGCTGTATGGCCATCTGTCGGGGGTGATTTGAATATTCCTGCTTCTTGGCAGGGGGTTGGACTGGATGGCCCATGAGATCTCTTCCAACTCTTTGATTCTATGATAGATAGATAGATAAACCCCACTTGTGTAGTTTCCAACAGAGCTCACAACCTCTGAGATGGCCTGCCGTAGATGTGGGGGAAACGTCAGGAGAGAATTCGTCTAGAACATGCCCAGACAGCCCTAAAAACTCAGCAACCCAATTATATTATATTATCATATTATGATAGATAGATAGATAGATAGATAGATAGATAAACCCCACTTGCATAATTTCCAACAGACCTCACAACCTCTGAGGATGCCTGCCATAGGTGTGGGGGAAACGTCAGGAGAGAATGCTTCTAGAACATGCCCAGACAGCCCTAAAAAGTCAGCAACCCAATTATATTATATTATCATATTAATTATGCCATATTAATGATATTATCACTATTATATTATTATTAATAATAATAATAATTATTATTATTATTTATTATTATCATTATTATTATCATTATCATTATTTTTATTATTTTTATTATTATATTATCATTATTATTATTATTATTTATTATTATCATTATTTATTATTATTCTCATTATTATATTATCATATTATTATTCTCATTATTATTATTATTATTATTCTATTATTATTATTATATTCTATATTATTATTATTATTATTATTATTATTCATATTATTATTATATTCATTATTATTATTTTCATTATTATTATCATTATTATTATTATCATTATTATTTATTATATTATTATTCTCATTATTATATTATTATTCTCATTATTATTATTCATATTATATACATTATTATATTATTATTATTATTATTCTCATATTATTCATTATTTATTATTATTATATTATTCTCATATTATTATTATTATCATTATTATTATTATTATTATCATTATTATTATTAATTATTATTATTTATTATTATCATCATTATTATCATTATTATTATCATCATTATTATTATTAATCCATTATTATTATTATTATTACATTATTATCATTATTATTATTATTATTATTATTATTATTATTATTATTATTATTATTATTATTACCATTATTATTATATAGAAATGGGCCTAAAGATTGAAATGTCGTCATAGTCTTGTTAACATGGAAATAGTACTATGATGACATGCAGTTTCCAATAGGAAACGCTAGGGGGAGCCAATGCTTGGAAGGAGGGGTAAAGAGTGGAGGAAAGCCAGAGAGGGCAAGGAAGTGAGCTCTCGCAAGCCACTTCCGCCCTCAAGGGGGCGGAGCCAGAGTGACGTATTTCCTTTCCCCACCGGAAGTCCGCTCTTTCCAGCCTCTGTGTGGAAGTGTGTTCTTCTCTCCCGGAAGTGGTCCCTCCAAGAGGTGTGTGGCTGGGTTTTCTTTCCCTCTTCAGGGTGTGTATGTGATAGGAATTGTGTTTATGTTGTTGTTGTTGCTATTTCATGTTTTGCTTTAGGCCTACAGAGTGTGTCCCACAAAGGAGTCAATATTGAAGGACTCTAAGGTGTCTGCAATAATTTATATATATATATATATATATATATATATATATATATATATATTTATTATAATATGTAGTTACTATTTTATTAATATTATTAAAATTATAGATATATACATAATATATAATATTGCATTAATATTATATATAATACTAATGTAATATATATAATATTAATAATATATTAATTATTTTATATATATTATTAGTATATTATATTATTAATATAATATATATAGTTACTATTATATTGATATTAAAATTATAGATATATGTATAATATATATTACATTAATACTATATATAAAATATTAATGTCATTTTATATATATAATATTAATAATATATTAAAATTATAGATATATACATAATATATAATATTGCATTAATATTATATATAATACTAATGTAATATATATAATATTAATAATATATATTAATTATGTGTGTATATATATTATTAGTATATATATATTATTAATATAATATATATAGTTACTATTATATTGATATTAAAATTATAGATATATGTATAATATATATTACATTAATACTATATATAAAATATTAATGTCATTATATATATAATATTAATAATATATATAATTACTATTATATTGATATTAAAATTATAGATATATGTATAATATATATTACATTAATACTATATATAAAATATTAATGTAATATATATATATATATAATATTAATATATATTAATATTAATATATTAATATATATATAATTGCAGACATCATTGAGTCCTTAAATACTGAGTTCTTTGTGGGACACACTCTGTAGACCTAAAGCAGAATATGAAATACACATATTATTAAAATCTATATTATTAATATATTGCTTATAAAATAATATATAGCTACTATTATATTGATATTATTAAAATTATAGATATATGCATAATATATAATGTTGTAATATTATATATTATAGAAATGCAATATCAGCAATAAATTGCCCATTTATGTCTCACTTTCTTTATTTGTATTCCAGCCATTTGGGAATGAGATCTGGTCCGTATGATGATGATGATGATGATCATCATCATCATCATCATAACACTTTATTTATATTCTGCTTTTTTCCCCATGGGGACTCAGAGCTGATTACAGTGTAAACAGATACCATCAAACATTCAATGCCTTGTTACGATACAATGAGACACACAAACACAAACAAAGGCAAAGGCTTCTCCTTTCATTTCCATCTTTGGAGGTGGTGCTCATGTCTGACTCCTGAGGAGGAGCTCTTCTCCATTTCCATTTCTGGTCGTGTGACTAGCATGACTGCTTGGAAGCAGTACCTATTGATCTACTCACATTTGCATGTTTTCGAACTGCTAGGTTGGCAGTAGCTAGGGCTAACAGCAATAGCTCACCCCGTCCCGCAGATTCGAACTGGCAATCTTCAGGTCGGCAGTTCAGCAGTAGAAGGGTTTAACACCACCGCAGTGAATGAATATACTCCAGTCACTGAATAATAGTGGTTGCTTTGCTGGAATTCTGTTTAATCATTTCCTTTCTCGGCTTCCATCTCTTTCTTTTCCTGTGCTTTTCAGGGCACCTTGTGCCATGGCGGAGTGCTCGGGCCTGCTGTTTGTCAGCCCTTATGCTTTCGAAGCCATGCAAAAGGTGGATGTGGTGCACTTGGCTGCCTTGAGCGATCCGGAGCTGCGCCTGTTGCTGCCCTGCTTGGTGCGGATGGCCTTGTGCGCCCCGGCTGACCAGAGCCAGAGCTGGGCTCAGGACAAGAAGCTGATCCTCCGCCTGCTGTCCGGAGTGGAAGCTGTGAACTCCATTGTCGCCTTGCTGTCTGTGGACTTCCACGCTCTGGAGCAAGACGCCAACAAAGAGCAGCAGTTGAGGTAATTGACCTGGATCAATCCAGCTTTATGACTTACGAGGGTTGAATGAAAAGTAATGCCTCCACCTTCGTAAGTCCTCAACAGATGGCAGTACTGGTATGCGGCAGGTACTGGCTTATTCAGTAGACTCTCCTCTACAGTTCCATTTTGACGGGAAGCCTTAGCATTGAACGGTTGTGTTGTTAAAGTGAAAAGTAACACCTCCACCTTCGTAACTCCTCAACAGATGGCAGTACTGGTATGCAACAGGTGCTGGCTTGTTCAGTAGACTCACCTCTGCAGTTCCATTTTGGTGGGAAGCCTTAGCATTGAACAGTTGTGTTTTTAAAGTGAAAAGTAATGCCTCCACCTTTGTAACCTCTCAACAGATGGCAGTACTGGTATGCGGCAGGTACTGACTTGTTCAGTAAACTCTCCTCTACAGTTCCATTCTGGTGGGAAGCCTTAGCATTGAACACTTGTGTTGTTAAAGTGAAAAGTAACGCCTCCACCTTCGTAACTCCTTAACAGATGGCAATACTGGTATGTGGCAGGTACTGGCTTGATCAGTAGACTTTCCTCTACAGTTCCATTTTGGCAGGAAGCCTTAGCATTGAATGATTGTGTTGTTAAAGTGTGAAGTATGGAACCATGGTCGACTTAAGCAACATGAAGTCATTGAATTCTTTACAGCAGAAGGTGTCACCCCAAAGAGGTTCAGCAGAGAATGCAAGCTGTTTATGGTGATTGTGTTGATGTGAGTACTGTGCGTTGTTGGGCAAGTAAGTTTAGAGATGTTGAGGTGGGAACATCTGATTTGCGTGACAAACAAAAAGTTGGACGTCCTGTGACAGCAACCACCGAGTTTCACAAGCAAAAGATTGACAGATTGATTCAGGACGATCGTCATATCACTCAGAGAGAAATTTCAAGCGTAATCGGCATTTTACAAGAATGTGTGGGTCACATTATTGCTTTTCTTGGCTATTGGAAGATCTGTGCACGATGGGTACACAGCAGAACATCAGAGACTGGATCTCACCACCATACGGCATCCTCCATACAGTCCAGATTTAACACCGACTGACTTCCATCTGTTCCCGATAATGAATGAAGATCTGTGGGGACATCATGATGCTTCTGATGAAGATGTTGAGAAAACTGTGAGAGGCTGGTTGTGGAAACAAGAGTGTCAACTTCTTCCATGATGGCTTCAGAAAACTTGTTTATTTATTTATTTTATTTATTTATTTACATTATTTATATCCCGGCGACTCAAGGCGGTTTCCAACAAATCAGTATACATAAAACATAATAGATAAAAAACATTAAACAGTATAAGACATCACAAAAACAATAAAAGCAACATCATCAGCATCTCATTATTCTCAAGCATTGCCCAATTCCATTGTCAGGTCATTCGATTTCCTATATTAGCTACTCCGTATTTGTAAATGCTTGCTCGAATAGCCACGTTTTAACTTGCCTCCGAAACGTCAAGAGGGAGGGAGCAGATCTGATTTCCCTAGGGAGGGCATTCCATAGCCGAGGGGCCACTATTGAGAAGGCCCTGTCTCTCGTCCCCACCAAACGTGCTTGTGACGAAGGCGGGACCGAAAGCAGGGCCTCCCCAGATGATCTTGTTCATCGTTGATGATCTTGTTCATCGTTGGCAGAAATGTATCCAATTGTCTGGTGATTATGTTGAAAAGTGAATAGTGGTAATTAAAGACCATATTCTAAGGATGATTTCTGCGTTTGATTTATTAAAATATTCCCATCCAAACCCAGGTAACAAAGGTGGAGGCATTACTTTTCACTCAACCCATGTAGAAGCGTCCTTTCTCAATGCTATTTTAGCTGGATTGAACAACCGCAGAATTCTGAGCCCGTGTTCTGCGTTTTGAACCCTCCTCACTCTCTCCTCAGGCACAAACTCGGCGGAGGGAGTGGCGAGAGCATCTTGGTCTCCCAGTTGCAGCATGGGTTGGCACTGGAGTTTGAGCACAGCGATTCCCCCCGGCGGCTCCGTCTCGTGCTTAGCGAATTGCTCGCCATTATGAACAAGGTGAGGCATTTTCTCCTCTCTTCCAGCCTCAAACACAACGAACAACCACTGATGGAGAGCACCACTCCAGATGGTGGAAACCTCTCGAGTGGTGCTCTAGGTTGACATTTTGATATCAGTGATACGACACTAAAGAGGCCCTAAATAAATTCTAAAAGGCACTAAATAGGCAAAACGGGTCCTGGCACAATGCTCCCCCTCTATTCTGCCTTGGTGAGACCATTTTACCTGGAATCACAAGTGAGTCCAATTCTGCAATGCAAGGGAGAGGTTGACACTTGACTCTAAGTTGGAATATGTCCAGAGAAAGAGGGCGACTCAAAGGATCAAGGGCCTGGAGAACAAGCCCTATGAGGAGCGGCTTAAAGAGCTTGGCCTGATAAGCCTGCAGAAGCGAAGGCTGAGAGGAGACATGATAACGAGCGCCATATAATGATAATGAGGCCCAGCACCAACTGCCACTCTGGGCCAGAGTGAAGAGTGGGTGGGCAGAGTACAGTTCCATACAAAAAAGTATAGAATTGGTACAAAAGAGACAAAACCTCAATTCCTGAGCATACTAAAGCTATCAAATATTAGAAGAATTGGGGAAGGCAAACTCCTGCAGTACAGGATTCATGGGCATTTTCTTTCCATACATTGCTTGTCTCCTTCTTCGTATTCTTGCTTTATGCTAGTAATATAATCTAGTTAATATAATGTAATATAATATATTGTATATACATATAATATGATAATGTAATACAATATAATAATAATATGATATTATAATTATATATTTTATATTACATGTAATATTATCTATTTATTTATTTATTTATCGTGTCATCAGCAACTATATTAGTAATATAGTTTATATTACTAATGAACTATATAAATAAAAATGTAATGTTAGTTTGTGGGATTAACAGAACTCAAAAACCACTGGACGAATTGACACCAAATTTGGACACAAGACACCTAACAACCCAATGTATGTCCTTCACTCAAAAAAAAATTGATTTTGTCATTTGGGAGTTGTAGTTGCTGGGATTTATAGTTCACCTACAATCAAAGATAACTCTGAACCCCACCAACTATGGAATTAAACCAAACTTAGCACACAGAAAGAGCTGAGTTCTCCTATGACCAACAGAAAATACTGGAAGGGTTTGGTGGGCATTGTCCTTTGGTTTTGGAGTTGTAGTTCACCTACATCCAGAGATCACTGTGGACTCAGACAATGATGGATCTGGACCAAACTCTACACGAATACTCAATATGCCCAGATGTGAACACTGGTGGAGTTTGGGGAAAACAGAATCTTTGCATTTGGGAGTTGCAGTTTCTGGGATTTATAGTTCACCTACAATCACAGAGCATTCTGAACCCTACCAACGATAAAATTGGGCCAAACCTCCCACACAAAACCCTCATGTGGGCCACAGCAACGTGTGGCAGAGGATGGCTAGCATTACAATATAATGGTATACTGCAGTATAGAAATATATAATACTGATATTGTACTATACTAATAATATAATATATTGTATGTATATATCTCATGTAAGCTGCTCTGAGTACCCTTTGGGGTGAGAAGGGCGGCATATAAAGGTCGTAAAGAAATAAATAAATAAAATGTATTAATATGTGAAGGGAAGTCCTAGGGAGGAGGGAGCAAGCTTGTTTTCTTCTGCCCTGAAGACTAGGACACAATGGAGCAAAGGAGATTCCATCTGAATATTAGGAAGAACATCCTGACTGAGAGCCGTTCAACAGTGGAACTCTCTGCCCTGGAGTGTGATGGAGGCTCCTTCTTTGGAGGCTTTGAAACAGATGCTGGGTGACCATCTGTTAGGGGTGCTTTGAATGCGATTTCCCTGCTTCTTGGCAGAATGGGGTTGGACTGGATGTCCCACCAGGTCTCTTCCAACTCTAGGATTGTATGATCCTCCTCTTGGTTCAACTCTATGATTCTCAGATGAGCTGCTATTGTTGTGTACTTTTCTTTTTCCCAAAATCAAAAGCCTCTCTCAACAACATGTCTCGCTGTAGGTGTCAGACTCCAATGGGGAGTTTTTTTTCAAGTCACCCGAACTGTTTGAGAGCCCGGTTTACTTGGAAGAAGCCGCTGACGTGCTTTGCATCCTGCAGGCAGGTACGTGCCACCTGAAGAGCCCCCCCCCCCCCCCCCCCCCCCCCCCCCCCCCCCCGCATATACCCGAATAGTAATAAATGGCTGTTTTTGCGTTGGGGTTATGTCACTCGGGAAAGAAGTGGGCCAAGGGGTGGCTGTGGTTGTTATTGAAAAGCAATCTCTTTCCGTTCAGAGCTTCCTTCGCTGTTACCAATTGTGGATGTAGCTGAAGCTTTGCTCCACATGAAGAACGGGGCTTGGTTCCTCTGTCTCTTAGTGGCCAACGTTCCTGACAGCTTCAATGAAGGTATGCAGCACAATTAATGATCAGTTCCTGGGAGAGGCATCTATTGGTGCAGAGCAGGCATGGACCAACTTTGGCCCTCCAGGTGTTTGGACTTCAACTCTCACTCCTCAGGACGTCTGGTTCTAATTCACTCACCACACTATCAAAGCTATCCTCGATATTATTATCCTTCCCATTCTATTGTCTCACAGCTGACCTGATCTGAGAAGTAGATTTATTTATTGTGTCAGGAGCAACCAGACATTTGTATTACAGTTTTAAAAAAACAAACAAACAGACAGACAAAACACAAAGTTTGCAAGCTTGGTAGTTGATTAAATGTCCTTTGACCAGTATCTGGCCACTTGGAGTGCCTCTGGTGTTGCCACAAGGAGGTCCTCCCTTGTGCATGTGGCAGGGTTCAGGTTGCATTGCAGCAGGTGGTCAGTGGTTTGCTCTTCTCCACACTCGCATGTCGTGGATTCCACTTTGTGGCCCCATTTCTGAAGGTTGGCTCTGCATCTCGTGGTGTCAGAATGCAGTCTGTTCAGCGCCTTCCAAGTCGCCCAGTTTTCTGTGTACCCAGGGGGGAGTCTCTCGTCTTTCATTACAATATTATGATCTTGAACACATCTTGCCAAGAAAGCCTTAGGGTTGCCATAAGTTGGGAACAGCTTGAAGGCACATCATTAGCACAACAGTGGCTAACGATGTGTCAATGGGTTAAACCCTTGTGCCATCAGGACTGAAGACAGACAGGTCGCAGGTTTGAATACGGGGAGAGCGTGGATGAGCTCCCTCTGTCAGCTCCAGTTCTCCAAGCGGGGACATGAGAGAAGCTTCCAACAAGGGTGGTTAAAAACATTAAATCATCTGGGCGTCCCCTGGGCAACGTCCTTGCAGATAGCCAATTCTCTCACACCAGAAGTAACTTGCAGTTTCTCAAGTTGCTCCTGACACACACACAGCGCAACAGACATCCCTCTAGGATGCTGCAAGTAGGAGATCTGTATTCAACTAAACCAACCCTTTGGCTGTTTCTAGTCTGCAGGGGCTTGATCAAGAATGGCGAACGGCAAGACGAGGAAAGTTTTGGAGGCCGCAGGAGGACTGAGGCTCTCCGGCATCTTTGTAAAATGAACCCCTCCCAGGCATTGAGGGTCCGCGGCATGGTGGTAAGCATTTCTGTATTTACCGTCGCAAGAAAGAGTGGCTATAATGGGAGGCATATTTCTGCAATATTTTGAATACGGAGTTGGGAGTTCCAGAGGAGACCCTTGTTAGGCCTGACTTAGCTTTTTTGCTCCCTTAAGAGTCTTAGGTTCTTATGAACTTAGGAATGAAGGCTCCAAACAGCCTTAGAAGGGAATATTCTGCCTTTATATGGAAAAAAATACATCCTAGTTGTGTGTCGTTCCTTTTCTGATCAAGCTCTCCTTTTGAAGTAAATGCCTTTGTTTCCTTTTGGGTTAGGTGGAGGAATGCCACTTACCAGGGCTTGGAGTGGCTTTGACCCTGGATCACACCAAGAACGAGTCTTCGGAGGATGGCGTCAGTGATCTTGTCTGCTTTGTGAGCGGGTTGCTGCTAGGGACCAATGCCAAGGTCCGGACTTGGTTTGGGACTTTTATCCGGAACGGTCAGCAGGTGAGAACTTGTGATGTGTTTTGAAAGGCAGGAGCTGTCTTCATAGATTTGTCAGCAGCATATGATACTGTAAGTCATTGCCTTCTCCTGAGAAAAATCTATAATATCCCAAAGGACGACCACCTCACCCGCTTCATAGGAAATCTGCTACAAAACAGGAGCTTTTTTGTTGAGTTCCAAGGCCAGAGAAGCAGATGGCGGAAACAGAAGAACGGTCTGCCTCAGGGGAGCATGCTTGCTCCATCAATGTTCAACATTTACACAAATGATCAGCCACTGTCAGAAGGGAAAGAGAGTTTAATCTATGCTGACAATCATGCCATCACCGCTTAAGCAGGGAGCTTTGAAATGGTGGAACAGAAGCTCTCCAAAGCTTTAGGTGCTCTTACTGCCTATTACAGGGAAAACCAGCTGATTCCTAATCCATCTAAAATGTAGACGTGTGCTTTTCATTGTAATAACAGACAAAAATCTCAAGCTCTGCGGATGACCTGGGAAGGAATCCCACTGGAGCATTGCAGCGCACCCAAATACCCGGGAGTCAGTCTGGACCGTGCTCTGACTTATCAGAAGCACTGCCTGACTATCAAGCAAAAAGTGGGTGCTAGAAATAATGTCATACGAAAGCTGACTGGCACAACCTGGGGATCACAACCAGACACAGTGAAGACATCTGCCCTTGTTTTGCTACTCTGCTGCTGAATACGCATACCCAGTGTGAAATACATCTCACCACATTAAAACAGTGGATGTGGCTCTTAATGAGACATGCCACATTATCACAGGATGTCTGTGCCCTACACCACCGCAGAAATTATACCGTTTAGCTGACATCGCATCTGTCGGGAAGTAGCAGCCTGTTACTAAAGGACCAAGGCAGTGACACCTCCGGCCCATCCTCTGTTCCGATATCAGCCAGCACGTCAATGCCTTAAATCAAGAAATAGCTTCCTAAGATCTACAGAGATACTCACAGGAACACCTCAGCAAGCAAGAGTCCAGAAGTGGCAGGCTAAAACCCAGAACCTTAGTCAGCAGCTGTGACCGGAGGAGAGACTCCCTCCTTGGTATAGAGAAGAATACCAACTTGGAAGGTGCTGAACAGACTGCGCTCTGGCACCATGAGATGCAGAGCCAACCTTAAGAAATGGGGCCACAAAGTGGAGTCCATGACATGTGAGTGCGGAGAAGAGCAAACCCCAGCCCACTGGCTACAATGCAGCCTGAGCACAATGCACAATGGAGGACCTTCTCACAACAACACCAGAGGCACTCCAAGTGGCCAGGCCTTAGTGTTAGTAGGCCTCTGTATGAGAAGGCCTCAGTATGAGAAGGCTCCAGTGTTAGTTTGACTCAGTAAGAAAACACCTCACAGTTCATAGGCCTCAGTGTTATAGAGGAAGACCTCAGTCTGAGAGAGGCCTCAGCGTGAGGTAAGCCTCAGTGTGTTAGTAGACCTTAGTGTTAGTAGGCCTCGGTATGAGAAGCCTCAGTATGAGAAGGCTCCACTGTTAGTTTGACTCAGTAAGAAAACACCTCAAAGTCTATAAGTCTCAGTAGATTATAGAGGTCTCAGTTGGAGAAAGGCCTCAGTGTGAAGTAAAACTCAGTGAGATAGGCCTTAGTGTGTTAATAGACCTTAGTGTTAGTAGGCTTTGGTATGAGAAGGCCTCAGTATGAGAAGGCTCCAGTGTTAGGTTGATTCAGTAACAAAACACCTCAAAGTTCATTGGCCTCAGTGTTATAGAGGCCTCAGTGAGAGGAAGGCCTCCGTCTGAGAGAGGCCTCAGCGTGAGGTAAACCTCAGTGTGTTAGTAGACCTTAGTGTTAGTAGGCCTCGGTATGAGAAGGCCTCGGTATGAGAAGGCTCCACTGTTAGTTTGACTCAGTAAGAAAACACCTCACAGTTCATAGGCCTCAGTGTTATAGAGGAAGACCTCAGTCTGAGAGAGGCCTCAGTGTGAGGTAAGGCTCAGTGTGTTAGTAGACCTTAGTGTTAGTAGGCCTCGGTATGAGAAGCCTCAGTATGAGAAGGCTCCACTGTTAGTTTGACTCAGTAAGAAAACACCTCAAAGTTTATAAGTCTCAGTATATTATAGAGGCCTCAGTGGGAGGAAGGCCTCAGTGTGAGGTAAACCTCAGTGAGATAGGCCTTAGTGTGTTTATAGACCTTAGTGTTAGTAGGCCTCAGTATGAGAAGGCTCCAGTATCAAGCTGTTGGCTAGGATTTGCCAAGAAGATGGGATGTAAACAAAACACAGCAGTCCTGCGTCTCACACAAGGGATTTGTTCCAGCGATTCCTAGAGAAGGGTTTTGTCTAGGCCTCTGGCTTCTTTAGATCCTCCTGTGCAATATCATTGTATCCAGAGTTTTCCATGTATAGCAAAGCAAATATAATGGGAGTTGTTTTGTCGTCTCCTTTCAGAGGAAGAGGGAAAACATCAGCTCCGTGCTTTGGCAGATGAGGAGGCAGCTGCTCCTGGAGCTGATGGGGATCCTGCCCACCGTCCGCAGCATGCGCATGACGGAGGAAGCCGAGGGCGACACGGGCCCGAATGTCTCTGTGTATTCGGGGCTGAAGGAAGAGCATGTTGTCAAGGCCAGCGCACTCCTGCGCCTCTATTGCGCTCTTATGGGGATCGCCGGCTTGAAGTAAGCACATTGCGAATAGATCTAGACTCAATAGTTCTCTGATGTTTGAGACATAGCAAGGTCTCGCCCCAAATGTTGTGTATATGTGTGAGGGAGTGGGTTGTGTCTGTCAGCAGGGGCTAATTCTTCATGTTGTTGTTGTTGTTGTTGTCTTCCAGGCCGACAGATGAGGAAGCCGAGCAGTTGCTTCAGCTCATGACCAGCCGCCCTCCGGCAACCCCAGCCGGCGTCCGCTTTGTCTCGCTCTCCTTCTGCATGCTGCTGGCCTTCTCCACACTTGTCAGGTACCCTTTTTGGCACAAACCAATACAACGTTCTTCTCCTTTAAAGGGGGATTTCATTGGCTGAGGAGTGTTTGGAAGCCATGCTGTTTCCACCTGCAAAAATATTGGGACAAAGCTTTGTCGGGCCATGATTAGCACAGCCAGCTACAGAAAAACTTGCTGACCGGAAGGTTGGCGGTTCATGTCAGAAATATCAAAAATTAACTAGGTATTTTTAATTACAAAAATGTGAGTCAAGCACTGAAAGGGTTAAATGGATTCAGTGAATCCATAAAACCTACAGTTCAGTATAAGCAGGTGTGCCTGTAGCTTAGTACGCCTCAGTGTTAGTTGCCCTCAGTATAAGAGAAGCCTCGGTGTGAGAAAGCCTCGGTATGAAAAGGCTCCACTGTTAGTTTGACTCAGTAAGAAAACACCTCAAAGTTTATAGGCCTCAGTGTTATAGAGGCCTCAGTGGGATAAAGGCCTCAGTGTGAGGTAAACCTCAGTGAGATAAGCCTTAGTGTGTTAATACACCTTATTGTTAGTAGGCCTCAGTATGAGAAGGCTCCAGTGTTAGTTTGATTCAGTAACAAAACACCTCAAAGTTCGTAGTCCTCAGTGTTATAGAGGCCTCAGTGGGATGAAGTCCTCAGTCTGAGAGAGGGGTCAGTGCGAGGTAAACCTCCGTGAGATAGGCCTCAGTGTGTTAGTAGTGTTAGTAGGTCTCAGTATGAGAAGGCTCCACTGTTACTTTGACTCAGTAAGAAAACACCTCGAAGTTCATAGTCCTCAGTGTTATAGAGGTCTCAGTGGGAGGAAGGCCTCAGTCTGAGAGAAGACTCAGCATGAGGTAAACCTCAGTGAGATAGGCCTCAGTGTGTTAATAGTGTTAGTAGGCCTCGGTATGAGAAGGCTCCAGTGTTACTTTGACTCAGTAAGAAAACACCTCGAAGTTCATAGTCCTCAGTGTTATAGAGGCCTCAGTGGGATGAAGGCCTCTGTCTGAGAGAGGTGTCAGTGTGAGGTAAACCTCAGTGAGATAGGCCTCAGTGTGTTAGTAGACCTTAGTGTTAGTAGGCCTTGGTATGAGAGGGCCTCAGTATGAGAAGGCTCCACTGTTAGTTTGACTCAGTAAAACACCTCAAAGTTCATAGAGGCCTCTGTGGGATGAAGGCTTCGGTCTGAGAGAGGCCTCAGCGTGAGGTAAACCTCAGTGAGTTAGGCCTCAGTGTGTTAGTAGACCTTAGTGTTAGTAGCCTTGGTATGAGAGGGCCTCAGTATGGGAAGGCTCCACTGTTAGTTTGACTCAGTAAAACACCTCAAAGTTCATAGAGGCCTCAGTGGGATGAAGGCTTCAGTCTGAGAGAGGCCTCAGCATGAGGTAAACCTCAGTGAGATAGGCCTCATGTGTTATTAGGCCTTAGTGTTAGTAGGCCTTGGTATGAGAAGGCCTCAGTATGAGAGAGGCCTCAGCGTGAGGTAAACCTCAGTGAGATAGGCCTTAGTGTGTTAGTAGATCATTGAATGTTTGCCATTGAATATATGTATTCTATAGTCCACTCCAAGTTCCCTCGGGGAGATAAATCGGAATATAAATAATGAAGTATAAATGAAGTATATTATTATTGCGAGATATAAACAACCCTTCCTCTTGATTCATTCACTAATAATATTCAGCAGTTTTTTTCCTGATGAAAACACAAACAATTAGAAAAGTTGAATAGCTAATGAAACTATCACATGGAAAAGGAGGAATTCCATTCCCCCAAAGAAACAGAATCGCTTTGTAAATAATGTAGAACTCTCTCCTCTCTTTGTCGTTTTAGCACCCCAGAACAGGAACAGTTGATGGTGATGTGGCTGAGCTGGATGATCAAAGAAGAAGCCTATTTTGAAAGGTAAAGGTGCATTTCCACCATCTCACATCTCTCTGTACCTCACCTGAAGAAATAGAGGCATATGTTCACTTAAAAATAAGTTTATCACGAAGAGGTTGTCACATTCCCTTTCCTCCCCTTTCTCCCTTTGTTTTCCCTGGAAAACTATGTCAGGACTGGTTTCTCCTCCATCCCAATTTAACCTATTTTTTAAATCTTCCTTTGTCAGCACTTCCGGGGTGTCGGCTTCCTTTGGGGAGATGCTCCTCTTGGTGGCCATGTATTTCCACAGCAACCAGCTCAGCGCCATCATTGACTTGGTTTGTTCGACTCTGGGAATGAAGGTAAGTAAACTTGTGCCCCTTGAGACCTCCCCCTTTTTATTTATGTACATTATGGTGATGTGTTTTGATAAAGTTGTACCCTGCCTCAAGCCAGGAAGAGAGGTGGGTATAATAATAATAATAATAATAATAATAATAATAATAATAATAATAATAATAATAATAATAATTTATTTATATTCTGCTCTATCTCCCCAAAGGGACCAAATAATGTTTAAGCTTATGTTGAAGCCTTCTCTTTAGTATCAGAGGTATAAGTAAACCAGATGTGAAAGTAATGCCTCACAAGCCGTTCCTCATCCTTTGTTTCAGATTGTCATTAAGCCTAGTTCTCTGAGTCGCATGAAAACCATCTTCACGCAAGAAATTTTCACGGAACAGGTAACTGGCAAGACGAGGGCTGCTCTTCTTCCTCTCTGATCTTCCTCTCCTGGTTGTATCTGCTCCGTAAGACTATAAATCTGAATATTGTGCTGTTTGGGAGGTGAACTGTTTCTGAATGTTGTCTGCAATCCGAAATGGGACAAGAGTGTGGTCCGGGCATAGGCCGTAATATAAGCGAATTGTAGTTAGGTGGTGAGTTAAGATGTTGAGTTTCTGACGTGAGGAATCTCTTTCTCACAGGTGGTCACGGCCCATGCGGTCCGGGTGGCCGTCACCAGCAACTTGAGCGCCAACATCACGGGATTCCTGCCCATCCACTGCATTTACCAGCTTCTCAGGAGCCGGTCGTTCACCAAACACAAAGTCTCCATCAAGGTGAGTCCTTCAGGTGGAAAGCTCTGCCAGAAAACAAGAAATACCTCTGGTGAGGATTGGAGAGACGTATCTGAAACCACTGACCGGTGGGGCTCAAGAGGTGCAAGGATTTGGTTTTAGATGGAGAGAGACCATATCGATATAGTCTTGTGTTATATGTATTTCAATAAGATAATATACTTTGTTTATATTCTCCTCTATCTCCCTTAGTGGATTACAGAAAGCAGTTTTCCCTCACTTATCGCGGGTGTTACGTTACAGGACCACCCGTGAAAAGTTAAAATCCGCAAAGTAGGCACGCTATTTTTATTTTATACATTATTTTAGTAGTAATACACTACTTTTAGTCTTTATGAACCCTCCCCACACACTTATATACTACATAATCCATTAATCGACCCATGATTGACTCCAAAAGCCTTTAGAATTTAGCACAGCTTGCCAGTCGAAAGGTTGGCAGTTCAAAGCCCGGGTCAGGGTGAGCACCCGACTTTCAGCCCAGCTTGCTGTCCACCTAAACAGTTCGAAAACGGCAGTGAGCTATGAATAGAGAAATTATGCACTGCTTAATTGGGGAGATATTTTGCGACACCATAAAGGAAATACTAGAAAAATGCTAGCAATCAAAGGAAGGAGAAAGTCTGTGATCAAGGCTCTACGTCAGTGTTTCTCAACCTGGGGGTCAGGACACCTGGCAGGGTCGTGAGGGGGTATCAGAGGGGTCACCAAAGACTGTCAGAAAACACAGTGTTTTCTGTTGGTCATGGGGGTTCTGTGTGGGAAGTTTGGCCCAATTCTATCGTTGGTGGGGTTCTGAATGCTCTTTGATTGTAGGTGAACTATAAATCCCAAGAACTACAACTCCTAAATGTCAAGGTCTGTTTTTCCCAAACTCCACCAGTGTTCACATTTGGGCATATTGAGTATTTGTACCAAGTTTGGTCCAGATCCATCATTGTCTGAGTCCACAGTGCTTTCTGGATGTAGGTGAACTACAACTCCAGAACTCAAGGTCAATATCCATCAAACCCTTCCAATATTTTCTGTTGGTCATGGGAGTTCTGTGTGCCAAGTCTGGCTCAGTTCCATCATTGGTGGAGTCCAGAGTGCTCTTTGATTGTAGGTGAACTGTAAATCCCAGCAACTACAACTCCCAAATGACAAAATCATAACACCAGTATTCAGATTTGTGCGTATCGGGTCCAGTGAATGAAAATATATCCTGCATATCAGATATTTACATGACGATTCATAACAGGAGCAAAAGGACAGTTGTGAAGTAGCAACAAAAATAATGTTATGGTTGGGGGTCACCACTAAGCTCTCTGAGAGCAGGGATTTAACTAATTTACAACGCCATAAAACCTTCCAGCAGCATGCAGAAGAATGTGGAAGTACTCCATCAAATAAATAAATATTGACATGACGATTCCTAACAGTAGCAAAATGACAGTTACGGAGTAGCAACAAAAATAATGTTATGGTTGGGGGTCACCACAACATGAGAAACTGTATTAAGGGGTCGTGGCATTAGGAAGGTTGAGAACCACTGCTCTTTGTCATAGAGTGACAGCACCCCCCTGTGGCTGGAATCGAGCACAACCTCCAGGACACCGAAGTTGGGGAAACATGCCGCCATAATACCTCTACCTGTTGTCTGTCCAGCTTGCCATTCCCAGGGCATGGAGATCCTGGTCTCAGCTGCTGACACAAAGAAGGGAGAGATGGGACTTCCTCGACCATGAATTGAAACTTTCTGTTTCTCTGTTTTGAAGGACTGGATTTATCGGCAGTTGTGCGAAACCACCACGCCACTCCATCCGCAGCTGCTGCCGCTCATTGACGTCTACATCAACTCCGTCCTCACGCCGGCCTCCAAATCCAACCCAGAGGCCACCAACCAGCCTATCACAGAGCAGGAAATCCTGAATGTTTTTGAAGGATTAATGGGGGTAAGTGTGCATATCCATCTAGGTCAGGCATGGGCAAACTTTGGTCCTCCAGTTGATTTGGACCTGCAGATCAGCAGACTAGCTGAATGCTAGGCATGGCCACTAACTTCACATCTAGCTATATCAGGCATGGGCAAACTTTGCCTTCCCGTGTTAAGAGATTAAGTTCATCTCATTTATTTCCCATTCTCAATACCAGGCATGAAGAAACGTCGACAGAGGTTTTGTGGGAATTGGAGTCCAAAACATCTAGAGGGACGAAGTTTGCCCATGTCTGATCTAGAGAGTTAAATATCAATGTAAATATGGATACCCTGTCTTTCTTGCACACCAAGTCTTCTCATGATCTCCTTTTTTCATTTGCAGGGAGGAGAGAATGCGCGCCTGAGCCAGCGTTACGGCATCACAGCCCAGCTTCTGGTCCTGTATTATGTCCTGTCTTACGAAGAAGCCATCCTGGCCAGTTCGAAGTCTCTGGGTAGGGCAGAGTCTAGACAGTATAGACAAAGAGCGAGAGGAATATTCCCTTCTCCAGATGTTTTGGCCTTTAGACCCCAGAATGAATATCTGGATCCCACCACTCATTGCTTTCCCTCTTTTGTGCATGTGTATATGTGTGCACATCTATCTGACAGAATGTAGTTGGTGATAACTCCAGATCGATTTGCGTATTATGATATCTGTGAGGATACTGGGTTGCTCTAAGTTTTTCGGGCTGTATGCTGTTGTCTACAGCAGGACAGGCAAACAGCAGCTGCCCCTAAATCCCTTACCAAGCATGCATGAACAGACAATCATATCTTTGTCGAAGGCTTTCATGGCCAGAATCATTGGGTTGCCGTGAGATTTCTGGGCTGTCTGGCCATGTTCCAGAAGCATTCTCGCCTGACATTTTGCCTGCATCTATGGCAGGCATCCTCAGAGCTTGTGAGGTCTGTTGGAAATGGGGTTTACATATCTGTGGAAGAATGTCCAGGGTGAGAGAAAGAACTCTTGTCTGTTGGAGGTCGGTGTGAATATTTCAACTGGCCATCTTGATTAGCATTTTCAAGGTGTAGCGTCCTACTGCCTGGGGGAATCCTTTGTTGGGAGGTGATTAGCTGCCCCTGATTTTTTCTTGTCTGGAGTTCCTCTGTCTTTATTTACTGTTATGATTTTAGAGTTTTTTTAATACTGGTAGCCGGATTTTGTCCAGTCATATTCAACTCTGGGGGTTGGTGCTCATCTCCATTTCTAAGCTGAAGAGCCGGCATTGTCCATAGACAACTCCAAGGTCATGTGGCCGGCATAATAATATATAATAATATTGTAATGTAGTAATAAGATGAAGGTTTCCCCTTGACATTAAGTCCAGTCGTGTCCGACTCTGGGGGTTGGTGCCCATCTCCATTTCTAAGCCGAAGAGCCAGCGTTGTCCGTAGACACCTCCAAGATCATGTGGCCAGCATAATAATATATAACAATATTGTAATATAGTAATAAGGTAAAGCTTTCCCCTTGACATTAAGTCCAGTTATGTCCAACTCTGGGAGTTGGTGCTCATCCCATTTCTAAGCCGAAGAGCCGGCGTTGTCCATAGACACCTCCAAGGTCATGTGGCTGGCATGATTGCATGGAGCACCCTTACCTTCCTGTCGGAGCAGTACCTATTGATCTACTCATATTTGCATGTTTTCCAACTGCTAAGTTGGCAGAAGCTGGGGATAACAGCAGGAGCTCACCCAGCTGCGACATTTCAGTCAGCAAGTTCAGCAGCTCAGCAGTTTAACCCACTGCACCACCATGGGCTGTAAACCAAATAATATTACTAATATTCGAATATAATGTTATAGTACAATGTAGTAATATATAATACTGATATTGTACTATATTAATAATATAATACATTCTATGTATGTGTGCGTGCGTGTGTGTGTGTGTGTCCCCTGCCACTCGTTGCTGTGGCCCACTCTGGTGATCATGGGGGTTCTGTGAGGGAGTTTTGACCCAATTCTATCGTTGGTGGGGTTCAAAATGCTCTGTGATTGTAGGTGAACTATAAATCCCAGCAACTACAACTCCCAAATGTCAAGGTCTATTTTCCCCAAGCTCCACCAGTGTTCGTATTTGGGCATATTGAGTATTTGTGTAGAGTTTGGTCCATATCCATCATTGTTTGAGTCCACAGTGCTCTCTGGATGGAGGTGAACTACAACTCCAAAACCAAAGGACACTGCTCACCAAATCCTTCCAGTATTTTCTGTTGGTCATGAGAGAACCGTGTACCAAGTTTGGTTCAATTCCATCGTTGGTGGTGTTCAGAATGTTCTTTGATTGTAGGTGAACTATAAATCCCAGCAACTACAACTCCCAAATGACAAAATTATTATTTTTTTTTGAGTGAAGGACATACATTGGGTTGTTAGGTGTCTTGCATCCAAATTTGGTGTCAATTCGTCCAGTGATTTTTGAGTTCTGTTAATCCCACAAACTAACATTACATTATATTATATGTAAGCTGCTCTGAGTCCCCTTCGGGGTGAGAAGGGCGGCATATGAATGTTGTAAATACATAATAATCAATCACCACCTCTTTCTTTTGCAGCTGCCATGCAGAGGAAACCCAAGTCTTACTCTCCGGCCTTGATGGATCAGATCCCGATCAAATACCTGATCCGACAGGCTCAGGGACTCCAGCAGGAATTGGGAGGTAAATAGTTGGGATTTAAGAAAAAATAGGTGCATAGTTATGGTGTATGAGTGCTAAGGGGAGAAAATGGCATTGCATTTTTGCTTGTATGATCGGTTTCTGTCATGATTGGTCGTATTTGGGCGGTGCGGAAGTGTCCGTCGGTCGCTCAGACCCACGTTCTTGCTTCTTGCAGGCTTGCACTCGGCGCTGCTGCGTCTCCTGGCCACCAACTACCCTCACCTCTGCATTGTGGACGACTGGATCTGCGAGGAGCACATCACGGGCACCGACGCCTTGCTGCGCAGGATGCTTCTGACCCACGCTGCCAAAAAACACTCTCCCAAGCAGCTTCAGGAAGGTAGGCCTCCTTTCCTTGAGCTCTTCTGTCTGCCCAGCTCGGCCTCGGAAAGGATGGGGACATAAAATCCAATGTGGGCGGACGTTCTCCGTTTCGTTCCCCCTTTGACAATGGGCGGGCTACATGTAATGACTAAAAGAGAGACTAATTAAAACTAATTAAAACTCGGGTGAAATAAAAAGAGACAGATTATTTGCGGAGGAGGGCTCATTATAGCGGGAGTTCTGGAATTAAGCTTTCCCACAAAGGAGGGGGGAGGGGACAACATATCCTCCAATGACAGAACATTAAGGCTAAGCACTAGTGTGGGATTGTTTACCTACTCTCCAAAGGCGCAGCAAAAGAGCCAGGTTTTAAGGTCCTTTTTAATGGTTTCTGGGGTAGGGGAATGAACAATAATCCCTGTCCTGACCAAACCATGTATCAAAATGCCCTCGTAAGCACTTTACTTTACCTGCTAGTGCAATTAAACCATATTTTCGTCCCCTGGATCCCCTTTATATTGCTCTCTCACCCAGTGTTTTTAAACTTTTAATTTTTGCAATCATCCCTGCCCACTGTGATCCACTTTCTGTGTTCAAAGATTGTGATTTTTTATTGTCTGATGTATTTTTATACTGTTTCTTGTATTTTATTTTATTTCTTTATATTTTATTGTTGTATACTTATGTGTATATTTGCATTGTTATATTGCTGGGCTTGGCCTTATGTAAGCCGCCCTGAGTCCCCGGGGTATAAAGTATTATTATTATTATTATTATTATTATTATTATTATTATTAATGTTGGGTGTAACGATTTCACCAATTTGTAAAGAATTTGTAAAGAAGCCATCACTTTGTAAGCGTTTATTAATTTGATAGCGTAGCTAATAGCTAGTGATGTTGACTTGATCTTTCTTTAATATGACATAACTTGGAAAGGAATTGTAACAGAGACAGGGCTTTAGGAAAATGAATAACAAGTTTATTGAAATGTATAAGGAGCTTGATGGTTTCAATGTTTCTTAACTCTTAGAGGCACATATCTTCATAGGTTAGATTTATAACGTTTCTTAAACAACTCTGGAAAGGACTCTTCCTTCCACTAAACAGGTTATTTTTATTTTTATTCAAACTGTGTTTCTTTCCTTAATAGGTTACTTCAGTTACAAGCTTATTCTTTCTTTGTGATGTTTCTGTTGCAATAGAGATTCTCACTGGGTTTCTCTCACCCTTTCTCTCAGACACTATTAATATAAATAAGTCAACTCGACTTATTTAAACTACTCAGGCTAAAAACCAAAACCTTCCTGATTCTTACTACTATGGAATCAGCCACTCCTACAGTTCACAGACTGTAGACTAACTTACTGGTTCTCGACACACACTAGAACCAGGCTCTCCTGTAGTTCGCTGACTACAGACTAACTTTTAAAATGGCTGCCCTGCCAAGTGGCAGTTGGCTCCGCCCCTGTTTCCATGGTAACCCAGCTCAACATGAGCTGAGCTGGCTACCATCCCCCTTAGTTATGCAACTTTAAATACTTACCCTTTAAAACATCTATCTATAATTATACATAACTGCAAGCTAAAAATTTACACTTTACCACATTGGGTCTGTGTGCCAGCAAAGCCAATAGCAAGAGGATTCTGAAAGCTGCAGTCCAAAGATTCTCCTTTTCCTGATTCAATCTCAATTGTCTCCCCCCCCCCACTCCAAATGCTTAGCGTTTTCAGCCCTGCAGGGAAATCACACCCAGGTCCTGCAGATCCTGGAGCATTTGACCCTCCTCTCTACTGGAGAGCTGATCCCTTACGCCGAAGCCTTGACCGCGAACATGAACCAGCTGCTCTTCCCCTGCGTCCCTCGGAGAATCCTTCAGACCGTCAACAGGCTGTGGATGGCGTTGAACACAGTCATGCCACGAAGGTAGTTACCAATAACACCCCTTGTTTTCTGAAACAACAGGGTAATTCCACACAGGTCAACATCTCGAAATACGTATATATATATATAATATATTGTATATGCATATAATATTTATAATATTATAATGTAATGCAATATAATGCTACTACTAATAATATGATATTATAATTATATATTTATATTAAATGTAATATTACTAATAATATTACAATATAATGGGTGGTTAAAGATAGACTTTTATTTTACTCTATTGCATTTATTATTTTACTCTATTAATTATTATTACATTTATTATTTTACTATATTTTACTATATAAAATATAATATATTGGATATACATATAATATTTATATTATTATAATGTAATACAATATGATACTACTACTAATAATATGATATTATAATTATATATTTATATTACATGTAATCTATAAAAATAAAAATGTAATGTTCGTTTGTGGGATTAACATAACTCAAAAACCACTCAACGAATTGATATGAAATGTGGACACTACACCCCTAACAGACGAATGAGTGACCATCACTCATAAAATCACCCCCCAAAAGTGTGGAAAGGACTTTAACCCCCCCCCCCTCCAAAGCTAAATGTTGAAAAACTAAATGACAATACAGAAAAAAAGAGAAGGAAAAGGGAGGGAAGGAAGGGGAGAAGGAAAATAAGAAAGAAAGAGAGAAAGACGTAGGGAGAGAGAGAAGGAAGGAAAGAGAGAAGGAAGGAAGGAAAGAGGTAGAGAAAGAATTAAGGAGAAGGAAAAGAAAAAGGGGGAAAGAAGGGAAAGAAGTAGAGAAGGAAGGAAGGAGAGGAAGAAAGAAAATAAGGGAAGGAAAGAAAGAGGGAGCGAAGGAAGGAGGGAAAGAAGGAGAGAAAGAGGCAAAGAAGGAAAGAGAGAAAGAAGGAAGGGAAGACCAAAGGAAGGAAAGAGGTAGAGAAGGAAGAAAGGAGAGGGAAGAAAGAGGTAGGGAAAGAAAGAAAGAAAGAGAGAAGGAAGGAAGGAAGGACGGAAAGAGGTAGAGAAAGAAGAAAGGAGAAGGAAAAGAAAAAGGGAAAGGAAAGAGGTAGAGAAGGAAGGAAGGAGAGAAGGAAAGAAAATAAGGGAAGGATAGAAAGAGGAGTGAAAGAAGGATAGAAAGAGGCAAAGAAGGAAAGAGAGAAAGAAGGAAGAGAAGACAAAAGGAAGGAAAGAGGTAGAGAAGGAAGAAAGGAGAGGGAAAAGGGAAAAAAGGGGAGGGGAAAGAAGAAAAAGAAGAGGAGGAAGGGGAAGAATAGAAAGAAGAGAGAAGGAGGAAAGGAAGGACGGAAAGAGGAAGAAAGAAGAAATGATAAGTAAAAGAAATGTTGTTTTTACAAGTATGTAAGGATAGAAAGGCATATAATTAAAGTAGAGAAAGAAGGAAGAGAAAAAGGGAAGGAAAGATAGGAAGGAAGGAAGAGAGAAAAAAAGAAAAAGAGAGGGGAAGGAAGGAAAGAGTGAGGGAAGGAAGGAGAGAAAGAAAGAAGAGAAAGAGGGGGGAACGTTGGCCACAGCAATGCGTGGCGGGTACAGCTAGTTTTACTAATAATATTACAATATAATGTTATAATACAATATAGTAATATATTATACTGATATTGTACTACGCTAACAATATAATATATTATATGTATATATATCTTGTAAGCCGCTCTGAGTTCCCTTCGGAGTGAGAAGGGCGGCATATAAATGCCACAAATAAATAAATAAATAAATGTAACACAGATTGGAGCGAGACATTTGGGTGGTTAAAGATAGACTTTTATTTTACTCTATTTTTGCATTTATTATTTTACTCTATTAATTATTATTACATTTATTATTTTACTATATTTTTTACTATATCCAATATAATATATTGAATATACATATAATATTTATAATATTATAGTGTAATGCAATATAATAATACTACTACTAATAATATGATATTATAATTATATATTTATATTACATGTAATATTACTAATAATATTACAATATAATGGTATAATACAATATAGTAATAGTTAATACTTATATTGTATTATGCTAATAATATAATATATTTTGTGTGTGTATGTGTGTGTATCTTGTAAGCCAATCTGAGTCCCCTTCGGGGTGAGAAGGGCGGCATATAAATGTCCGAAATAAATAAATATTTTTTTTTTTTGCATAGGTTGTGGGTCATGACCGTCAATGCCTTGCAGCCAACTAACAAGATGATCCGTCAGCAAAAGTACACGCAGAAGGACTTGATGATCGACCCTCTCATTGTGTTACGGTGTGATCAGCGTGTCCACAGGTAAGCAGCCTTCTCCCAACTGTGGTGATGACCGCTTGTTCTGTCTGATGTTTGATTTTATTGCATTTCAGTTCTGTTTTGCTTCTTCGTCAGGGCAGTTAATAGAATGTGCAAATTGCCTAGCTGCAAGTAATGAATGAGTTAAAACCTTTGGGATGTTATGAAGCATGTGTAGAACAGACAGGGGAATTCCAGACAAGAATCAACCAGGACTAGTTAACACCTCCCAACAAAGGACTCCCTCAAGTAGCAATCAAGCCAGGCTTTGAAGCTGCAAGGCCATTCAATGCTAATCAAACTGACCAATTGCAACATTCACACACATATATATTGTTGAAGGCTTTCATGGCCAGAATCACTGTATTGCTGTAAGTTTTTTGGGCTTTATGGCCATATTCCAGAAGCATTCTCTCCTGACGTTTCGCCTGCATCTACGGCAGGCATCCTCAGAGGTTGTGAGGTCTGTTGGAAACTAGAAAAATGAGGTTTATATATCTGTGGAAGAAAGAACTCTCGTCTGTTTGAGGCAAGTGTGAATGTTCCACCTTGTCATCAGTATGTTTTTGGACTTAGCAGTTCGCTTTAGACCTCTGTGAAGGTGGATCTCCATGAACATCTGGAGACCACCTTTCGAAAAGCACTGGTCAAGGAAAGGCATGACCTTGTTAGAAGTCAACCCCTTGGAAAAAGTGCGGTTCACAAGCCATCATGTAATGGCACACAGGTAACTCAGCTGTTAAACTGATAAACCATGTCTTTGAACTGCCAGGGACAAAGACATGCCACTTCACCAAACATATATTTGGCTAGCAAAGTTTTGAAATTGAGTTGTCGTAAGGTTTTCGGGCTGTAGGGCCACGTTCCAGAAGCATTCTCTCCTAATATTTCTCCTGCCTCTACGGCAGGCATCCTCAGAGGTTGTGAGGTCTGTTGGAAACTAGAAAAATTGGGTTTATATATCTGAGGAATAATGTCCAGGGTGAGAGAAAGAACTCTTGTCTGTTGGAGGTAGGTGCGATTGTTTCAATTTGCCACCTTGATTAGCATTTAATGGCCTAGTAGTTTTCAAGGTCTGGCTTCTTACTGCCTGGGGGAATCCTTTGTTGGGAGGTGATTAGCTGTCCCTGATTTTTTTCTTGTCTGGAGTTCCCCTGTTTTTGAGTGTTGCTCTTTATTTACTGTCTGGTTTTAGAGATTTTAAATACTGGTAGCCAGATTTTGTTCGTTTTCATGGTTTCTTCCTTTCTGTTGAAATTGTCCACACGCTTGTGGATTTCAATGGAAGATGTCGCAATAGACAAGGAGGCTGGACACTGAATTAATGAGCTGATAAATAGTTTGGTATAAATATAGCAAACACCATCGTTCTGTCTCTTTGCATCGTGAACAAGAAGTATCTAAGTTTCAATCTGTTGTAAACAAGGCAGTGATGTAAATAAAAGGTTAGAGCCGCTCATTGAAGCAGAAATCATAGCTGAAGTCAGTTAATTGGATGATAAGAAGCAAGTTGACCAGCTAATTGCCTTGGTACTTTCTCCTGCCCGTTGCCCCGTGTCCCCAGGTGCCCCCCTCTGATGGATATCACCCTCCACATGCTGAACGGCTACCTACTGGCCTCCAAAGCCTTCTTGAGTGCCCACCTCAAGGAAACGGCCGATCAGGACATCCGGCCGTCTCAAAACAATGTCATGGGCTTGGAAGCTCCCGAAGTCACCAGGGAAGAACTGAAAAACGCACTGCTGGCAGCCCAGGTAATTCGACAGGAGCATCTCTCCCAAAAAAACCCAAAAAGAAGAGCTTAATGATTGGGCAGGTCTCTCAAAAATTTAGGAGCCTTTTAATATTGTTTAGAGGATTTTCTATGAGACAGACCACATCATCGGCATATGCTCTTAATTTATATTGTTGTTTGAATATCTTCAGACCTTCAAGTTTTTCGTCATAGTTTATGTCTCTCACCAGGGTTTTCATTATGAAAATAAACAAAAGAGGCGATAAAGGGCATCTGTTGCAACTCAGAGTAAGCTTTGCCTTGCTCCCAAACACCACCACACAAGAGCTGTAGAATTTGTAGTTTATTGAGGAAAAATCCAAGTCATAATATAGAATAAGCAATGCAAAGTTCCAAAGACATAGGTTAAATGCAGAATATAGTACCAAAGATATTCAGGTAAAGACAAAAGACATAATCCTTTAAGCAAAGGTCAAAACAGAGTCCATGGTAAAAACAGTGAAACACAAGCCCCAAGAATCTCCATGCAGGAAGGCCAAAGCGTGCTGCTTTAAAGCCAAGGTTATTCCATGAAGCTTTCAGGCTAACAAGCCACGTTGAACTGACACTTTCCCTTCGTTAACTAGAAGCATAAATACCTTTTGCTAACATAAAAACATTATGCTCTCACCAACATGAAAGCATTGCGATGACCTTTCCCCGAGCTGGCTTCTCTTCTGCTTGCTAGGCATGAACTCCTCCTGACCTGCAAATCAAGGTGTGCTTGCCGGGGCAGGTCACTATCAAGGCTTTCCGCACTATCACTATCACCGTGGGAAGGCAAAGGCCTCTCTACCTGTTCGTTATCTAGTTCATTGGCATTCCTTTCTTCTGAGAACTGCTTTGTTGACTCTCCAGCTGCACTATCTGCACTGTCTGTTGGAGCCTCAGAAAAAGACATAGGAACAAGCCCAGGAATCTGTGGCACAGAAAAAGAGCCAGGAATCTGAATCCCATCATCCTCATCATCAGAGAACATCTCAGGCCCAGAATCTCACTGAACCACAACATCATTCTTGTTGGGTTCCTCTGCTAATTTTGATGGGTTTTGTAATTTCTTGATCATCGATTATTAGTGTAGCTTCTTGTTTTGTGTAAATAGCATCTACCGCATTTCTGAATTTATGCCCTATATCCAATTCTTTTAATAATAATTTTAGGTCGTCCCAATTGATTTTGTCAAAGGCTTTTTCGGCATCGAAAAATAGTAGGGCTGTTTTTCGTTATGTTTTTCATAATATTCTATTATGTCTATTAGAATTCTTGTATATAATTATAATATCTGTTTTGTAAGGCGAGTGGGCTTATTAACAAAAGACGCTCCTCATAAATGTACAGAAGAGTAACTTATTAACTGCAGTGTGACCCAGCACCAGTAGACCAAAACGATAAAAAAGATCAAAAACACACAGACCAAAATAATATGGTTGCACAATTTACAAGAACTACGTTTCCATAATACAAGTAAAGCTCTTTATGTGGATTGTCGAAGGCTTACACGGCCAGTATCACTTGGTTGTTGTGTGTTTTTGGGGCTGTCTGGCCATGTTCCAGAAGCATTCTCTCCTGATGTTTTGCCTGCATCTGTGGCAGACATAAAGTTCTTTATACTTCCTTCTTTGCTTCCATGCTGGGCTTCTTTCTCATGTAAATAAACATCTGTTCCCCCAGCTTCCTAATCCACCTCTCAAATGGGCTTGTTTTCCTCTCTGCCTTGCTCTGCTGCCCAGGACAGTGCTGCGGTCCAGATCCTCTTGGAGATCTGCTTGCCCATGGAGGAGGAGAAGCCCCTCGATGGTGGCTCTGGCCGACTGCTGAAGAGCAACTCAGGGACTGTGGGCTCCAAAAGGCACCCCAAGGAAGAGGAGCAGGAGGAGGACGAGGGGCCCCGGGAAGGAGAGAGCCTTCTGTCCAACCAGCGCGAGGTGCAGTGCCTCATTTGCTGCCTCTTGCACCAGATGTTCATTGCGGACCCCAACATCGCCAAGTTGGTCCACTTCCAGGTACGCTCACGGTGCTTCTCCTCCAACAAACATCAGGGCTTGTTGCAATTTGGTTAGGAATGGTGGGAGTTGAAGTCCAAAACACCTGGAGGGCCCAAGTTCGCCCATGCCTGCTATAGAGTCTCACTGGAGGACATAGAGATTCCCAGAGAACCAAATTAATCAATCTGCGATCCTTCCCTCTCCTTGAATTGATCTGGAACAGATGCCATGTGATATCGCCCAAATTTCTTCTGGTTGCCTCACCTTGCTTTGGGTTTTTATATTAATATAATATAATATATTATATTATAATATTATAATTATTATTTTTTGTCGTGTCAGGAGACCTGAGAAACTGCAAGTCGCTTCTGGTGTGAGAGAATTGGCCGTCTGCAAGGACGTTGCCCAGGGGACGCCCGGATGATTTTTGATGTTTTATCATCCTTGTGGGAGGCTTCTCTCATGGCCCCGCATGAGGAGCTGGAGCTGATAGAGGGAGCTCATCCGCCTCTCCCCGGATTCGAACCTGCGACCTGTCGGTCTTCAGTCCTGCTGGCACAGGGGTTTAACCCACTGCGCCACGGGCTCCTGTGTGTATATAGTATAATATATAATATATAATAAATAATATAATAAAAATATATTGTAGATGGGGCCTCGGTGTATGTAATGAGGTTTTTAAAAATACTTGAAATGTTTTATTTTAAAATTAGCCGTCCCCTGCCACGCGTTGCTGTGGCCCACATGGGTGTTTTGTGTGGGAGGTTTGGCCCTATTCTTGCTGGGGTTCAGAATGCTCTGTGATTGTAGGTGAACTATAAATCCCAGCAACTACAACTCCCAAATGTCAAGATTCTATGTTCCCCCAACTCCACCATTGTTCACATTTGGGCATATTGAGTATTCGTGTAGTTTGGTCCAGATCCATCATTGTTTGAGTCCACAGTGATCTCTGGATGTAGGTGAACTACAACTCCAAAACTCAAGGTCAGTGCTCACCAAACCCTTCCAGTATTTTCTGTTGGTCATGGGAGAACTGTGTGCCAAGTTTGGTTCGATTCCATCATTGGCGGAGTTCAGAATGCTCTTTGATTATAGGTAAACGATAAATCCCAGCTACGACAATTCCCAAATGACAAAATCAATTTTTTTGAGTGGAGGACATAAATTGAACTGTTAGGTGTCCAAATTTGGTGTCAATTCCCCCAGTGGTTTTTGAGTTCTGATTGTAGCACGAACGAACATTACATTTTTATTTATATAGATATATTACGATATAATGGTATAGTACACTATAGCAATATTTAATACTAATATTGTGCTATGCTAATAATATAATATATTGCATGTATATATATCTTGTAAGCCGCTCTGAGTCCCCTTCGGGGTGAGAAGGGTGGTTGTGTAAACAAGCATTCGGTTGTGTAAACAAGGTTGTGTAAACATGGTTGTGTAAACAAGCATTCGGTTAGTTTGTTATCACCGAATTTTATGGACTAAGGACTGGTTAATTATGGATGACGAATTCTGGACTGTGATTTTAGTGACGAGATACATGGTATTATTATTGGTGGCCCAATAATTTGTATTGTCTATGTGTTGTTGTTTTAAATTGTATATTGTTTTTAATTGTTGTAAACCGCAATGAGTCGCCGACTTAGGCTGAGATATTAGCGGTATACAAGTGTATTAAATAAATAAATAAATATAAATGCCGTAAATAAATATTTTTTTGTCCCAACAGGGTTACCCGTGTGAGCTGCTTCCCCTGACAGTGGCGGGCATCCCCTCGATGCACATTTGCCTGGACTTCATCCCGGAGCTGATTGCTCAACCTGAACTAGAAAAACAGGTATTAAAAGCCCCTTCGGTTGCAAGTTTCAAACCAAATAATAATGATGATTTGGAAACAATAATAAATAATTAGTATTACTATTTAGAAACAATAAACATTGAGAAAATCACGATCTGTCGACTGCAAAAGGCCACCTGATTTGGATCTGTGCACATCATTCGAAAATGCATCACACAGTCCTAGACGCTTGGGAAGTGTTCGACTTGTGATTTTTTGATACAAAATCCAGCATTTTGCTGTGACATACTGTGCTTTTGTGTCAGTAAAATAATAATAATAACAACAATAATAATAGTCTAGCATATATACCTTGTTTGCTGTGACATATGTGCTTTTGTATAACGATGATGATAATAATAATATTTTTATTGTTATATTATTATTATTATATGTATTGTCGAAGGCTTTCATGGCCGGAATCACTGGGTTGTTGTAGATTTTTCCGGGCTATATGGCCATAATTCTAGAGGCATTTTCTCCTGACGTTTCGCCTGCATCTATGGCAAGCATCCTCGGAGGTAGTGAGGTCTGTTGGAAGTAGGAAAAAACTCCGAAATTACAACAGCAAAACAACAGAGAGTAAACAATCAGGCACATCAAATCACTCTCAACAAAAGATTCCCCCCAGGCACTTCCAAGCCATTAAATGCTAATCAAGGTGGTCAGTTGAAACATTCACACCTAGCTCCAGCAGACAAGAGTCCTTTGTCCCACCCTGGTCATTCCACAGATATATAAACCCTTTTTCCTACTTCCAACAGACCTCACTACCTCTGAGGATGCTTGCAGGCGAAACGTCAGGAGAAAATGCCTCTAGAACATGGCCATATAGCCCGAAAAAACCTACAACAACCCATTATTATTATATTATAATATAATAATACTATAATATAATAATGTCTCCCATTCTGTTTCCTCTCACCTTCCAGATTTTTGCCATCCAGCTGCTCTCCTACCTGTGCATTCAGTACGCTCTGCCGAAATCCCTCAGCGTGGCACGTTTAGCCATCAATGTGATGGGGACGCTGCTAACAGGTAAGATTGGCAGTTCAAACCACGGGTTGGGGTGAGCTCCCACCGTCAGTCCTAGCTTCTGCCCAGCTAGCAGTTTGAAAACAGTAATGTGAGTAGATCAATAGGTGGGGAAGTAAAAGGCGCCCATATGGACATGCCGGCAATTGAATCAGGAAGGCCATGGACAGCAGGCTTCTCGGCGTGGGAAAATGGAACAACAGCACCACCCCATGGCCGAGTTGACACAGCCTCCAGATGCTGGAAATGGTCCTTACGAGATGTTAACATTTGAGGGGGAGCTCGAGTTTTGTCTGAATCAGTGGGAAGGGATGTGTGGCCAGCCAGTTATGGCCAAACTCCAATTCCCATCAGGCTTGGGGCAGTTCCATAAGTCATTCCTGGTGTGATGTGATCTCTGGACCTTTTATTTTTTTGGTTGATCTTCTCTGGATGCGTTCCACTTTCTTGAGTTGCAGAGAACTGGACACACTATTATTCCAGGCAGGATCTGACCACGATTGGCACTATTACATGCTTTGGTCTGGACCAGGCATGGGCCAACTTGGGTCCTCCAAATGTTTTGGACTTCAGCTCTCACTCCTCAGGACGTCTGGTTCTAATTCACTCCCTGCACACCATCAAAGCTATCCTACGGGCTGTTAGGAATTGTGGGAGTCGAAGTTGGCCCATGTCTGGTTTACACACTATGCCTTTGTTGTTACAGGTTGTTATTTAAAATGATTTCCTTTTTCTTGTCAGTCCTAACCGCAGCCAAACGTTACGCCTTCTTCGTGCCCACCTTGCCTTGCTTGGTGCCCTTCTGCCAAGCTTTCCCTCCCCTCTACGAGGACATCATGTCCCTGCTCATTCAGATTGGGCACGTCTGTGCCTCCGATGTGGCCACGGAGACCAGAGACTTCGACCCGATCATAACACGTAAGTGTCGGATGCGTGCGGGAATGTGCTACGGATGGCCACAGAGGGAGCGGGAACCTCAATTTATCCCAGTATGTGTTGAGTGGAAAACGGGGCGAAGGAAAGAGTCAGACAGCAACTTTTCAAGTTTTTGAACTATCCCATGGTTATCACAGTGGGTTAAACCGCCAGCTGCATACAATCTTGCCGACCAGAAGGTTGGCAGTTCAAACCACGGGTCGGGGTGAGCTCCCGCTGTCAGCCCTAGCTTCTGCCCACCTAGCTTTGGCGGGGAAGTAAAAGGCGTCCATACGGACATGTCGGCAATTGGATCAGGAAGGCGTCCATGGACAGCAGGCTCCTCGGCGTGGGAAAATGGAACAACAGCACCTCCCAATGATCGAGTTGAGCACAGCCTCCAGATGCCGGAAATGAAAAAGGAGGCAGCCTTTGCCTCTGTATATATATATAATTGTATAACGGCATTGAATGTTTGCCATAAATGTATTCTGTAATCTGCTCTGAGTCCCCTTGGGGAGATAGAGTAGAATATAAACAAAGATTATTATTATTATTATTATTATTATTATTATTATTATTATTATTTGAAACACAACAAGATTAGTACACAGCAAACAAGATCACTATGCTGATTGCTGTATTGGATCGCATTATTGCTGTGTTCTTGTTGTTGTTTTGGATCTTATTATTATTATTATGGAGCCCCCGGTGGCACAGTGGGTAAAACCCCTGTGCCAGCAGGACTGAAGACCGACAGGTCACAGGTTCAAATCTGGGGAGAGGCAGATGAGCTCCCTCTATCAGCTCCAGCTCCTCATGTGGGCACATGAGAGAAGCCTCCCACAACGATGATAAAACTTCATATCATCCGGGCATTCCCTGGGCAACGTCCTTGCAGACGGCCAATTCTCTCACACCAGAAGCAACTTGCTCCTGACACGACAAAAATATATATAATAATAATAATAATAATAATAATAATAATAATAATAATTATTATTATTATTATTATTAGATACACAATTAGATGAGTACACAGCAAACCAGATCACTATGCTAGCATTTGTATTGGATCACACGCTCTAAGTCCTCTCAGTGAGGTTGAGTGGAATATAAACAAAGATTATTATTATTATTATTATTATTATTATTATTATATGAAACACAACAAGATTAGTACACAGCAAACAAGATCACTATGCTGATTGTTGTATTGGATCACATTATTTTTGTGATCTGGTTGTTTTATTGGATATTATTATTATTAGAAACACAAGAAGATTAGTACACAGCAAAAAAGATCACTATGCTAGCATTTGTATTGGATTGCTCTGAGTCCCCTCGGTGAGATAAAGTGGAATATAAACAAAGTACATTATATTATTATTATTATTATTATTATTATTATTATTATTATTATTTTACTGACACAAAAACACAGTATGTCATAGCAAATGAGATATATATGCTGGATATAAATTAGATATATATGTTGGATTATTATTATTATTATTATTATTATTATTATTATTATTTGAAACACAACAAGATGAGGCCACAGCAAACAAGAGCACTATGTTGGCTTCCCAAATGTCTAGGACTGTGTGATGTATCGGTGAATAATGCATGCAGATCCAAGTAGGGTGGCCTTTTGTAGCTGCAGATGGTAATTTTGTCAGCGCTGATTGTGTTTAAGTGCAGGTCAAGGTCTTGAGGCACTGCACCCAGGGTGCCGATCACCACTGGGACCACCTTAACTGGCAATTATTATTATTATTATTATTATTATTATTATTATTATTATTATTATTATTATCCTAACGTCATGTTGTTTGCTGTCTCTGCTTTGCAAAACATACAAAACAATTCCTCGTGGTGAGCCCTAAGTGTTGTTTCGTTCCTTTCTGAATTGCCTCCAGGTCTCCAACAGCTGAAGGAGAAGCCAAGCGAACGGAGCCGGCTCCTGAAAGAACCCGTTTGTAAATCCGCAGCAGGACAGACGAATAGCACGGACCCCAATGTCCAGCTGTGCCATTGCATTGAAAATACGTTCGTTGAAATCATCAACATGAGCGTCAGTGGCGTTTAATCCCCTTTCCAAAATGGCAGGGCTCTTGCTCTACATTGCCACGTATCTTAGGGGATTGTTTGGCTCGGAGCAGGCAATCCGGTTTCCCACCAGGAAATAGGGAGAGACGTGAGCAGCCGCGTTCCGCGAAAGCCTCTCCGATGGTCTGGACGCAGCGCCTTGGAGGAGTCCAAAAAAAGGATTGATCCTGGATCCTTGGAGCTGAAGATGGGACTGACATCCGGGTGGAAGGCCTCCTTCCTGGCGTTGGAAATGGACTTATTTCCCGTGCAAAGTGCTTTTGGAGGACGATATCCAGAGCCAAACAAACATGCAGGAAAGGCTTTGACTCGGAGCGAGAAACCCATTGCGGATCATCGCTTTCCTGTTTACTCCTCTTTTTTAATAATGATCCCAGGAAGGATATTATAGGAAAATCTCGATGCAACAGCTCTTTATTTTTTTCGGGCCTGAAGTTGCGTATGAGAGTGACAAAGAAGTTCCTTTTTTTCCAATCGGAGGAAACACATCCATATAAAGCGGACCTTTTGTATAACCTTCTAATTTAGTTCCTTACTCCTGTTTACATACTGAATTTGAGTACTGAACTGGGTCAACTTCCTTCAAAATTAATCAGATTTTCAATATATTGTCGAAGGCTTTCATGGTCAAAATCACTGGGTTGTTGTAGGTTTTTTGGTGCTGTCTGGCCATGTTCCAGAAGCATTCTTTCCTGACATTTCACCTACATCTATGGCAGGCATCCTCAGAGGTAGTGAGGTCTGTTGGAAACTAAACAAATGGAGTTTATATATCTGTGGAATGGTGTACAGGGTGGGAGAAGGAACTCTTGTCTGTTGGAAGCAGATGTGAATGTTGCCATTGACCACTTTGATTAGCATTGAATGGCCTTGCAGCTTTGAAGCCTGACTACTCCCTGCCTGGGGGAATCCTTTGTTGCAAGGTGTTAACTGGCCCTGTTTTTTTCCTGTCTGGATTTCCCGTTTCTCCATCGTGGTCAACTGTGAATCACACATATGGTTTAGTCCTGCGCTTGCACAGGCAGCTTTGGAAAGTTAAATCAGTGAGTGCATCTGCATAGAGTTAGCCAGCCTTTGTTGCCTGGAGGAACCCTCTGCGGAATAATGTCCAGAGTGGGAGAAAGAACTCTTCTCTGTTGGGGGCAAGTATGAATGTTGCCATTGACCACCTCGATTAGCATTGAATGGTCTTGCAGCTTCAAAGCCTGGCTGCTCCCTGCCTGGGGGAATCCTTTGCTGCGACGTGTTATCTGGCCCTGATTGTTTCCTGTCTGGAATTCCCATTTTCTGAGTGTTCCTTTGAGAGTAAAGACAAAGATCCATTTGGAGGAAGAGGAAGGGGCCTGAGGCTCTTAGGAAATGTGGGAGTTGTATTCCAAAGCACCTGGAGGGCCAAAATTTGCCCATAACTGGGCTCAAAATATAACACACACACACACACAAACACACATATATATTTACGACATTTATATGCCGCCCTTCTGTATATATAGAGAGTAATCTATAATATCAGTATTATATATTACTATATAATATATGTTACATTATTAGCATAGTACAATATCAGATATATAATATATATATATTATATATATAATAGCGTAGTACAATATCAGTATTATATATTATATAGTAATATATACATTATTAGTGTAGTACAATATCAATATTATAGATTACTATATAATATATAGATATCATATTATTAGCATAGTACAGTATCAATATTATAGATTACTATAATATATATATATTAGCATAGTACAATATCAGTATTAAATATTACTTGTATTATATATATATATATATATATATATATTAGCATAGTAGAATATAGAATATCAATATTATATATTACTATATAATATATATTACTAGCATAGTAGAATATCAATATTATATATTACTATATAATATTTATATTACATTATTAGCGTAGTACAATTTCAGTATTATAGATTACTATATAATATATATATTATATTATTAGTGTAGTACAATATCAGTATTATAGATTACTATATAATATATAGATATATTATTAGCATAGTAGGGTATCAGTATTATACATTACTATATATATATATAATTAGCATAGTACAATATATATATTAGCATAGTAGAATATTAATATTATATATTACTATATAATATATATTACTAGCATAGTACAATATCAGTATTATAAATTACTATTATATATATATATATTATTAGCATAGTACAATAACATATATTACTATATAATATATATTATTAGCACAATACAGTATCAGTATTATATATTACTATATAATATATTATTAGCATAGCACAATATTAGTATTACATATTACTATATAATAGAATTATATTAGCATAGTACAATATCAATATTAAATATTACTATATAATATATATATTTTATTTTTAGAACAATATCAGTATTAAATATTACTGTATAATATATATATATCAGCATAGTACAATATCAATATTATATATTACTATATATTATAAGCATAGTACAATATCAGTATTAAATATTACTGTATAATATAATATAATATAATATAATATAATATATATTATTAGCATAGTCATCTGGAGAGGCCCTGCTTGAGATCCCACCTGCGTCGCAAGCGCGCTTGGTGGGGACGAGGGACAGGGCCTTCTCTGTGGTGGCCCCCCGACTCTGGAACACCCTCCCCAAGGACATCAGACAAGCCCCAACACTGGCATATATACATGTAATATATTGTGATTCAAAGTAGTATATGCCTTCATAAGTACTGCCTAATGGCTAATCCATACAATGCATTTATTTTATTATTATGTATTTATTGGATATTTGTAAAGGGAGGCCTTCCTCTCAAAATGAGGCCTAAATTTAGCTAGGCCGCATGGAAAGCAGTCGGTTGCCGTGGCAACCGAGAGGAAACCCGGAAGCAACGCTAAGAAGCAACGGATTGGAGAAAGCATAGGCGGGGCTATGATATCTTGGCGGTGGATTGGCCATGGGAGGGATTGCTTTCGTTCTTGATTGGTTGCTGTGTCGTAGGCGGGACTATTATGTCTTGGAGGTGGATTGGCCCTCGAGGGAGGTCGTTTTAGTTCTTGATTGGCTGCTGACGCCGTCAGGTGACGAAAGAGGCAGCTGAAAAAAACAGGCGGGAAGAATGGCCCGAACCTGAGGGAGATTTTGCATCCTGAGGTAAATGCCTTGCGCGCGCAGAAAGAGAAGAGGCTTGGACGAGCCCATTTCTCCCCAAGAGGGGGGCGGGGGACGACCCACTCTCTTCCATTACTATGAGGCGAGGGAGGGAAAGGGAATGGGAACGCGCTTCTATAATTCCTCAATAGTTAAAAGAACAGACTTCTTTATATAGAGTTATATATGGAGAGATAGGAGGAGAGTAAAAATGGCGTTTCCTGGCCTAGCTGGGCCTTCTAGTCCAACACCAGCCATGCAGGGAAGGGCACAAACAAAGCTCTCCTGAGAGATGGCCAGTGTTTGGAGGCTGTGTTTGGAAGTCTTCAAAGAAGGCGCTTTCCAGCAAACCGAAGCAGAGAGTTCCACTGTTGAACAGCTCTTCTTCCAGTCAGGAAGTTCTTCCCAATGCTCAACGGAATCTTCTTTCTTGTCTTTTGAAGCCATCGCTATGAGTCCCAGTCTGAAAACAAGCCTGCTCCAAAGAAGACGCTTTCCTGCAGACTGAGGCAGAGAGTTCCACTGTTGAACAGCTCTTCTAGTCGTTTGAAGCCATTGCTCCGAGTCCCAGTCTGAAAACAAGCCTGCTCCAAAGAAGACGCTTTCCAGCAGACTGAGGCAGAGAGTTCCACTGTTGAACAGCTCTTCCAGTCATTTGAAGCCATTGCTCCCAGTCTGAAAACAAGCCTTCTCCCTCTTCCTTGTGACATCCTTTTTGTAGGGGCAACAGCTCACCAGCACTCTGTAAGAAGTCAGGAGCCCTAGGCACTCTGCATGGTCAGAATCCCTAGGCTCTCTGCATGAATTCAGGAGCTCTAGGCACTCTGCACGAAGTCAGGAGCCCTAGGCACTCTGCACGGAGTCCAAGGCACTCCAGCACTCCGCACGAAGTCAGGAGCCCAAAGCACTCTGCACAAAATCAGGAGCCCAAGGCACTCTGCATGAAGTCGAGCCCAAAGCACTCTGCACAAAGTCAGGAACTCAATGCACTCTGCACGAAATCAGGAGCCCGAAGGCACTCTGCACAAAGTCAGGAGCCCTGGGCACTCCAGCACTCTGCATGGAGTCAGGAGCCCAAGGCACTCTGCACAAAGTCGGGAGACCAATGCATTCTGCACGAAGTCGGGAGACTAAGGCATTCCAGCACTTTGCACGATGTCAGGAGCCCAACGCACTCTGCACGAAATCAGGAGACCAATGCACTCTGCACGAAGTCAGGAGCCCAAAGCACTCTGCACGAAGTCAGGAGCCCAAAGCACTCTGCACGAAGTCAGGAGACCAATGCACTCTGCACGAAATCAGGAGCTCAAGGCACTGCACGAAGTCAGGAGCCCAAGGCACTCTGCACGAAGTCAGGAGCCCAAAGCACTCTGCACGAAGTCAGGAGACCAATGCACTCTGCACGAAATCAGGAGCCCAAGGCACTCTGCACGAAGTCAGGAGCCCAAGGCACTCTGCACGAAGTCAGGAGCCCAAAGCACTCTGCACGAAGTCAGGAGACCAATGCACTCTGCACGAAATCAGGAGACCAATGCACTCTGCACGAAGTCAGGAGCTCAAGGCACTGCACGAAGTCAGGAGCTCAAGGCACTCTGCACGAAGTCAGGAGCCCAAGGCACTCTGCACGAAGTCAGGAGCCCAAAGCACTCTGCACGAAGTCAGGAGACCAATGCACTCTGCACGAAATCAGGAGACCAATGCACTCTGCACGAAGTCAGGAGCTCAAGGCACTGCACGAAGTCAGGAGCTCAAGGCACTCTGCACGAAGTCAGGAGCCCAAGGCACTCTGCACGAAGTCAGGAGCCCAAAGCACTCTGCACGAAGTCAGGAGCCCAAGGCACTCTGCACGAAGTCAGGAGCCCAAGGCACTCCAGCACTCTGCATTTTGAACCTGTTGGAGTTTCCAAACTTGGTACAACGGTAGCCCAATGTAAAGCGCCTTGCAGACGTCGAATCCTGCTGCAATGTCAGAAATACAACCCAATGGTGTAACATTAGAAAATGTTGACCATTTCCACTACCTTTCCACAAAAGCCAACATCAGTACTGAAATACAACACTGCCTGAGCTCTGCAAGTGAATGAAGCAGAGTGGTTGAGGATGGGGAGGTTTGTAGAGACACGGAGGGGCTTGTTTATAAAGCTACTGTCCTCCCAATCCTGGGATATGCCTGCAAAACATGGACAATCTAGACGTCACACTCAACTCCTGGAATGACTCCATCCATGTTGCCTGTGAACAATCCTGCAAATCTCTTGGGAAGGCAGGCAGACAAAGCAAAGACCACCAGCACTGAAGCGATGCTCATATGCCATCAAAATCCCAATTCTCATAGGAACAGAAAGTGAGATGAAGTCCTCTGAACAGAGGCACAGACAGCAAAACAAGTACCACAGGAGTGTTCATACTTCCTTATGCTCTCCAAAGATAGATATAATAATTTTTATACACACGCGTATATATATGGCTAGAGTTACACTTTAACAATGTACCTATTCTGACTTGCATACAAATCCAACTTAAGGACAAACCCACAGAAACTATCTTGTTTGAAACCCGGGGACAACTGCCTGTATATTTAAAATGCATTCATTTTTTTTGCAGGCGAAAGCACTGGATTCTGAGAAGCGAATGTGATGATGGCGTCGTCAGCCTCAGAATACACCATTGGTGGGGTGAAGATCCTCTTCCCTTGCAAGGCGTATCCTTCTCAGCTGGCGATGATGAACGCCGTAAGTTGTGTCAACCTAAATTGCACAGACACATAATGAACTGAATTCAGTCCAGTGAGAATAGTGAGGTTCTGCAGTTACCATCTCAGGAGTTCAACTCAAGCCGCTGTCCTGATTTTTTACTTTTATTTTATGTTTCTGTTTTTTTTAAATCATATTTTGTGGCTCATTTATTTCTCAGATTAAAAAAAGGTAAAGATCTAGAAATATTTCTGTAACCCAAATTGGAATTTGCATTGACTTGTGTACACCAGTTATAAACATTAACCTTTTTGGGGCGTAATGTTAATAAACAATGAGTTTAATAATAATAATAATATTTTATTTATACCCTGCTACCATCTCCCCAAGGGACTCGGTGCGGCTTACATGAGGCCAAGCCCACAATACAATAAACAAAGGCAATAACAAAATAATCAATGCAAAACAGTTAATATAAATCTCATAAACAAAAAAATAAACAATAAACCATAACAATAACACACAAGTGTTTAAAAACCTATGGCCGGGCCAAATGTAATAATTTAAAATTTAAAAAATAATTCTGGGCATGAACAAGGTAGGACATAACTGGGATAGGGAAAAGAAAGATGAGGGTGTGTAGGCAATCCCAAATCAATGGTAAAGTGCATTTGAGGACATATTGCCAAAAGTTTTCCTTATTATGGGAAGGCACACTGGAACAACCACGTTTTCAGGCTCCTCCCTAAATAATGCCAGCGTTGGAGTTTCCTGGATTGTTGTAGGTTTTTCAGGCTATATGGCCATGTTCCAGAAGCAGTCTCTCCTGATGTTTCGCCTGCATCTATAGCAAACATCCTCAGAGGTTGTGAGGTCAGAGGATGCTTGCCATAGATGCAGGTGAAAAGTCAGGAGAGAATGCTTCTAGAACATGGCCATATAGCCCAAAAAACCTACAACAACTCAGTGATTCCAGCCATGAAAGCCTTCGACAATACAATGGGTTTCCTGTTAAAGCAACATTTCTCAACCTGGGGGTTGGGCCCCTGGAGGGTCCTGAGGTGGTGTCAGTAAGGTCACCAAAGACAATCAGAAAACACTATTTTCTGTTGGTCATGGGGGTTCTGTGTGGCAAGTTTGACCCAATTCTATCATTGGTGAGGTTCAGAATGCTCTTTGATTGTAGGTGAACTATAAATTCCAGTAACTACAACTCCCAAATCTCAAGGTCTATTTTCCCAAAACCCCACGAGTGTTCACATTTGGGCATATGGAGTATTCGTGCCAAGTTTGGTCCAGATCCATCATTGTGGACTACAACACTCAAAGTCAATACCCACCAAACCCTTCTAGTATTTTCTGTTGATCATGGGAGTTCTGTGGGCCAAGTTTGTTAGAATTCCATCATTGGTGGAGCTCACAGATCCATAATTGCCTCTTGAGTATTTGTGCCAAGTTTGGTCCAGATCCATCATTGTTTGATGGATTTTGCAGACTTGGTAGCTGATTAAATGTCCTTTGACCAGTATCTGGCCACTTGGAGTGCCTCTGGTGTTGCCGCAAGAAGGTCCTCCATTGTGCATGTGGCAGGGCTCAGGGTGCATTGCAGCAGGTGGTCAGTGGTTTGTTCTTCTCCGCACTCGCATGCCGAGGATTCCACCCTGTAGCCCCATTTCTTAAGATTGGCTCTGCATCTCGTGGTGCCAGAGCGCAGTCTGTTCAGCGCCTTCCAAGTCGCCCAGTCTTCTGTGTGCCCAGGGGGGAGTCTCTCATCTGGTATCACCCATGGATTGAGGTTCTGGGTTTGAGCCTGCCACTTTTGGACTCTCGCTTGCTGGGGTGTTCCAGCGAGTGTCTCTGTAGATCTAAGAAAACTATTTCTTGATTTAAGTCGTTGACGTGCTGGCTGATACCCAAACAAGGGATGAGCTGGAGATGTCTCTGCCTTGGTCCTTTCACTATTGGCTGCTACTTCCCGGCGGATGTCAGGTGGTGCAATACCGGCTAAGCAGTGTAATTTCTCCAGTTGTGTAGGGCACAGACACCCTGTGATAATGCGGCATGTCTCATTAAGAGCCACATCTACTGTTTTAGCGTGGTGAGATGTGTTCCACACTGGGCATGCATACTCAGCAGCAGAGTAGCATAGCGCAATCGATCCAGAAGCAACCAGAGATGACTTGCAGCATGCAAATATTTTTGGATGGTAAGGTAAGACTGGTATTGGGTTTCATTGACCACAAAATTAGGTTCAACAAAAAGAAATTGAAATTCCATTATGCAAAAAGCTAGACTCTAAAGGTGACTTCATGTCTTCGGTGCTAATTAATATTTTTTATTAATTTTAGATTGTAAAAGGGCTGAACTCCAAGCAACATTGCCTCTTGGAGAGTCCGACGGGAAGCGGGAAAAGCTTGGCCTTGCTCTGCTCAGCTTTGTCATGGCAACAGGCACAATATGGTGAGCTCTAGTTTGCATGGTCTCAGATGAAGAAGTGGACTACACTGCCATGTAAAATCCAGATTATCTGCTTTGAACCGGATTATATGGCAATGTAGACTCATATAATCAAGTTCAAATCTGGATTATCTGTTCTAATAATCTGGTTTATATGCCAGGCTTCTGTCTACAAAAGTTTATGCTGGAAATGTCTTCTTCCTTCTTTGTTTACCATTTTATGGCATGCATTTGACCCGCCCACTGTGTTTTATTTCCCATTATGTTATTTTGTACTGTTTATTTCACTTGATTGGTTTATTTATTTTATTGTGATGTTATATTGTTGTTTATATTTTGTGTTGCTGTAATGTATCGCTAGGCTTGGCCTCATGTAAGCCGCTTCGAGTCCCCTTTGGGAAGATGGTGGCGGGGTAGAAATAAAGTGTATTATTATTATTATTATTATTATTATTGTATTGTCGAAGGCTTTCATGTCCGGAATCACTGGGTTGTTGTAGTTTTTTCAGGCTATATGGCCATGGTCTAGAGGCATTCTCTCCTGACGTTTCGCCTGCATCTATGGCAAGCATCCTCAGAGGTAGTGAGGACACCTCACCTCACAACCTCTGAGGATGCTTGCCATAGATGCAGGTGAAACGTCAGGAGAGAATGCCTCTAGACCATGGCCATATAGCCTGAAAAAACCTACAACAACCCATTATTATTATTATTTCTTTACATTTTGTTATCATTGACTGTATTGAGCTAGATAGACCAATGGTTTCCCTCGCGTCACGTCAGCCATAGCATTCCTTTGGCCCTAATGACTTTGTATGCCTTCCTAAAGAGTATGCAGTCCAGTCAACTAGAAATTATATTTTCCCTCGACTTTGTAAATTATTCAAATGGTGCTCGGCTGTCATTTATTCATTATTGAGTTTTGTTGTTGTGCTCCTCCATATGGAATGCAAGAGGACAGATGAATTTTGGGCTGCAAAGGAATTATATTTAGAGTGAGAAGGAATCTGGCCAACCAGGAGGTCAGGTGAGGTCTGACTCCATGGTGGTTTATGGCTCTGGAAGGCTCCATGCAAATAGATTCTTGAGATCTTGACACTTCATTTCCAAGGCTGGCACATCTATATAAATAAAAATGTAATGTTCGTTTGTGGGATTAACATAACTCAAAAAACACTGGATGAATTGACACAAAATTTGGACACTATACCCTTAACAGACCAACGAGTGACCATCACTCATAAACCCCCCCACAAAAATAGCGGAAATGATTTAAAAACCCAAAAAAGCTAAGTGACAATACAGAAAAAAGGAAGAAAGAGGAAGGGAAGGAAGGGTAGAAAGAGAGAGAGAGAGAAAGAAAGAAAGAGGGAAAGAGAGAGAGAGAGAAAGAAGCATGGAAGCAAGAGCGAAGGAAGGAAAGAAATGGAAGGAAAAGAAAATGGGAGAAAGAAAGGAAAGAGATAGAGAAGGAAGAAAAAAGGGAAGGAAGGAAAGAGGGAGCGAAGGAAGGAAAGAAAGAAGGAGAGAAAGAGGGAGGGAAGGAAAGAGAGGAGGAAGGATGGAAGCAAAAAGCAAAAGAAGGAAGGAAAGAGGTAGAAAAGGAAGAAAGGGAAGGAAAAGAAAAAGGGAGAAAGAAAGGAAAGAGATAAGGAAGAAAAAGGAAGGAAGGAAAGAAGGAGAGAAAGAGGGAGGAAAGAGAAAAGGAAGTAAAAAAGTGAAGGAAGGAAGGAAAGAGGTAGAGAAGGAAGAAAGGAGAGAAAGAAGATAAAGAAAAAGAGGGGAAGGAAGGAAAGAGGTAGAGAAGGAAGGAGAGAAGGAAAGAAAAAAGGGAAGGAAGGAAGCAAGGAAAGCGGGAGCAAAGGAAGGAGGGAAATGAGAGAAAGAGGGAAGGAAGGTTGGCCAGAGCAATGTGTGGCAGGTACAGCTAGTGATAAAGATTTCTTGTTGACATTTAGTGTAGTAGAATCTGGCTCTAGGGGTTGGTGCTCATCTCCATTTCTAAGCCGAAGAGCTGGCATTGCCCATAGACATCTCCCAGTTCATGCAGCCGGCATGACTGCATGGATAGCCATTGCCTTCCTGCCAAAGTGGTACCTATTGATCTACTCACATTTACATGTTTTCGAACTGCTAGGTTGGCAGAAGCTGGGGCTAACAATGGGAACTCACCCTGCTCCCTGGATTCAAACCTCCAACCTTTTGAGCAGCAAGTTCAGCAGCTCAGCGGTTTAACCCACTGCACCATGGGAAGCTCCAGGGACTTGATAGTGGGGTAAAAAAAACTTCACTGATTAATTGTTTGGTTTGGTGATTGGATAGAAAAGTCCAGAATTTGGGTTATGCTGCAGGAGGCAGCTATGCTGCTTCCCTTTCGGGAGAACAATTAATGTATCTGCTCAGCTTGGAAAGCCAAAATACCCCATTCAGTGATTTCTCCAAGCTCACTAAGATTTTAATAAGCAAATACCTCTTGTTTTCTTTTCAGACAAACCCTTGGATAACTTGTCGGACTCAAAGGAATCCAAGAAGCCAGAGCCCTTAATGCCATGCCGCTGTGGTTGCCACGCTAGCCGCACAACTCAGAGCCAGGATGGGACGAAGCAGGACCGAGGGGCCTCGGTTGCCTTCACCAATTGTGCCCCCGTCGTGCCCACCAGCAGTGGAAGCGCATCCAGAAACGAAGGTCATTCTTAAAGCTTTTTTGGGAAACCTTGAGTGTTGATATCCTAGGGGCCAGTTTTCTCTCTTTGAAAGTCTCTCCTCAAAGAGCAAAACATTCCAAATTATTTTTAACATTTCTTTTCTTACTTGGAGAACCACAAAAAGTAAAATAAACATGAGTTTTCCTTGGGGCTGCTCCTACTCCCTTTTGATACCCAATTTTATTTGTGGAATGTTGTATCTTTCTACACAAAGAGTATTTTTTTCTTGCTGTCAACAGACTTCCAGTTTATGTATGTGTAGGATGAGTATAGAATCATAGAATCAAAGAGTTGGAAGAGACCTCATGGGCCATCCAGTCCAACCCCCTGCCAAGAAGCAGGAATATTGCATTCAAATCACACCTGACAGATGGCCATCCAGCCTCTGTTTAAAAGCTTCCAAAGAAGGAGCCTCCACCACACTCCGGGGCAGAGAGTTCCACTGCTGAACGGCTCTCACAGTCAGGAAGTTCTTCCTCATGTTCAGATGGAATCTCCTCTCTTGTAGTTTGAAGCCATTGTTCCGCGTCCTAGTCTCCAAGGAAGCAGAAAACAAGCTTGCTCCCTCCTCCCTGTGCTTCTCTCACATATTTATACATGGCTATCATATCTCCTCTCAGCCTTCTCTGCTTCAGGCTAAACATGCCCAGCTCCTTAAGCCGCTCCTCATAGGGCTTGTTCTCCAGACCCTTGATCATTTTAGTCGCCCTCCTCTGGACACATTCCAGCTTGTCAATATCTCTCTTGAATTGTGGGCCCAGAATTGGACACAATATTCCAGGTGTGGTCTAACCAAAGCAGAATAGAGGGGTAGCATGACTTCCCTAGATCTAGACACTATGCTCCTATTGATGCAGGCCGAAATCCCATTGGCTTTTTTTGCCGCCACATCACATTGTTGGCTCATGTTTAACTTGTTGTCCACGAGGACTCCAAGATCTTTTTCACACGTACTGCTCGAGCCAGGCATCCCCCATTCTGTATCTTTGCATTTCGTTTTTCCTGCCAAAGTGGAGTATCTTGCATTTGTCACTGTTGAACTTCATTTTGTTAGTTTTGGCCCATCTCTCCAATCTGTCAAGATAGTTTTGAATCCTGCTCCTGTCCTCTGAAGTATTGGCTATCCCTCCCAATTTGGTGTCGTCTGCAAACTTGATGATCCTGCCTTCTAACCCTTCATCTAAGTCATTAATAAAGATGTTGAACAGGACCGGGCCCAGGACGGAACCCTGCGGCACTCCGCTCGTCACTTCTTTCCAAGATGAAGAGGAAGCATTGGTGAGCACCCTCTGGGTTCGTCCATTTAACCAATTACAGATCCACCTCACCGTAGTTTTGCCTAGCCCACATTGGACTAGTTTCCTTGCCAGAAGGTCATGGGGGACCTTGTCGAAGGCCTTCCTGAAATCCAGGTACGCTACATCCACGGCATTCCCCGCATCTACCCAGCTTGTAACTCTATCGAAAAAAGAGATCAGATTAGTCTGGCATGACTTGTTTTTGATAAATCCATGTTGACTATTAGCGATGACCGCATTTGTTTCTAAGTGTTTGCAGACCACTTCCTTAACAATCTTTTCCAGAATCTTTGCCTGGTATTGACGTGAGGCTGACCGGACGGTAGTTGTTTGGGTCATCCTTTTTTCCCTTCTTGAAGATTGGGACCACATTGGCCCTCCTCCAATCTGCTGGAACTTCTCCTGTTCTCCAAGAACTCTCAAAGATGGTTGCCAATGGTTCCGAAATGACTTCCGCTAGTTCCTTCAATACTCTTGGGTGTAGTTGATCTGGCCCTGGGTACTTGAACTCATTTAGAGCGGCCAGGTATTCCTGACGACTTGTTTCCCAATTTGGGGTTGGATGTCCTCTAATCCCTCATCCACTCCATCTTGCTGAGGTTGAAGATGACTTTCTTTTTGTGAGAAGACCGAGGCAAAGAAGGTATTAAGTAGTTCTGCCTTTTCCCTATCCCCTGTCAGCATTGCCCCATCTTCTCCTCGAAGAGGCCCTATCGCCTCCTTGTTTTTCCTTTTTCTACTGACATAAGAAAAGAAGCCCTTTTTTATTGTTTTTAATGTCCCTGGCAAGCCTGAGCTCGTTTTGTGCTTTAGCCTTGCGGACCTTTTCCCTACAGGTGTTGGCTATTTGTTTGAATTCTTCTTTGGTGATTTCTCCCTTTTTCCACTTCTTGTGCATGTCTCTTTTGTGTCTCAGCACAGTTAGAAGTTCTTTGGACATCCATTCTGGCTTCTTTGCACTTGTCCTATTTTTTCTTTTTGTTGGCACGGTTTGCAACTGCGCCTTGAGTATTTCACTCTTGAGAAACTCCCATCCATCCGTAACTCCCTTGTCTTTTAGTATCTGTGTCCACGGAATGCTGCTCGTTTCCTTCATTTTTTGGAAATCAGCTCTCCTAAAGTCCAAAATGCGGGTTTGACTTGTCTTAGTTTCGGCCTTCCTTTGTACCTCAAATTGCAGGAGCACATGGTCACTTGCCCCTAAGGATCCTACCACTTCAACCATCGATCAGGTCCTCCACATTTGTTAGGATGAGATCAAGAGTAGCCAATCCCCTTGTTGCCTCTTCTACCTTCTGGACCATGAAATTGTCTGCAAGGCAAGCGAGGAATTTGTTGGACCTTGTACTCTTGGCCGAGTTTGTTTTCCAGCAAATATCGGGATAGTTGAAATCGCCCATGACTACTACATCTCTTCTCTGTGCCTGTTTGGTCAACTGTTGGCAGAAGACTTCATCAAGTTCTTCCTCCTGGCTTGGAGGTCTGTAGTAGACTCCTACAACAAGATCTTTTTGAGTCCCAGTTCCCTTGATTCTTATCCAGATGCTTTCAAGCTGGTTTCCCGGATTGCTGTCATGCATTTCTTCTGCAGCATAAGAGTTTTTGACATATAAGGCTACTCCGCCTCCTCTCCCCTTTGTTCGGTTTCTGTGAAAGAGGTTATAGCCCTCGATATCTACATTCCAGCGATAGGAGTCATCCCACCAGGTTTCAGTGATGCCTATGATATCATATTTGTGGTGTTGTGCTAAAAGTTGGAGTTCGTCATGTTTATTTCCCATGCTCTGTGCATTAGTGTAAAGACATGTGAGCCCCCGAGATCTTCCCCTGAGCTGTTTCTTTGGGGTTATTGTGCTTTCGGTACTTGGTCCTCGTTGTGTTTGTGCAGCCCTCAATTTAGCCTTCTGGTGGTTCCCAGACATTATGGATAAAGTAGTGTTCGCAAGGCTGTTGTCCCCCTCCCCCAGTGGGCCTAGTTTAAAGTGCGCCTAATGAGGTTTCCGAGTCTGTGAGCAAAAAGGTGTTTTCCTACTTGTGTGAGATGCACCCCATCCCTTGCCAGTAGGCCATCCTCCTGGAAAAGCAGGCCATGGTCAAGGAAGCCAAAGCGTTCCTCCTGACACCATTTTCTAAGCCAGTCATTGACCTGTACTATTTTTCTGGCCCTTGTAGGACCGTGTTTTATGACTGGGAGGAGGGATGAAAAGACCACCTGTACATTACATTGCTTTAGCTTTGTTCCTAGAGCTCGAAAATCATTTGTGATCTTTTGAACAGTATGCCTAGCAGTATCATTGGTTCCTACATGAATCAACATGAGGGGAGGACGGTGATGGGGCTTGAGGAGCCTGGTGAGCCTCTGAGTGATATGGTGTATTTTTGCCCCTGGTAGGCAGCATATTTCTCGAGCCATCCCATCCGGTCTGGAAATGACGGCTTCCGTTCCTCTAAGGAGGGAGTCGCCTACTACCAAGACCTGTTTACTTTCAGGAATGGCAGGGCCCCTTTTGCGCATTGTAGTGTGTAGGTCCCCAGAAAAGTGATCCTGTTGGTGTGAATTGTGTAGGTGTAAAGTGTTGTCCTCCTCCTCGACATCCCCAGTGCATTCATCAAGGACAATCCATTGAGATTCATCCAATAGCCTAGCGTTCTCCTGTATGTGTTCCTGTTGCACCTGGTCTATGGTTGGGGATGGTACACCTGCATGATTGTGTAAGTGTGAATGTTGTGAAGTGTTGTCCCAAACAGGGCTATCCCCCTCACACTGGTCAAGGACGAGCCACTGATCAGTATCTAAGCCATTCTGGTCTTCCTCAATGTGTTGTGTTTCTTGGTCAAGTGATAGCTGTGTGAGAATTTGGAATCTATTGTGTAACTGCAGCTGAGAAGAAGTATTCTGAGGAGGCTTCCGGGTCCTATGTCTCTTTCTAAGGGTGACATTCCTCCAAGCCTGAGGGTTGTCCACATCTGAGGTGATCTCCTCTTGAGCCTCCCCATAATGTTGATGTGATATGGGCTGCGTGTCTAGGACAGCATGCTGTGTGGTGTCTAAGAACGGCTCGAGTTCCTGAATGCCCTTAAGGGTCTTAATACGGTCCTCGAGTTGTTGGATCCTGTGTTCCATGTGAGTGATCTGTTTACACTTGGGGCAAATATAATTGAGTAATTGTAGTGTGAAACAGCTGAACATGCCACAGCTTGTGCATGAGACTGGAAGATTTCGTGTTTGTTCCATCTGGGGGTTGCTAATGACCTCCTCTTGGTGTGTGTTTTATGTTGTTGTCTGTATGCAGGGGTGAAAGTGTAGGTTACTGAGTGTATGAGTTCGCACGCGCGACCCTGGTTTATATAGGGTAACCAGGAAACAGAACAGGAAGCCCCGCCTCTCAAACAAAGCAGTTAATTTTTAAACACAGAGAGCTCCGCCTCTCAAACAAAGCAGTTAATTTTTAAACACAGGAAGCTCCACCTCTCAAACAAAGCAGTTAATTTTTAAACACAGGAAGCTCCACCTCTCAAACAAAGCAGTTAATTTTTAAACACTCACTCACTCAGATTTCTAGCGCCCTCTAAGACAGCTTATCCTGAAGCAGAAGGGAACAAAATGGATTCTGCTTCCTCAACTTCTGTGGGAGCCCAGACTTCAGACCCTGGTTTATATAGGGTAACCAGGAAGCAGAACAGGAAGCTCCGCCTCTCAAACAAAGCAGTTAATTTTTAAACACAGAGAGCTCTGCCTCTCAAGTATGTATAGGGCCTGCTGGTAGCACAGCAGGTTAAACCGCTGAGTTGCTGAACTTGCTGACCAAAGGTTGGCAGTTTGAATCTGGGTAGGGGGACAGGATGAACTCCCGCTGTTAGCCCCAGTTTCTGCAAACCTAGCAGTTCAAAAACATTCAAGTATGAGTAGATCATAAGGTATTGCTTCTGCTCTCTATTTACCATATTTATTATACACACACACACACGCTCTATGCACTCATGTTGGCCACATGACTTAGGAAGCATCTACGGACAAAGCTGGCTCTTTGGTTCAAGAAATGGAGATGAGCTGAACATGACTAGTCTTAAAGTCAAGGGAAACCTTTACCTTTAGGATGAGTAAAATATCTATGATGTTATACATACCTGTGTTTTCTTTCGCAGACTCTGTTTTATCCCCTGCTGCTGGAAAGCACACAACGAAAACCACCCTTGCTTCCAAACTTTTTGCAAAAAAGCAGGCATCTTTGCAGGAAGGGGAAGACGATGATTTTAAAGTTGATAGGAAACGGATTCGTTCCCTGGAAACTGAAGAGCAGGTGAGAAAGCTTTTATCTTTGTAAAATGGAGTGAGCTTCCGACCATCTGTGTAGCTTGCTGTCGACCTTTGCAGCCCAAAAGACAGTTGCATCTATCAAGTAGGAAATTTAGGTACTGCTTATGCGGAGAGGCTAATTTAACTAATTTACAACACCATAAAATCTCCAGCAAGCAAGCAAAGAATGAGGAAGTACTCCATCAGTGCCACAAATGGACGGTGAAGCGACAGCTCGCCTGGTGGCCAGAATACCTTCAGGAAGCTGGAATGTTAAATACCCTCTGTGTGTCTGCCTATATATGTTGTGTGTCTATTGCATTGAATGTTTGCCATGTATATGTACATTGTAATCTGCCTTGAGTCCCCTGTGGGGTGAGAAGGGCGGAATATAAATATTGTAAATAAATAAATAAATAATCTAATAGTCTTGTTGTTGTGTACCATCAGGTCATTTCTGATCTATGGTAATCCTATCACGGGTTTTGGCAATATTTGATTTTGAAGAGTTACCTTTGCTTTCCTCTGGGGCTGAGAGAGTGTGACTTGGCCAAATTTTTGCAATTATTTCCTTTGTTTCTTTAACCTGAACAGGCTAGAAAACGACACCGGCTGGCTAAAGGGGTCCAGTTTGTTGATGCCTTAGAAATTTATCAGCAGCAGAAAAATGGGGAATTGATTGTGTCTTCTGGAAAAACTACACCTTCCTCTCTCAAAACAGTGAGTACAGCAGACTTGGATTGTGAAGACAGAAAGATATACAAACCATGATTGGCGGTGTTATATTAGCTACTCTGGGATCGAAGATTATCTCCTGCCATTGTTTTATTTTCACAACTTTTGGTTTTTCTCCTTCTGAGTTGTATAAATGTTATTGACTTAATAACATTTCCCCATTCCCCTTTTGTTATGTTTCTAGATTGGAATTGTTTCCTTTGCTCCTTCGAGCCCATGTTTTATAGCTTGCTTTTCACCCTAATAGTGTTGTGATGGTGGACTTTGGTTCAGGATTTTCTCTTCCCGCTTTCAGAAGATTTGCTTTGGAAAGGATGCTGTTGTGAGATTTGCTTCTCCTGAGAGGACGTTGGCCCCTTGCTTCTGTGCAAGTCAGTTTGTCTGCCTCATTCAGCTTTTTTAATAAAAAGTTATTTTTATTTAGAATAAATTTACTCCTCAAACGTAGGAGCAACACAAGGAAAAAAGAGAATTACTGTATTTTTTCCAGTTTACATAAAAAGGGGGGGGGGGAGAATGAGTTATAGTGATCTAGGAAAGGAAGAAAACAAGCAGCGGGGAAAGAGAAGAGGAAAAAAGAAAAAAAAAGAGATAAAAATACTTCCAGGGTTCCCCAGTAATGGGAAAAGTTGTATTTTTCTTATTTTTGGTTGCTTTATTCTTCAGCTTCTTATTGATGGACTTTTGAGATTCGTTCATACATTTCTGATATAATTTTCGTTATTTTCTTTTTTTATAAATTCCAAAAAGTCTTTCCAGTCAGTTCTGAGTAGTTTTACATTATTTTGTGAAATTTTCTGTGTAAGTAAGTCCATGTTCATGATATCCATTATTTTTAGAATCCATTGCTCCACTGTGGGTATTTCATTAGATCTCCATAATCTGGCTAAAATAATTCTGCCGGCTGTTTTAAGGTAGAAAAAGATTTTTTCTGCATTTTTGTCTATTTTAATGTCTATGATCCCTAATAGCATAGATTCTGATTTTAGTTCAAATTTTATCTTTAGTATTACTTCAATCTTCTTATGTATTTCATACCAGAAGTTCTTTATTTTCTTACATTTCCACCACATGTGGGAAAAATTGGTTTTCATGGATTTTTGCGTATCTCTTAACCATATCTCTAAATCTTCTCTAATATTCAAATGACTCATTTTTGTGCTGGAAAATGTCCTAATCTCTCCTTGTAAGTGTAGACCAAACAGATTAGGTTAGATACATGGCCTCTTAACTTAAACAAGAGAGTGCTGTTGCTTTAAACCAGTGGTTCTCAACCTTCTTGATGCCGTGACCCCGTTTTGCTACAGTTATGAATCATAATGTAAATATCTGATATGCAGGATGTATTATCATTCACTGGACCAAATTTGGCACAAAAGCCCAATACACCCCAAATTTGAATACTGATGGGGTTGAGGGTGGGGGGGGGGGGAATTAATTTTGTCATTTGGGAGTTGTAGTTGCTGGGATTTATAGTTCACCTCAATCAAAGAGCATTCTGAACTCCACCAACAATGGAATTTGACCACACTTAGCACACAGAACTCCCATAACCAGCAGAAAATACTGGAAGGGTTTGGTGGGCACTGACCTTGAGTTTGCGAGTTGTAGTTCACCTACATCCATTGTATGGACTCAAACAGTGATGGATCTGGATCACGAATACTCAATATGCCCAAATGTGAACACTGATAGAGTTTGGGGAAAACAGACCTTGCTATTTGGGAGTTGTAGTTGCTGGGATTTATAGTTCACCTACAATCATAGAGCATTGTGCACACTACCAATGATAGAATTGGGCCAAACTTTCTACACAGAACCCCCATGACCAATAGAAAATACTGTGTTTTCTGATGGTCTTTGGCGACCCCTCTGGCACCCCCTTGTGACCCCCCAGGGGTCCCGACCCCCAGGTTGAGAAACACCGCTTTAAACTCTCCACCACCCCTTCTTTTTTGGTGCTGTAAGTTAATGACCTCAGCTGCCACAATGACTTAATAAGTTGGACAACTTGTATTGATTTTCCCTGTTGCTGCTGTAAGTGTCTAACAGAAAAGCAGTCACTGCACAATTAAGTTGCTTCTATAGTTAGCATCCTTCTCCTGTAGCAGAGTTGAACGTTATAGGAAATCAATAGGGATTCCTTCAGCCGAATTGCTTCACAAGTAGTAACTTCAGGTAAACCCTCTCCCGTCAGACTCCGGAATGTTCCAAATCTCTCATCAGAGTTTTGAATTTTTGTAAGTTGGAACTCTGTCTCATATTTACTGATAGTAGACATAGTTCAGATCTTAATATCAATAATGATGATAATAATAACTTTATTATTAAGGTTCTCCTGGGATTTCCAGGAGTTGAGGGTACAAATGGGAAGTTTAGTTTCATAACTCTGTATGTTTTTATAAGCTCCCTGCAAATAATCTGCTCCTATTGTTATCTCATTAGAGTCTTCTAATTGTTTTATCCTGCACATATGGCCCGCCCTTTGTTACTGTGATTGTCTTTATTGGAATGTTATTTTGCTATTGTGTCACTTTTTTCTGTAATTTTGATGATGTTGCTTGATGTTTATGTTGTGGTTTCATTTTGTTGTAATATGTTGCCTGGCCTTGGTCCCATGTAAGGCACTCCGAGTCCCCATCAGGGAGATGGTGGTAGGGTAGAAGATTATTATTATTATTATTATTATTATTATTATTATTACAGTTAAAATGTATTTAAAAACACAAAGAAAGATTTTAAAACCTGGTATTATGCTAAATGTCCTTTGGCCAGAAGCTGGCCACATGGAATGTCTCTGGTGTTGCCCTGCCACATTGTGCATGTGGCAGGGCTCAGACTGCATTGTAATAGGTGGTCTGTGGTTTGCTCTTCTCCACACTCGCATGTTGCATACTCCAAATTGTTGTCCCATTTGTTGAGGTTGGCTCTGCATCTTGTAGTGCCAGAGCGCAGCCTGTTCAGTGCCTTCCAAGTCGCCCCGTCTTCTGTGTTTCTAGGAGGGAGTTTCCCATCTGGCATCAGCCACTGATTGAGGTTCCAGGTTTCAGCCTGCCACTTTTGGACTGCTTGCTTGCTGAAATGTTCCTGCGAGTATCTCTGTCGATCTTAGGAATCTGTTTTTTTTATTTAAGGCATTGGCATGCTGGCTGATATCCGAACAGAGGATGGGCCAGAAATGTCAATGCCTTGGTCCTTCCATTATTGGCTGCTACTTCCCAGCGGATGTCAGCTGGTGCAATACTAGCTTAACAGTATAACTTCTCGAGTAGTGTAGGGTGCAGACATCCTGTGATAATGCGGTATGTCTCATTAGCCACATCCACTGTTTTAACGTGGTGAGATGTATTCCACACTGGGCCTGTTGAACAGCAAAGCGCAAGGGCAGATGTCTTCACTGTGTCTGGTTGTGATCCCCAGGTTGTGCCAGTCTGCTTTCGTATGATATTATTTCTAGCACCCACTTTTGGCTTGATAGTCAAACAGTGCTTCTTATAAGTTAGAGCATGGTAACTCCCAGGTATTTTGGTATGCTGCGATGCTCCAGTGGGATTCCTTCCCAGGTTGCTGCAAGTCGCTTCTGGTGTGAGAGAATCAGCTGTCTACAAAGACGTTGCTCAGGGGACACCCGGATGTGTTACGATCCTGTGGGGAGGCTTCTTTCATGTCCCCCTCCTAGTCCAAAAATCACACCATTACGTCTCACTGGTTCTCATTTGAGCTTTAGTCTCCAGGAAAAAATTTTGGGGAAGTGAATCCCCAAAATCCATTGTGGGAAGCACGTTGACAAATGTTTCATCATGCTATTTGTTATTGTGGGTGATACTCAGGCCCCTTCCACACCACTGCATAAAATCCACATTGAACTAGGTTATATGGCAGTGTTGACTCAGATAATCCAGTTCAAAGCAGATATTGTGGATTATTTGCCTTGGTGTTCTGGGTTATATGGCTGTGTGGAAGGGTCCTCAGTGGGATATTGTTGTGCCAGATCCCTTCATCATTAAAACAAAACGAGAAAGAAGTGAAACATTGTATAAATGTCAGCTTCCTGTCAAAAGTTAGGGCTATTTTTGTGTCTTATTGCCTTCCACTGTTACTTTCTCATCATAAGTCTTTTCCCAGAAGTCATGTACTTTCCCAGATAAGTCAGCATTTATTGTAAAATCAAGTTAAGTGCTTCTCAGCTAAGAAAGTGGAAGGGTTCCTGTGGGGAAACGATTGCACCGGGAACAAGATCTCTTCCATTGCAGGCATGGATCTTAAGCAGAGAGGCGCGTTTCAAATATTTTTAGAGTGTACTTTGTGTTCCTCTCAAGCCTCATACCTTGAATGTCTTAACAAGCCAAACTATAATGGTTGCTTTTGTAAGCACAAGGGATCTGTTTGGCTTTAATGTGCAATAAATAATAGGAGTACACTGAACAGGGTTGTCAAATTTGACAACAGTCAAGCTGTGTGGAGTTTAATTTTGAAGTGCCAGCAGGGGGTGCTGTTGGTTTTTAGATGAAAATACGATTTCTAATTATTGTTCTTAATTTCATCAAGCTTTCAGTTTAAAACAGTGGTTCTCAACCTTCCTAATGCCGTGACCCCTTAATACAGTTCCTCATGTTGTGGTGACCCCCAACCATAACATTATTTTTGTTGCTACTTCATAACTATCTTTGTGTCTGTTGTGAATCATAATGTGAATACCTAATATGCACGATGTATTTTCATTCACTGGGCCAAATTTGGCACAAATACCCAATACGCCCCAAATTTGGGGGGGGGTGTGTGATTTTGTCATTTGGGAGTTGTAGTTGCTGGGATTTATAGTCCACCTACAATCAACACACATTCTGAACACCACCAATAATGGAATTGAACCAAACTTGGGACACAAGAGAAAAGGGTTTGATGGGCATTGATCTTGAGTTTTGGAGTTGTAGTTCATCTACATCCAGAGACCATTGCGAACTCAAAATAATGATGGATTTGAA